GGAATGTCGGCGAAAGGCGTCAAGCTCAAGTCCCCGAACAAACAATAAAATGCGGATAAAGTAAAAAAAAAGAAAAAAGAAAAAATGCTGGAGAAAATAAAAGAGAAAATAAAAGGAAGATGGAGGTGTGGGGAACCCCGCTTTTGCCAGGCTTCCAGAAAACTTCCATGACACGTGGGGACGCACGAATCAAGACGAGGGGTGTGGAGACGGGCTCTTCTGCCCGCCATGGCCTGCGTGTGTGTTTTGTCGCGACACTGACATGCTGGTACAGAGTAGTAGTATGTGTACTTGAAGACACTCACACATGGAAACCAAGGTCGAGCAGTTTGGTGTGGCTTGAAGCCGAATACGGGACAAGTCGTCCGTCGACCAATCAGACTGCCCCGAATGCCATTGCCTGGCGGCATGACGCTCTCTGTGACACTAGCCTTTTGGCTGGCCTCTTGACGGTTTGTCCTCTAGCTGTTGCACCGGTGCAGAAGGGAAAGAGGAATACCTGGCATATTCCAGCATGTTCCCTTTGGAGGCTGGCGACAACGTTTTGGTGTAGTCACTTGACTGCTCCAGACGGAGTATCCAGCTGCCTAGAGTACGCTGTGCCGACTAGAAGCTGTCACAACCTCCAAGAGAAACTTGCAAAGTGGTGTAGACGAGTGACATTCTCGCAGTCGCGATGAATCAAGATGAATCAAACGTGGCATTTGGATTCTTCTCCACGATTCACCAAGATTCCTGAAGCTGTTGGGTTCGTTCGTTGTACGAGTAAGCACAACATCTCTCAGCTTGCAGCCACAGCCTCGTGGCCCATCCAAAGCCCTGCCCCAACCCTCACTAAGTCATCCTATCGCCCTCAATCAGCCATTGAGAAGAGCTCCTGAGATTCACATCGACCGCCACAACGTGGCAACGCAAACGCAGCAGAGCTCGTGCGGCCAAGTCGGCATTCTCCGATCGTGCAAATAACTGCGCAAGAAACGGAGCTGAGAGCCCGCAAAGGAGGGTGCCAAAAACTGTGGCTTGTGATCACGGGCACTGGTTCCCTTCTTAAGGATGAAAGGGTTGGGTGTGGCTTTGCCGGCGCCTTATTATTCTTCCCTTTCTCACAGATATGGGGGAAGTTGTGTGTGTGTGTGTGCAACTACGCAATTTTGCCCTTTCTTCGTCCATGATGAACGGCGAGCGGGAAGAGCGGAGAATGCGGCGGCCGGCTTTTTGGTAGCTGTTAATCGCACAAAGATGCTTATGGGCGCCATTTATTGTGCTTCGGTTGGGCGAGCAAGTGAGCTTGGTGCGTGAGAGTTTGGAAGCGCAAGGGAGGCTTTTTCTCCTTCCAAGCCACGGGAGAGACGGGGAGGTAATTGAGCCACCCGCGGATCAACTATGCACTTGGGCTTTTTGTTTCTTTTGTTGTTGTGAGCGAGTGCCTATTCACCAGACTGTCGGGATTGGGGCTTGTTGAACAGCCTCGTTTATGGTTGTTATTTTCTTACTCTGTGGTGATGGTGATGGTGATGGTGGTGGTGATGGTGGTGGTTGTAGTGGTGGTCGTGGTTTTGTTTTCTATTATCCGCCCGTCCGGTGAATAACAGCATCTTTTTCGCGTTGCTTATGATTTCTTAAGCGAGGTCTGTCGCTATCACGCGGTATTCTTGTTTTTGGCGACATAAGAAAGAAAGGCAAATATACAAGTCTCACCCCCCAGATGACATCAGTCCCAGCATCCGGAAAGCTCACCTCTTGACATTCTGGAAACATGCAAAACGGAAATTCAACAAAACAAATCACGATCTTCAAGGTACACATCCTTCCACTGCGATCGGAGATTCACACAGCCAAAGAAAGAAATAGTAGCAGAAAGTGACCCGACCGACAAAACATTTGCCCAATTTTGATGACAGCCAGCGACATTCGACTCCCTATCGTGGTGGCGTCCCTTATCCGGATTCTTGTTCCCCGTTCATTGCGGAGCCTTCCCCGGACTTGTTCACGTTTTATCCCCCCTTTCGTTGCGACTTATCAATTCTTCTGTCAGGGCAGCTGGATCTCGCGGGGTCCGGCATCTCTCCGCTTCGGCTGTGGATTGAAGCGACGGGGCGTCGGCTGGCTTACACGTAACCTACGTACGAGTACATCTGTAATATGTATGTCTTGAGCTCGGTTGGAGGATGCTGACGAAATCAAGTAGATAGAGGTGTACGCGTGATGATCTAAGCTGGTGAAAACGATAGTTTACACAGTCAGCAGAGAAAGTGATGGATCAGTTCATCCCAAGCATCTAGGCCATGGCCTGTTCATCTAGCATGTGCCAATAATAGCTGGTTCTTCGTCCCTTCAGCCCTATCGTCTGCAGGCTCAATGGAAAGCCCGGGAGCGCATTTAAGGTGAGAGCTCTCAGTTTAGGCCCGAAGCGTCGTAGAGAGAGAGAGAGAGAGAGAGAGGCATGAGCTGGCCCGGGGTTTGCGGCATTGCTGCGGCCAGCTCATCGAGATGCTGTGGCGCATTCCACGTGCTTGTACGGGTATAAGTGCTGTCGGGTTTGATGGGATAATACGGGGAGTACTGGTACAGGACCCTTTGTTGCTGAGATGTCTTGGATGCTCTCATATGGGTGCCACTCGAGGCAATTCAATTAATGAAAAATGAAAATGAAAAAATGAAATAAAATCAAATCAAATCGTAAAGATAAACCACAAGAATTCGGATTACACTTTGATAATTGTCGACATGTTACAGCGCTCTTACAAGGCTGTACCTCATCTTCCGCCTCTCCCCCTCTCCTCTCTTCCACCCCCTCCTCCTCCTCTGCCTCGTGAGTCAATTTCCACCAATGGCACACAGGCTGGAGCTTCTCCCGGCTCTTTTTTGACGTAAACCACTTGTCGCAGGAGCTTCATTTGCTCGTCATTGCAGATTTGCGGCCGACCGGCGATTCCTCTGCTCAAGGGGATTGCAATGCAATGAGTACATCATCAAAAGCAGCCATCTGTCACTGAGGCTGTCATCCAGGGGCAAGAATGCGGGCGGGAAGAGAGAGAGAGAGAGAGAGAGAGAGACGACGGATGGCAGGGATCAATCGGCATTGGCCTCGGCTCACTGCATGCATCAAGCATGTGCTCATCACTCTATCGGGCCTTGCAGGTAAGGTACTTTCACAGGCACAGATTACTGTACGAGGGGCAGGGCATCCTTGGGGGTGATTGCACTTAAGCCTCCTTGTATGAATGTGGTATCAAGAAACGAAAGAGAGTGGTGTGTTCTTGTAACGTGTCTGTCGCAAATAATCCCGTAGCTGCTTGCGACGGGCTTGGTAGTAGTACTTGATAGCTGTAAAGTGCCCGCCTTGTTTGATTAATTGCCAGCCCTACGACCGCGAGTGACATTTCGGTCGCGGATTTAATCTATTTGACATTGCATCCGCTGCAGACTCTCGGCCTATGCCGCGTCACTTGATTCGCATTTTCCTGCCTTGATCACTTCGTCGGGCTTTTTGTCTTTTTGTGGCAAACGGAAATGAGGGGACCATGTTTTCTTTTATCATTTACATACATACACCAGCCAAGAAAGCATCTTGCGCAACGGGGAGGGGAGCAAATAACCTCCTGGGCGTTGCCCGCACAACCAACCTAAATAAACAGGTAAAATAATACAAGAAACATGCGTGTAAAATAACAGATAAAATCGATAAAATGTTATAATACACTGCAGAACCCCTTTGCTCAAAGGCAATTCTGACGCTGGAAAAAAAGGCACCGGGCGTCAGCCAGCCCCCCCAGAAATGGTAAGAACATGGGGTAAACCGTCGAAGTAAAAGGCAAATCTCGAGAGCTCCAGAGCGAATAAAGTTGCTGGGACAAAGTTACTTTCATACAAGGCAGAGGTAAACAATACATAAAACGGCAAAAAGACATGGTGGAAAAAAGAACAACAGGCCCCTCGGATTAATCACCAATACGCATCCCCGTTGGCCCAGCAGAGTGCGAAATGAGGAGATGCCCTTATCCTCCAGTCAGAAGGGCGTATAAAGGTCAGAAGCGAAAAATCACCCTCTCATGTGATTCTCTTTTCCATCGCGCCCCCCTCCTCCTCCAACAAGAGCGGGGGGGAAGCGAGTAGCAAGGGGGGTGCTCTAGACGGGCATTGGGTGTTTATTCAAAGGAGGGGGGAAGAGGGAGGGAGAGAGAGAGAGGGGCCTTCGACTTGTCCTTTTCCTTGTATGGATTCGTATTGCTACTATTACTTATTTGCTGGGAAGCTCCCCCTCGGATGATGAGGGATTGTCGGTGCTGAGCCTCTCTTCGCTGGGATTGTTCACCTGACGCGCATCGTCGAGGGAAGCCAAACCTTGTTTGAGCCGCTCTTCAGCTGCTCACTCGTCCGACGAGGACCAGCATCGTGATGCTTCCTGATCTGCGGTTGGAGCGCTTCTCGTCGGCTGCATGTGAGCCAGGGCAGCAGCGCATCTTGTGCCGCAGCAGGTGGCGAACCGGGTTTCCCGTCCATTGGTTCTTTTGTTATCACCAGAGGAGAGACACAACAGAGTGAGAGGAGCGATGTGAGTGGGCATAAACTCAATAGGTGCCTCCCACTTACATACATGCATCTAGAGGCGAGGAGAGCCAAAGTGTCATCAATGATGCAGCTCTTTGCTCAACACCCTCTCGGACATGCGCGAGGCCGGTGCAAGGGGGAGCAGCCAGAGATGACAACTCCCTGTAAAACCAAGGTAAAACCAAGGTGCTAGTGGTAGCAAAAGTTGCTGATCCGGGCTGCCTCGTTATCGTTGTGTCGTGACATCATGGGTGTTGTTTGCCCTGCGGTAAAGATACTTTACTCCTCCAAAGTTGCCTTGCCTGAATTGGCAAAAACCGGAGGGCATGACGGTGGCTGGATGGAGGAAACGGAAAGTTTATAAGAGAAGCACATTTCACAATCCAGTGACCATTAACAGCATTTTGCATGTATCTGGTGATGATGTTGGATTGGAGAATCTGAACATGATGCCGATTCGTGAGCTGGTGCGTTGCTGGTTACATACATAAGGTACGTTACAGGCACAGTTGCAGTTAGTACCTATGACTGATCTTATAGCATCTCTTGTAAAAGACATCCGGTAAGGGATATATCTCACAAGGAACAACAAATTCCTTAACGAATGAACCAGTGATAAATTGACCTCTATCATCGATTGAATATAGAAAGTGATGATCCATTGAATGCAGTAGTACCTAAGTAGTAGCAGCTGAAGTGCACCGAAATGCCCTGTATTACAGTAACTGTAACTGAGCTCGACCTCCCAGCAGTCACATGACCACGCATCAACCCACCGATAAGCTCCCAGATTTCGTGACGCAGCTCCAGCAGCAAGCTTCAAAACTAATGTTGGTGATGGCTTCCTAGTAGTAGAAACCACCTTACTACAACACACAGCTACGATTCCACCGCGATCCGACGCTGACAATGGCACCGTCGCCATCGCCATCTCGCAGCCGCCCCCGGTCTGCATCGCGCTCGCCCCCGCGATCCGTCGACTCTCCATCGCCTCCAGGCCGCCGCCGGCGCTACGATTCGCGCTCTCTGTCGCGCTCTCGGTCCAGATCTAGATCCATCTCGATATCAAGGTCAAGGTCACGGTCACGGTCACTCTCTCGGTCGCGATCAGATTCACGTTCACGATCACGATCACGTTCATACACCCCGCCTCGCCGTAATGGCCGTCACAGGAGCAGCAGTCGGGACAGAAGCCGAGACCGCAGCAGGGACAGTCGCTCGCCCAGCGACAGCCCTCCCAGATACACAAAGGTTCGTTCAGAGGCTGGTAGAATGGTGGGACAAGCCAAATTGAAGTGCAACTGGGCTTACTGATGCCCGGTGGACAGATTGTGGTGGAGAGGCTCTCCAAGAACGTCAACGAAGACCATCTCTTTGAGATATTCGGCCAGTTTGGTCCAATCTACGACCTCGACCTTCCAATGAACAGAACCTGTCAGCTCTCACCCTCTCTCTCTGTAATTGCTTCTCCCAAATGGACACTGTAACTGACAATAACAAACACAATCCAGTCGGAACCAACCGCGGCACCGCATACATCCTCTACGACCACCACGCCGACGCCGAAGCCGCCATTGAACACATGCACGAGGCGCAAATCGACGGCTCCACGATCAACGTGTCCATCTCGACGCAGCGCAGCAAGCTCTCTCCCGAACCCCCGATGGCCCGCCGCAACGCAAACATGAACGCCCGAGCCCCCTTTCACCACAGCTCTCGCGGACGTGGCCCTCCTTCTGGCCCTCAGGGCGGACGGCGGTACGGTCCTCGATCCGACGTATACCGGCCGAATCCCTTGTCGCCCGGTCGATCGCGGTCTCCTCGGGGTGCTCCTCCTTCTCGCGGTGGCGCAGGTCGGCGGTATCGCAGCCGGTCCCGCGGTTCGTATTCGTCTCGATCGAGGTCGAGATCTAGATCGCCGCTGCCCAGGCGGCGGGGAGGAGGGAACGGAGTAGGTCGATATGATGGCTACGATGTTCGACGCCGCAGCCGCAGTCGAAGCCGCAGTCGAAGCCGGAGCCCGAACCGCAGCCGCAGCTACGACAGTGCACGGAGCGATTCACGGAGTCGAGGACGGAATTACAGAGGACGGGGCTGACGCTGGTAAGTAACACGAAGGCCTAGGTCTGGGAGGGGTTGTTTTGCTTTGAAGCAACGGCGTTTTGGAGCTCGGAAAAGCATCGTCAGGACTTCATCAAGGTAAGAGGCCTTGAGAGCGTTGTAAGGAACTGTTTCGACATGGAGCTTTTGAGATACAGATACCACAACGGCCGTGTAGGCCGAGCTAAAGAGAAACATCTGGCGGCTGCCTATAGACGATACTCTGTGATAATCCACAGGTAGATGCTCTATCGTCTTATAATGTGTGCTTGTGTGCGGAGTTGGTAAGATATCTCAACGCTTGTGGCCAATCATCCTGACCTGCATACGCCCATTCATTAAGACTTCTCTGACGGCTCTTGTTTCTCGACAAGTCTGTCTTCCATTGACGAGTAATTCCGATCACTACATGGCCTTTGAGTAGACGAGCTATGTGAAACATGGAGCTCATGCCAACAATTGTCCATGCCCGTGTACTGTTTGACGAATCTAGAGATATGGTGACTATAGTATCCATCCTTTTGTAATTTCTTTGCGTAGAAGCGTCAACCAGTTTCCACCTCTTTCTGAGAACAAATATCAAGCTCGCTGCGATGCTTGTTTTCACAGTATGGGCTAGACCAGCTTTTGCTGATGGGATGAAGGAGTTGTTGGGCACTTGCGTACTGATGAGGTGTCAGGTTAATGCGTGGTCATTGTCATTCGCTCGATTACTCTGCAAACTGAGGTCTGTCAAGGTGCGATTTCTACGGCTTTGCTCGAGATTCATCATCTGCTTAAAAGGGGGGAGAGAGAGAGTTAATAAAAGATCCTACCCTGCATGTGATTCACTTCTAGCATCGCCAGAAGAAGAGGAAGCTCTCCTGACGCCGTTCTGTTTTCTATGGTTGACGTGCCGTGTGGGTTCTCATTTATAGACATCATTTAAAAATGGCGCGGTAGCTCTGGATACTACTTAGAAGACAAATTTCATAGCGTAGATGATCAGAGCCTCAATGCGATGCCTGTACCAGGAGACGCCTGTACAGCAAACGAGAACTCATGATTCACTTCCCCATGGTCAACTGTCTATTTACGGCAGACGCCCTTCACAGCTTCGTCGAGTAAGTTACTTCAATCAGTCATGTTTCGGAACTGACGCACGGGTTTATGCTACTACCCACGGCCCATGGGTTGAGAACTTGGATATCATCATCATCATCATCACATGCATCAACGTCATTTCATGTATCGAGCAGAATTCATCTTCTGGCGCTGGGACTCATCGAACGTGTCGTCTCATGGCCCTTGTACATACTCTTGCTATTTTTCTTCTCTTAGTTATTGGTGTATTGTATATCTTGTGCTCGTTGAGTCTCGTTTTCGCTTCTCTCGTCGCGTATGCTTTCTCATACGTATATCTAGAATTGGCATTCCCTACGTTTCGGTCCTTGCGTCAGTATAAAACACTCCCATAGACCGCTGTACTTGAAAGCCAATGAAGGACAAGAGTGCTTGGCAATGGACCACGTTTTCCAAGGTGATGATGTGAGCTGTGAAACTAATGTGCTCATGCGGGAGCATTGAACAGTTGGTGGCAGGGAAGGATACCAAAAGACAACATCTACGGTGTCTTGTCTTGCACTGTCACCTTGCCACATAGTACTCAATACTTCGCTGGCCATGGAAAACAAACCAGCTACAACCCCTTGACCATCTGGACACTGATCTAGCATCAAGAGCGCATGCCAAAGCAAGAATAGCTCACTTGATGATAAAGCACCAACAGGTTGAAAGTATCGTATCTTCGTAAATATAAACTCACCAGGCAGGGAGCCTGTTCTCTATAGCATGAAACAAATTCCAACAAGAACGATCAAAAAGCCAGCTCATTAACGTCCAAGTGTCACACCATTAACGTCTTCAACACAGAAAGCAATGAAGCTCTCATGATGCGCTTCCAGACAAACACACACACACACACACACACCCTCAAGGCCCTCAAGAAATCGAGAGTTTCAAGAGCTTCTCCAAAAGCCATGACATGTATCAAGACAACCCTCCGCATTTCATCATCCCGCTCACAACAACATTCCCGCCCCAAGCAGACCAAGTGCCGCCCCAGCAGCATGGATATTCGCCGTCGCCAAAGCCCCAGCAGCACCCTTGCTCCTGCTCGTAAACACGCTCGTCGTACTCGTAGCAGTGGGTTCAGCAGTAGTGTTATACGCCGTCGTAGGCACCGGACAGGAAACCGTACACGGCAGCGCCGACGTAAACGGGTTCCGCGCCGTGCTCACAGGAAAGACGGGCGCCTGCGTAGGGGCGGTGGGATTCGGCGCCGCGGCGTCGGCGTCTGGGTTCAGCACGCCCGAGATGAGGTGCATGATGCCGTTGGCGAGCAGGATGTCGGGCTGCACAATCTGCGCCGAGTTGACGTACTTGTTGTTGCCGGCCTGGCGGACGACGAGCGACTCCGGGGCGGTGCCGGCGGCGTTCTTGGCCAGCGTCTCGAGGCGCGAGCCGTTGGTCAGCGCGGACGAGACGAGCACCTGGTTGGGCACGACGTGGTAGCCCATGATGCGGGCGAGGGCCCTGGCGTCGAGGTGCTTGAGCGAGCCGCCGACGGAGGCGAAGGCGCCGTCCACGGGGGCGAAGACGGTGATGTTCTTCTCGTCCGAGATCTTGGGCATGAGCTTGCTCGCGTAGAGGCCGCCGAGGAAGTTGGGCACGTTGAACGCCTTGGTGGTGTTTTCGATGCGCGAGGGCGGGATCAGCAGGTTGTCGACGATCTGGACGAGGCCGCCCTGGAAGTTGATGTCGCCCTCGACCAGCGTGCAGCGGGTGCCCATGCTGGTGGTGAAGACGACGGTGTCGCCGGGCTGCTTGGCGATGAGGACGTTTTGGCCAAACGTCACGTTGGTGTAGCGAGGGCTGGTGAGCAGCGTGGACCGCACATATGTTGGGCCCGTGTCGAGGCCGGCGGTGGTGACGGTCCCCAGGAGGACGTGGTATTGCAGGAGAGGCACAGTGGTGGCCTTGTCATCTGGATTCCAGATGCCATTGAGGGCGGTATAGGGGATGTTTTTGAAGGCCTCGTTTGAAGGGGCAATGATCTGGCAGAAGAGTTAGCAAGAGATGCATTCCCGTACGTAGAAACGACGGCGGGATCCATGGATGATCTAAGGCGAGATTGATGGATGGATCTCAGTGTTGAGGTTTATACGTACAGTAACGCCTGCGTAGCTGGGCAGCTGGAGAAGCACTTCGGGATATTTCTGCAGAAACAGATTAGTACACACACCAAATGTTGCTCCGATAGCTCATGGCGTGGCATGGCATGGGCATGGCATGGCACATACCTTGATGAGCGAATAGTATGTGGACAAATCTTTGTTGCCAGCAAGCACCGTCCCTAGCTCCCGGGGATCTGCTGACACGGCAGAGACGAGCAGCGCCGCCAAAGTCCAGAGACTTTTTGACAGCATCGTCACGATGCTGCTTTTGCAAGATGAGATGATGTCAAGTCGAAAAGGCAAGCCTATAGGCTAGCTAAGGGTATCAACAGGTGTAGCGGTTTAGAGCAAGACTGTAGTAAGCCGCCTGTCTTGAGCAGATTTGAGGAAATCAGTGACTGGACTGGGGACTATGATATCTTTGTTCGTTGTCAAAGAATCTCAGCTTCTATTCCACAGCCGTATAGAGACAGTGAGGAAAGGGATTGGGCGGTCGAGGGATATCAATGGCCATGTACGATAACTCGACAATAGTGGGTGAGCTAGAGCATCTGAGGCGTACGCAGTCGACAGCTCTCACAGCTCCGGTTCTTGTATTATACCTGAAAGAGTAGAGGCGGTAAACAGGAAGAGGCTGGCTTGGCAGGACACCGCATGCAGAGACAAGTTCCGTATCCAAAGTCTTGCAAAGTTCAGCCTGCAATAACGCCAATGTGACAAGATACAGAGTTCAGAGCTGAACGTCCTGGTTTGATCCACTGACGTTGTGAGCTGGCAAGAGATGCGAGAAAGACGAAGTCATAGAGAAGAGGTTGGGCAGCTGTACAAACCTGCTAGGTAGCATTTCTGATGCCCCGTGTACCGTACATGCTGCTTACCACTGGGACTCGTCTGGTTTACCATACCAGATAACGCAATTCCTTGGTAGCACCGTGTACGTAGTAAAAATACGATACGAAGCGATACATAGCCGTGTGTTGCCAAACGGCTGGGAATGGGCGAGGTTCCTGGATGATCGGCATCGCGGGCGCCTGGTGCCAATCATCCAGCGGCCGGTATTCGCCTTGATTGGCCTGGCGTCACTCCTCCGTCTGTTATCAATGACATGGCAACCTTGCTGCCAATGCTTCGTGGAGAGCTGAAGCTGTGAGTCGACATTACAGCAACCAGCAAGGGTTGCAAGGGTTGCTGCTGGTACTGGTCATAGTAGTAGTAGCGAGTTGGGACGTGCTGCATGTACGAGGACGGAGCAACAGGCCCATGCAAAATCCTCGATGATAGAACATCCCAAGAGAGAGAGAGAGGGGAGAGAGAAGAAACGAGCCGAAGCAATGACCAAAAGGATTGCAGCTGCATAGGTGACGCAGCCCGGCAGTAGTTTGGTGTGTGTTGGCATGGTGCCCTTGCCCAAATCCAACGAGGATACGAGCAGACACAACCACATGCAAAGACGCCGCAAGAGGCAAATCAATCACTCTGAGTTGCTCTTCCCGTCAACACTAACAAAACGCGGCAGCATGTGGTCTGCATCGTATCCTGCTGTGTCAAATGGAGCATCGCGACAATGAGACGAGGTCGCCGCCCAATCGCAGCCTCAGCAACCCCTGGCAGCCTCCGGTCCTGCATCCATACGAGCCATCATGCATCACAAGCGCGACCGCAAAAAGCGGAACTCTCCTTCGCCTTTCTTCCAAGTAAAGTAGCGCCACGCTACGACGTCTACTGCAACCGCAGCGGCCTGATGGCAAGGGAACAGAGCGTGAAGATAGAGGAGCAGAAGCGATGCCAGCCAGGAGTGATCCCTGTATGGCCTCATCGGGAGCTACCCGATCTTACCCGAGTCATGCTCCGTCCGTCACGCCGTGGTTTTATGGGGGCTTCCGGGCTGCGGGAACGGCAAGGACTTTGCAATGGTGGAATGGATAAAACCCGTGCTGATCCACATGGCTTCCCACTCGGAGCCCTATCCAGCGGGCCGAGTATTAGGCTTTGCCATGATATCTCCTGTGGGATGAGAACGGCGGAGCCTTATCCTGGGCGGAGAGACCAGAGGTGCGGTTTCTCTCCGCGGTACCAGGAAGACTTGTTCTTGCAAAGCTCCTCTAGTCGGTAGGGGGATCCTATACATGCGTTGGAGTGATACGACTTGATTGCGGCGGCTTGGTCACTGGGCATCACTCTGAACGTTGTTATTCCCATGCTGTTCACTCATACTATCTCCGGTCTCTCGCTCGCAGGATGCCGCGTTGAGCAGGTGGACATGAGCTGGTAACGCAAGGACGTCAAGTGGACTCGTAATGTAGATGCCATGGCGGGTGATAAAGCGACTTGGGAGCTTGGTTGTACTGGGTATATGATAAGATTAGTAGGTAACGCAAGGATTTGTACGAGTATGTGACATCGTTGTCATACTTGCTGAAGCCGCAACTGGTCGCCGAGTCGGCGTAAAGGTATTACTGGCAAGTTGCACAACCGTCAAGCTTCGTTGGGATACGGCGAATGGCACCGGCACTCGGCTTCTTCCCAAGAGCCCATTGTTATCTCCCGGATCCGCACAAGACCAGGCAAGGGGCCGCCGCATGGTCTTTTGCGCTCTGCATTCAGTTCAGCTCTTGAGGTGTCTGCAATCTTCCGTCCATCGCTCATTGGCATTCCGTGACTGGCATCACGCCACGACACACACCCGCAAGCTATACGAGGTTTGCGTGACTGAGATATGCAGCCAAACAGAGGCGTTGACGCTAGCCGTACCAACAAATATAGAGCGAGCCTCATCGATTGGTGGTCGCGCCGCTGCTTGGTGGTGGGGGCAGCAGACGGCCATTGTTGTGGTCTGTCGATCTCGGCTCTTTCTGTCATTGCCTTCATGTTCGTCCTTTGCCCGTTTATCCGTATCGAGACAAGGTAGCGGAAACACATACAGGTGCCCGGCTGGTCGTAATCCTGAATTGCGGCCGCCTATCAGTCGCAAAGCGCCCCAAAGCTCATCGAGATCCATGATATTGAATGCATCTGAGAGAGACCCAGGCGGGCAGAAGCCATGCCAGCAAAGAAAACCCCCACCGCGGCGGAGTCAAGCCACACGTTAGCCTCGAGACTTCAGCTACCACTGTCTCGTAAGCCGGGGAGTTCTGCCTCTCTAGGGCGTCCATGTCTGAGGAGAGAAATCTGCATATGGATGCTTGCAGTAGGCAAAGCGTCGGTTGTTGTCCTGCCAAGCCGGACCAAAGCTGCCGCATCACTGTAGGCATTACCAGTCTTGGATCGCCGTTTGTCGTCGAGGACAATGAGTCTGGCGAGGTCCTGTTTGGTGCCATGACCAAGTGTCAAATAGGTCGTTGCCCAGCATCCGCCCGTACATGTGTGAACTGACAAAGGCTTTCTGAGTGGCGGTCTTGTCCAGCTTCGACGTGCCACTTCCTGCGCCCTATATCGGCCGTTTCAAATTAGTCGTGCAGAGCAATTGCCGCTCTCCGACATGGTGTTGTTTCGACCGGAGACTGTGAGGCGTAACTTGTGAGTTTGGATCGATCAGCGCGATAGAGGGGCTACTAGCTGCAGACAGCGTCAGTTCCCCATGGTCCCTTGTTTCCCTTGCCTGTCCTTGTCCTGTCTGATCCTTTTCTTTCCACTTGTTTTCGAAGTATAGTGGCCTTGGATAGCCCGCAGTATCCAGACGGTGCTTCTGCAAGGCCCCAGCGGTAGGGATGTAGATGTTTTATGTGTCGGGTCTAGGGCAACAAAGTTCAGCAGCGCGATCTGGATGACGTAAATGAGGGCAGAGGTGAGAGCTACCTACCTATACTTACCTAAGCAGGTTTGCCCTTGCATCTCTGACTTACACGCACACGTAAGGTGGACACAGCATGGATCGTGACCTCGGGACGGAGCATCTGACCATCTTTGGCTGTGAACCACGATCCTCGCCAGGGTCAATTTGACTTTTATGCCATGGACCGTGAACCTTGAACCTTGCCAGGCACAACATCAATGTGAGCGATCCAGCAAGACTCAACTCCGACATCCCCGAGCTGGTTGGCTGGATGACCACATCTGTCGCTTTTGGTTCCATGCCTCCAATGAACCATGCAGAGACGGAACCTTGTCATGGTTCCTTTGTGTTGGCATCGATTTACCCGGCAAGGTTTCCCACGTCTTGCCCGGCTAGCAATAGCACAAGTCGACGAAACGGACCGACAGCTTCCACCGCGGCCTCTCGGTGCACTTTCTTCCTTGCCTCGGCCTCTTGGCAGCATTAACGCGGTAACTGCTGCAGTGTCTGGTGGCGGAAAGTCTCGTCATTCCGAAGCTGCCAGCAGTTTTGGCGACAGACTGCCTCTGACTGTGGCCCTGGCTAGTGCAAATGCGGGAGGAGTCAAAGAAGGTTGATTGACCATGGTTGATGCCTCTGGCTGCGGCGTGTATGTGTGTGTGTGTGTGTGTGGTTGCGAGGGGCGTGTGTCTATCGAAAGCGGTGAGAAACGAGACTGGCTGGTTGACAGGGGATCTTCAGGCACCGCACGGAAGAGAAGGAGGCTGAGTGAAGCCACAGCGGCATCTAAACGCAGCCACCTGTCGCTGCTTTTACATACAGCTTCACATCGACTGGCCAGCGCCAGAGCCCGCGATCCGGCTTGTGCCGCTGGCAGTGTCAAGCCAGGGGCAACGCAGTCCGCCAGCTTTAGCGCTCGAGAGGCGCCGGATGCAAGCCCGACTGGCCTTGTAGCGCTGTCCCTGTTGCTGCTGAGAGCGAAAGAGTCTGTTCTATCTGTCTGTCGATTTGCAGGAAGAGTGGCCCGGCTCTGCGGCAGGGCACCAGTCAGTGATCTTCTTCTAGGACGCAGTGCAGTGTGCAACCACAGGCTCTCTCTCTCTCGTCGTACCGGCAGTGGGTACAGCGGATGCGGTAGATGCGGCTGATCGATAGTCGCAAGCAATGTCAGTTCAGTCACAGCACAGCAGAGCAGAGCAGAGCAGAGGAGCCCGAGCCCGAGCCCCGAGGCCTGAGCTTGGCGCTGCATCAAACGGATGGACACGAAGTCGCCGTGTGGGAACGGCAGAGGCTAGGTATCATGCGAGCGTCCCTCGTATCGTATCCTCTGTACAAGCACCCTCGTATGGTAGGTAGTGTATCGACTGCGCTGGTACCAGACACTAATAGTACTTGGTAGCACCCATACCTCGGCTGGTTGTAGGCTGTAGGGCGCTTGTCTTGCCACAAGGGTTGCAGTGGGCGGTGCTCTGACGATGCACTCAGCCGAGTGGCAACACTGGAGTCGAGCCGGTCCCTGGGCAGACCTGATCAGAGACAAGCCAACACATGGACGGACCCTGTGCCTGAATTGGCAGTATAACCTTATCTGCTACATCCATCATCCTCGCGGCCGTTCTGTAGGAGATGGCATCACTATGCGGCCGCGAGAAAAAGGCACCGGGTCACCCAGCAAGGTAAGATCTAAGCATACCGGACAACTGTTAGCCTCGCCCCCGGCTCTGCTTGTCTGCTTCTTGCTCGCGCCATGCTCACCATCAGCGCCGCTTGATAGGACAGAGCTTAAGCTGTCTGGGGGTGTGGACCTGGCAACAACAAAGTTGAGTTGAAGCCAGCCAGGCTGCAGGGATCAGCTCAGCAGCGAGGGACGGCACCCTTGGCGCGGGACAAGGAGCTGCAACTCGCTGCAACTTGCTGCACACGCCCTCGACGGCTCGCGAGTCTCGATATTCCAGGCCCTGCACGTTGCGAGTGGGTGGTTGGATGCGTGGTTGAGTTGAGTTGCCGGAACTCCGCTGGACGAGACCGGGGGCGATGAGTGAGGGAGTAATTGATTGCTGCAATTGGGGGAAACAAGAGAGTTGGGAGAAGTTGGAAGAAGCAAAGAAAAAAAAGTTTGAAGGCATCGACACTCGATAAGGTAAGGCACTTCACAGATACCTCAGGTGTCAGGCATCGCAGGCGCAGATACCTACGCATGTACAAGTACCTTTGCAGGGAAACGCCGCCTGAGGTCACACCAGTTCCAGCGACTCAGCTCGACCGCTACCTAGGTACCTACAGTACTGGTACAACCGAAGGCACAGGACAGCCTCGAGGGCAGCAGTCGCCTCGTCCCTCCGTCTGCACACCCGCGCCCAGCTGAGAAGAGGCTTGAGACTATCATTCCCTTGCCAATCCTTTCCCTCTATCTTCTTCTTCTTCATTGGAGAGCGGCCGCAGTCCCTCCATCTTGTTGAGTGTTGAGAGTGTATCTCGCACAAGGGTGTTCCGTCTGCAATCACCTCATTCCTGGCATATCAGACCCGGCTCATTCACTCACTCATCCACTCCCTCACAGCTCTGTCCTCTCCTCAACCTATACGTCACCGTCTCCACGGGCCTCTCTATCTCTCTATCTCTCTCTCTCTCTCTCTCTTTCTACCTTGCCCGCGTCTCATAAGGTGGCCAAGCATTCCATCCAAGTCCCATATCGAGACGTTTGTTGTAACCTCGCATACATACACACTCCCACCGCGGCATCAGACCATCTCCAGAGCTGCGTCTCCATGGAGCAACACGACTACGGGCGACCTCCCGTCGTCCCCTCGGCCGCAACCTCCAGCGCGCCAACGCCTCTCCGGCCTGGGACTCCCAACACGGATGCCAGCCGCAATCTCTATGACAACACCGACTCGGGCTCAAACGTCCCGGGAACCGGCACAAACCCCTTCGTGAGCCCGGACGCTTCACGGCCAGCTTCCAGCTTCGAGTCCTCCAGCGGAAGCCCTTACGAAGAGCCCGCCGAAGCCCCTGGCGGCCAGCGCTATTTCCACTCGCGGCTCGTCAAGAAGGGCGAGATTGAAAAGCCCTGGTTGAACAAGGTCGATCCCAAGGAGAAATGGGTCACGATCCTGCCTCTCCTCGGCATTCTCCTGGGCCTCTGCATTTCCGGCTTCTTAGTCTGGGACGGCATGCGGAGTGTCGTCAAGCACAAGTACTGTCCAGTCCTGGATGAAGACTTTAGCAGCGGTCTTGATCCCAGCATCTGGACCAAAGAGGTCCAGGTGGGCGGCTTTGGGTAAGTCTTTCACTTATCGAGTATCCGTCTCGTAAGCTCTAACTGACATACGCGAAACCAGCAACGGCGAGTTTGAACAGACGACTAGCGGCGATGGAAACGTCTTCATCGGCGACAATGGCCATCTTATGATCAAGGCGACGCTACAAGATGCCAACCTGGTTGAGAAGAACAACGTCATCAACCTGCTCAAGGACGGCACTTGCACCTCCAAAGACTACTATAGCTGCGTTGCTGCCACCAACACCACCGCCGGCAACTCTACCATTGTTCCCCCGACCCTCTCTGGCCGCATCAACACCAAGAAGGGCGCAACGATCAAGTATGGCCGCGTCGAAGTCACTGCGAAGCTGCCCGTGGGTGACTGGCTGTGGCCCGCCATCTGGATGCTGCCCGTCAAGGACACCTACGGCCCCTGGCCTTCGTCTGGCGAGATTGACATCATGGAGTCGCGCGGCAACAACCACACATATGCGCAGGGCGGCAACAACATTGCTTCGTCGGCCCTGCACTGGGGCCCTGATCCGGCCAATGATGCTTGGTGGAAGACGAACAACAAGCGAAAGTCGCTGCACACCACTTACAGCGCGGGCTTCAACACGTTCGGCCTCGAGTGGTCGCAAAAGTACCTCTTCACCTACGTCAACAGCCGGCTGCTGCAAGTCACCTATACCAACTTCAACAAGCCCATGTGGAAGCGCGGCGGCTTTCCCGACTCCACGTCCAATGGCACGCGGTTGGTGGACATCTGGAGCCAGACGGGCCGCGACAACACGCCCTTTGACCAGGAATTCTATCTCATTCTGAATCTTGCTGTCGGCGGCACAAACGGCTGGTTTGAGGACGGCAGGTCCGGCAAGCCTTGGTTGGACCACTCCCCCAATGCCAAGAAGGACTTTTGGGAGGCTCGTGACACATGGTACCCTACTTGGACCCAGCCTCAGCTCGAGGTCAGCCGCGTTCTCATTACCCAACAGTGTGATGGTAACGAGGAGTTGTAAGCCAAGAGCCCCCAATGCTACTTGTTGCTGTACACATGAGGTACTGTCGCATCACGGGCAAAGATTCTCGTTCTCATTCATCTTTATGTTGGGTTGCCTTTCTTTCTGCAAAAGCACTAGGTATATGTGGGCAAAGTGTTTAGGTGGAAATTGCATAATGTTGTCAGGTAATTTGGATTGGATGATATATATTGGCTACTAGATGCGCTTGACAAAGCCAAACGGCGTTTTATTGGATATATACACTGAATACATGTTATTTCTGAATGCTTTTGTTGTGAAGATGGGTATCAAGTTCTCAGGAGGGCAGCACGATGCTTTCTTTCAGCTTCACCTTTCCACAAGGCATCATCTACATTTCCACAACATCTCCTCCTACGCGCACTGATACGATCAGATGGCAGAAATCTAGCAAATAGACTACAAAATTGCTACTTCGCTTGACTTCAGCCCCAAAGACCACAGCGCATCACCTGGCGGCACATGGATGCGGTGTAGGAATCAGCTGTGAACCAGGGGAGCGCCAAGTTAACAGAACCTATCTTCTTCTAGCAAAGGCCATGTTCTTCGCTGGCAAAGCGGCAATAGTCAAATGTTCTCGAACTCTTGGCCACGTCTTTCCTTCTAGTATTGCTAAGGCTGCATTTTGCATGAATGGCGGCCAGGGATAATGCAGCCGCAAAACGCCATTTCCTCAAAGGGGAAACAAGATATGGGACAAGGGAGTCTTCCTCTTCAAGATGGACCTTTCACGCCAAGCATCTTCCAGAACTATTGGCTACTACACGTCTTGTTGATGATCTAAAAGTAGGTAGTATTATTGCCAACTCCTTACATGCACGTACGTGAAAAAAACGTTGCAAAGTCCATGTATGGTGGCGTTGGCGGAGGGTTGCATGAAGCTGAATACAGGGATGTAGATAAGGCTGAAATGCAAAGTAAGCAAGGTTGGGCTTCTCTTCTTTCTCAATCCTCTCTATCTCTCTGTACTTTTTCTTGTCCCGTCTTGCCTTGTTCTGCTTTGCGGCCCAGCCCATTGTTCGTCTTGGTAGGTTCCCTGTCTTATCTTTGCGCTGCTGCATGTGGTGTGTTGCGATAAAATCTTGACAATGGCAGGATGCGTGAGATGAACCAAGACCTGCATTATCATCCCGTCGTATGGCCGCACAGGCACAGCGTCTTCATATCCTCGTGCAGATGCAGTGTACCTGTGGCTTTTGTTGCCTTGTCACCACGGAAGTATGCATGCCGGCTGATATCATCAACTGACTTATAGCCACAGAGGGATCACGAGATTGGCTGCTGTGTACCTACAGAGTAACAGAGTACAATGTACTGACAGCCATCGAACACCGTACGTAGGCAGCCAGCCGATCTTCTTCATTTTGCTAGCGGCGGACACTAGGAACAAAAGGGGGGGAGGGGAGGGCGTGTGTATTGGGGATATCTTCCGAATGGTTGCTTGTGGCGGTAGACTCCTCTGGCCTCTCCCCCTTTTGCCTTGTTCGTCTTTTGTCTTAATCTGTTCCATCGCTGCTCAGCTGCAGTGAGGAACTCACTATCATTCGGGTACTAATTCCGGAGCCTTTCAATCCATCCCTATCAGAAGTAGCTACAGGGAATGGTTCGTTTTCTAAAGTGTTTGAATCCTGCTGGCGCCCTGGTAGTACGTAGGTGGTGATATCTTACCCTTTCGGGAGGCAAGCCGACGTAAATGGAAGACAGCACACGGTATCAAGCCATTGTGTGGCAGACGCATGAACACGTTTCAATGCACGAGAACCTTTCCAAGTCAGGCACTCTGTGCAATTCCCAAGATGGAACGGGACCCGGCATGCTCAACAACGCCCGATCCATACTTCGGCAGCAAAAAGGCTTGGGGGCCACTGGCATGGGCAACGGAGTTGACGGTTATATGTGACTTGTTCTAGCCGATTCAATGATAAAGGCCGCCAGCCACAACGGAGGGGAATGCCGTAGTGTGGACGGGCGAGGCAGCTTTGTCGGTGACGAGGTGATACATGACATTTGATTACCAATGCAGCCATATCACTCTGAGCGGCATGAAGAAGGGTAAGACAGATACAGGCCACGAGGCTTTCCGGCCAACAGATACGATCAGTGTAAGTGGCCGTATCTGGTATTATCATGATTGCGTTGATGTGGTTACCCGTTGCTGGTGACTCCCCCAACTGTCTCGGGCATGTCCTGGTTGGTAGCACAGAATAATACGGAGGGAGGCTATGGCGGCTATCAAAGTTCGTGATGAGCGATATGGACTTCTCTCAGGTGTCCCTGAAGGGGCGTCTATGCCTCATCGACGGGCGGCTCCTTCGAGGCGACTCGTGCTTCATTACATGTGGTACATACTACATGGTTTTGAGAAACAGTTTGCATCTTGACAGGTAAGGGGGCGGCTGATGGCGGCCTATTATACAGAGCGTGGCGGTCTTGGCTGATGAGAGGGAGGTTCCCGTGGCGCTTATAGCTCACATGGCAGCGGCATGGGAAACTTCCAGGGGAATTAGTCAATAGTTTCCCTGGATTTGGAGGCAAAAGGGATAAATTTTGCAGGCGGGAGAGAACGCTCAAGCCTGGCACTCCTTCGAGTACTGCGGTCAAGTCATGATGGTGTTGAGCTCGAGCATATGAGAGGTGGTAGTACTGAAGTTACGCATGACCCTGCTGCTGTACACTGGAATATTGCTCCACAGATATACATGCCGTGAAGGTAGCATGCCAGTATCGGTAAGCAGGCTCTACGATGGGTAGTATTAGATATCGTGCTCTTGAGTTGCGGTTGGGTTGCCCACGCAGCGGTAGCATTGAGCTGAGTCCTCCCGTGCTCAGACTGGGGGCCACGTGGAGACTGTATTGGGCAAATGATGCGCAGACCCTGGCAGGATACAGACAATGAATCTTGGGCTCATGATATGCACCGTCTGCCATACCCGGGTTGATGGGACTTTGTGCCAACTGGAACATGTCTTGGGCGGAAGGGCGTCAAGAGAATCGTCGTGTTGAGACCATGACCAACGTCGTGGTGAAACTCGGCAAGCAGAGACGGAGAATTAACCCACACGGAAAGTGGAAATACGAAGTGTCTGCCGGAGAGATGACCAAAAATAGCCTCGAGTGCATGGCACGAATGCTCCCGTATTCCGTATTCCGTATTCCGAGCCATTATGCGCAGCAACGCAGCACTCGGTAGGGTCGACTGCAGCCTCTGATTTGCAGGCCACATGCCACCCATACCAACAGGAGAGACCTGCGGATACAGGTATGGGTGTGCCTGGGTGGTGCATCGTGGGCTTCGTTGAAGCAGTCCCAGGGGGAGGGCAACCATCTCTGCTTCTCGCGAGTAGGTGCAAGCACCAGCATACACAAACAAGCCTTGCAAGCCGTGTAAGCCTCACCACCAGAGCTAACCGAGTTACAGGCTCTGCGAGGGAGGACTCGTGCGTTCTCGACTCTGTGCAAGGGGGCCGGAGCTGGCAAGTCGAAAGATAGCCATCAGGCCTTTGCTTTCTTTCTCCCTGATGCGCTGTTGCGGTGGCGCTGGACGTGCGTGTGTGGTTGTCCTGAATCTGGCGCGAGCGATCCAATCGGGCATCAGGAACCCGAAGCTGTTATCTCTTGGTTGCCGTGACGCCATGGAGCTATTGCCATGATTGCATCGTCTACCTGCCTGGCTGACCGGCCTGTCGAAGGAAGGCTGCGTATATCGTGCATTAGGTTCTGCGTGCGAATGCCCAGAGACGGGGGAGTGACTGGTCGACTTGCTGGCGTCTTGCAATCTCGCAATCTTGCTGGCGTCTCACAGGGCGATAAGACGGAGCAGATGAGTGCCGGGAGACGGTGCTGACCCTAATCCTCCGATCCGGCTGCCGCGGCCTGGCGTGTGCCGTGTCAGTCAGCCACGGCGTGTGAAGCTGGTGGTGATGGACGATGAGGGCATTTCAGATGCAGGCGGGTGGAAGCTTCAGGTTTGCGAGATGCAGCTGCATGTGCCTACTAGGTAGTAGGTAGTACTGGCACCAGGCGCTAGAGCACAGCGCTATCTGGGCGCTGCCGCACCTTGTCGCCGCTTTAAACGGCCGCTCCCAGTGGCAGAAAGCCACTAACCAATGAGATACGCTCGCTAAGGTTCCCACAAAGCCCACCAACTTTGGCTTAGGGCCTCTTTTCTGCCGCTTGAGCTTGTCAACTTCCACCCCCCATCCCTCTCTCTCCGCCCTCACACCCCCCCTGGCACTTTTGTCCTCTATCAACGGAATTGACGTGAAATTCGCACCGCGGGCATCGGACAGACGGGCGATTCGCCGCGAGAGAGCAGGCGGGCAAGGATGGATAGACTGACTGAACAGAAGGTAAAGCAAGGCAATTCGGCACATCTCCACTCCATCAAGCAACCCGTCCCAAAGCTTCGAGCAACGACAAGCCCGTTGACTTTGGCGCTCTCTGACCAGCCGCCCGCTCGAGGCGCGCCGTCCAGGTACAAGTGCAAGCCCAGGGACAGGCTCGTGGCCCTCGTGCGAAGAAATCTACCATCAGACGGCCCCAATTACATGGAGCCAGCCAAGGCCCTTGAGGGGAGCGAGGCGGGGAGAAGAAAGTCCGAATTACTGGCCCGGCTTTTGACGACGAGCCCACCGTGACTGTCACCATGCCGGCGGTTGCTTCCAGGCAAACGGGGAGAGAGGGCTCCTGTCCTCATTCGATACGAATCACTGCAGAGGGAAGAAGGCTAGTATCTCCAAAGGCCAGCACCGATGGCTGGCTGCGGGAAGCACGAGGTACGAACAATCGACCTGGTGCGGAAACGGCACCACACGAGCTGCCATATCCAGGCGGCCAAGAAGCAGCCGCAGGCACCGGGGTCCGGTCAAAGATCAGTTTACGGCCGGGGCATCGATGGATGATGCTCAGGCGGATCCTCTCAAACATTAGGCTGTCCAGATGGCCGAGCAAGGATGTGCCGTCGCTTGTCCTCTATTGCCTGTGCTACTCCATACTTCGTACCGGGCGGGTACACATCGCCGTGGACTTGCACGAAACTCTGGCCTGGCTCGAGGAAAACGTGGGCGGAGGCCCATCAGTACATTGCTTCTTCCAACAATGACGGGGCTCCCTCGGCCATTGATTGCTACCCACGAGGGCCTGTAGCATCGGTCTCGGATCGTCCACAGAATGGCGTGTCTCTTCAGCGAGGGCTGAGTCTGCCATCCAACAACAGGACCGAGTGCAGACGGCGTCTTTGCTGCGGTGCTGGATATTGGGCATGAATTCGCGCCAGAGCTTCTTCTTCTCCCTGCTTGCCACTCGACCTGCCCCGACAACCTGGCCCGTCTCTGGCTGCGTTCCCTATCATGCCGTCTGCTGCGAGGCTCCTGCGGCCTGGCGTGGCGTCCATACGGAGGTCGAACTCCCATCAGCTTGCTCTTGTTCCTCAGCATGCCCACTCCCACCACAGCGATGCTTGCACCCTGGCGCATCAGAGCTGCAGCTTGTTGCGCTTGCAACCTTGCATTGCCAACCACACGCCCTCCCCCCCTGCCTCCCTGGCCAAACTCTGTCGCTTCTCTTCTCTCTTGCCCTCAGCTCCAACCCAAGAGGCGCTGCTTTCTACCCACCATGCACACCAGACCGAGAGATCGAGCGGGAGCCACCGATCGGGATGCTTTGAGAGACCAGCTCACCAATTTCCTGGGCTGCCACCACGCCCTGGCCTGATCTTGTCCCTGGTCCATCATCCGTGAGTGCATCCCGTCCTCGTCCACGGCCTTGCCTCACTCCCCCACCCTCCCTCTCCATCTCCTACTTCTTCACGTCGACGCACCTCTTTATCATCTCCTCCATCTGCCCTCCCTTTCCCTCGCTCATACATCAAGCCTGCAGGCGTTGCGTTCTCGGCCAATATCGCATAAAGTGGACAAGGTCTTCGGGCATTGCCTTCGTTTACGATCCACACCACACTCACTTGACACTCGCTCTCTTCTACACCGTTCGTTCTTACCAGAGGAAGCTCGGCCTTGTCGTGCGCGGTGGTCTCTTCGCTCTGCGGGTAGCATACCAGGCTCTCTCGTTATAACATCGAGACCCCACGCTTCCGGTTCCGTGAACCACCAATCACTTACACCCAGCGTGTCCAATCTATATCGGTCGCTGGTCCTTCAACGTCTAGGCATAACTGCCAGAGCACACGCATCTGCCTCTTTGCAACGATACACAGACGCCAAGCTATAAGACGGAGACAACTTTGAAGGGGGCACCTTTCCAATCTTCAACACCCCCTCCAGAGGGCTTGGGACTTTAACAATCCCATTGCCCGGGGCAGTCGCCCACGAATCTACCTTCACAGCCTCTTCACCTCGCACTGGTCAAGATGGGTATCGGAAGCTACTTCAAGGCCAGTACCAAAAATGCTGAGCAGGCACCGCCAGCGCCGCCGCCGGCCAAGCTGGCTCCTCCTCCTCGGTTACAGCTGGAAGGTCGGCAGTCGGTAATGTCGGAGAAGCCACCATCGTCCACCTCGGGCAACGACGTGGATCTTCAGCCTCCCACCCCTAGGTTTCATTCCCGACCCCAATCCAGCTCTGGCAGGTCTACCCCTTCAACGCAGAGCTCCATGTTCCTCGACGACATCAAGCATGAAGTCATGGTCAACTATCTGTACCAGCAGCAGTGTTCTCAGCTCTGGGTCAGCGACGGGTCTGGGGAGATCGAGGGTGTCCTGCTTCGTAAAGCTCGAGGCCACTACATGGCCTGTCCCCCCCAGCTTGCCAGTTCTCCCTTTGCGCTGGCATGCGCTGCTCTCAACGTGCAGTGCGCCATGACAGTCAACTCGCGTGTCATCAAGACGTTTCTGCAATGGTCCCCTGACGCCGTTGACGTGCCGCTCATGAACGGCTTGCGCGTGCAGATTCTCCCTACCATTGATGACTTGCCGCGAGCTCGCAAGTACCAGTTTGCTGCCTTTGTCGCGTCTGAGGGCCTCCTGGTTGTCTGGGACGATGATGCTCTTCATTTGGTGGCACGAGCCAAGGCTATCGAGTCCGAGCTCATGGAGCTGGTGTGGAAGGCCGGCAACGTAGACGAGGAAGGCGGCGACGAGAAGGGAGGCCAACCTGTCACTGAGGTTGAAATTGATGAAGAGAGCGGAGAGATCAAGCCCGAGAAGCGGCCCATTCATCTCCAAAACACCGTCCTCGTGTCTCTGACCCTGGCCTTGGTAACCGTCTCTCTTGGCGCCGCCTGGAGACAGTTGGCCATTGAGGTTTCCGTGGACAGCAACTACATCCGTCTTGCCCTCGTCGCCCTGGCTCCAGTCCAGGTTTTCTTCACCCTCTTCTTCGCCCAGGTCATTATCGGCTGCTTGGCTCAAATCTTTGGTCCCATCCGTCAGCTCACAATCAACTCCAAGTTCTACTCTGCCCGACCCCCACCGCGCCTGCAGAGTGCCGTTCTTCCTCATGTAACCATCCAGTGCCCCGTCTACAAGGAAGGTCTGCAGGGTGTCATCATGCCGACGGTCAAGTCCATCAAGCAGGCCATGTCCACGTACGAGCTCCAGGGCGGTTCCGCAAACATGTTCATCAACGACGATGGTTTGCAGCTCATCTCCGAAGAGGATCGTCTTGCTCGCATCGAGTTCTACGCCGACAACAGCATCGGCTGGGTCGCTCGCCCCAAGCACGGAGAGAACGGCTTCACCCGCAAGGGCAAGTTCAAGAAGGCCTCCAACATGAACTTTGCCCTCATGATCTCATGCAAGGTCGAGGAGAAGCTGCAGGCAATTGAGCGTCACCCCGGATGGAGCCAGAATGACGAGGCCTTGGCGTACGAGGAAGCTCTCAAGGAAGTTCTCGAGGCCGATGGCCGTGCCTGGGCTGATGGTAACATCCGCATGGGAGACTACATCTTGCTCATCGACTCCGATACCCGTGTCCCCGCCGATTGCCTGCTCGATGCTGTTTCCGAGATGGAGCAGTCCCCCGACGTTGGCATCATGCAGTTCTCCTCCGGCGTCATGCAGGTCGTCCACACGTACTTTGAGAACGGCATCACCTTCTTCACCAACCTCATTTACTCTGCCATCCGATACACCGTCTCCAACGGTGACGTCGCGCCCTTTGTCGGCCACAACGCCATCCTCCGCTGGTCTGCCATCCAGCAGGTCGCCTACCAGGACGAGGACGGCTACGACAAGTTCTGGTCGGAGAGCCACGTCTCGGAAGACTTTGACATGTCGCTGCGTCTGCAGTGCAACGGCTACATCATCCGCCTGGCTGCCTGGGCTGGAGAGGGTTTCAAGGAGGGCGTGTCGCTGACCGTCTACGACGAGCTTGCCCGGTGGGAAAAGTACGCCTACGGCTGCAACGAGCTCCTGTTCCACCCCATTCGCACCTGGCTCTGGCGCGGTCCCTTTACGCCCTTGTTCCGCCGCTTCCTCTTCTCCAACATTCGCTTTACGTCCAAGGTCACCGTCATCTCCTACATCGGTACCTACTACGCCATCGGCGCTGCCTGGATCTTGACCGCGGTCAACTACTTCGTCATGGGCTGGTTCAACGGCTACCTGGATAAGTACTACGTCGACTCGTGGCAGGTCTGGTTCTCCATCATCATCGTCTTCAACGGCCTCGGCAACATTGCCCTAGCCGTCATGCGGTACCGCGTCGGCGAGCGCGGTCTGCTGTACGCCCTGTTTGAGAACTTTATGTGGACTCTCATGCTGGCCATATTCCTCGGCGGCCTGTCACTGCACGTCAGCCAGGCTCTGCTGGCGCACATGTTTGAGATTAACATGACATGGGGCGCCACAAGCAAGGAGGCCGAGTTTTCCAACTTTTTCATCGAGGTGCCAAAGGTCTTGAAGAAGGTTAGTCACCCTCGTTTCATTCATCCATCCATCTTACCATGCTGCGCGAAGACTTCAGTTTGCTGACAATTCTGTTGTAGTTCAAATTCTCCATGCTCTTCTCGTTGATCTTCATCGCCGGCATGATTATCCTCGCCCAGGCGCCCTTTGTCCCCTTTGATTGGCGCATCAAGGACTTTGTCGCCATCCTGCCTATGGCCACCGTCGCCGCCAGCCACTTCCTGCTGCCCCTGGCCCTGAACCCTGCCCTCATGACGTTCTCATGGTAATCTGGGGAGCATACCTAGCATGGCACGCCTATGAACATATACTACACAGAAAACACATCGAAAAAAGAAAGAAAAAAAATTACAGCACATATATAGACGGGATCGGCGTTTCTTCCCCCCACCCTTCCCACATGTGAACTTACACACAGATCTCATCATCATCTCACGTACCCATTGCCAATTCTACGACAGTGTAGCCAGAATGAACGATATCAACATGTTCCCTGTTCTCCGGCAATTGTGTTCCATGGTTCTTTCTTTTTCTCTGTTTCTTCTTGTATGGCCATGTATTGCAAAAGAAAGGCCCAAACGTTAGACTCTTGCACTTGACTCTGGAAAGGAGGACAGGGTGTCGAAACTGTTATGAAGGAATGTGGGAAACGTATGGTATTCGGGACGGCTTATTGGAACAAAATGGCAGGGATGGACTGGTTGTTAGTATAGGATAGTAATACCATAACAAGAACTATAGTTGTCCTCACATCTTGTTCAGTCTTGCTAATGATGGTGATACGTTTACCCAAACGCATATGTATGAGCGAATAAGCTCTAGAGCGCGGTGTGAAAAGAAACAGTCCATTCATCTTGAAACTTGGCCAACAATCTTCTCTATGTCTATTCTTGATTACTTTCCCTGAGACACAAAGAGAGGAAAGACGAAGAATAGTTTATAAAGGAAAGAAAAGCAAAGAAAATTCCATCTATATACCCAAAAACGCCTCTATAACCTCTTTATCAAAAGATGATAACTTTCTCAAGGATCATGAATATCCCTCCAATCAATCAATCAATCCAGCCATCCATCTCATCATCGTCGTCGACGTCTTATTTTCCTGCTGTAACCCGTTCGGCGGAGGTCTATCCAGTGTAACTTGTATCTCCTCCCACAGAAAAAAAAAAAAAGCGTGCACAAAGCTCTCTTTCTCTCTAGCCAGACGCTAATCTTCAAATCCCATGAAACGACCATATCTCCCTGTCTTTAAGAGACCATCTAAGAAGTCCAGGCCAAAATCAAAAGAGCATAATAAGAGCAAGTAACCGAAAACTTTTCCCATCTCCCGTGTAAAATCAAGCAGCATTCTCGTGTTTTGTAAATTTACTCCTCGTCATCAGTATCGGGAGGGTGAGGAGTGCCCTTCGGGCTGTTGAGCCACTCAATGTGTCTCAGACGACGACGGACTTCCCGCTCCTTGAGCTCCTTCTTGGTCAACTTCTTCTTCTTGCGAGCCTTGAACTTGAGCTCGCCATTGTTATCCTCGACGCCAGAGTTGACGGCGCTGCTGACGACGGAGCTGGCCGCGGTGCTGGTGACGCCGCTTCCGGGACGGCTGTCTTCGAAGCGGTTCAGGTCAACAGCCGTGTTGCCTCGCTGAGTCACGCGTCCGTCGTTGACGAGCCACTGCTCGGAGCAGAGAGCGCCGACGAACTCCTCGTTGTGGGAGATCAGGATAACGCCTCCCTTGAACTCGCGAATCGCCACGGCCAGACCGCCCAGGGAGTCTCGGTCCAAGAAGTTGGTAGGCTCGTCCAGAACCAGCAAGTGGGGGTTGTTCCACATGGCGCCGGCAATGACAACCTTGACCTTCTGGCCACCAGACAGAGAGCCAATCTCGTTGTGGTTGGCGATCTCGGGGTCCAGGCCAAGATCCTCAAAGTGCTTGGAGATGACGGACGGCTGGAGCTCACGGTAACCGAGACCCTCACGAGAAGCCTCGTGATCGTCAAACTCTTGGACGAGCTTGTCGAAGCCGAGCTCGAGAAGGGTCTCACGTGAGATCATGGTGTTGAACTTGGGGAGCATGCCTCGCCATTTCCTAGGAGACGGTTAATATCGAAAACACTTACAGAGCCAGGGGTTTCGTCAATCACTTACACTTCATATTGGAACGTCTTCTTGAACTTTTGACGACCAACAAGCGCCTCAATCTGCCTGGCGGGCTTGCCGTCCTTGAGATCGACAAACTTGTCCATCTGGGCGCGGTCCTGCTCCGACAAGGCACGGGTCTGCTTCATGTGCACTTCACGATCATCACCGTGCTGGTATCGCCACTGCAGATACTGGTTGGGAGTCTTCTCCAGGTGCATCTCGACGTGCTCCAGGGCATGCTGCTTGATGTAGCCGATTCGGAGGTTGGGGTGCTTCTCAACCTTGCCAGTGGTGGGGATGGTCTCGCCGGTGAGCAGCTTGATCAGGGTAGACTTGCCCGCACCGTTGGGTCCAATAATGGCCACTCGCGAGGACAGCGAGAGAGAGCAGGAGACCTCGTGGAGTGAAGGCTTGGAAGCCCCGGGATAGGTGTACGAGACGTTGGACATGCGAATGATGGCACGAGTCTGCGACTTGATACCGGTGAGGATACCCGGAGGAGGGAACTTGAACTGGACATTGGATGCGGAAAGAGTGTAGTAGCTCTTGGCCTCGGGGCGCACCTTGACGAAGGCGGCCAGGTTGCCCTTGTAGCAAGCGAGCTTCTTGTTGGGCTCGTAGTGGTAAATGTCGGTGGTGACGTTGTCCAGGAATCCAGAGTCGTGGGACACGATCAGACTGGTAATGTCGGGGTGCGACTTGAGGTAGTTCTCCAGCCAGGCAATGTTGGCAACGTCCAAGTGGTTAGTAGGTTCGTCCAGCAGGAGGACATCGGCACCCTTGAGCATGGCTCGGGCCAGGGCAAGCTTCATCTTCCAACCACCAGAAAGAGAGCCGACCTTTTGGGCCTGACGGCCCTCGGGTCCAGACGTGAAGCCGAACTCCTCGAGAACCTTGGAGATGTGCTCGGTTCCTTGGGGACCAATTTCGGGGTCCTTGGAGACAAACTCGAGGATGCTGATGTCGGCGTCTTCGCCCTGGTTGTGCTCGACATAGTAGGTGCGGAGGACGTCCTGGGGAGGGAAGCCCTCGAGCTTGCCGGCGGCAATACTCTTCATGAGAGTAGACTTACCGGCACCGTTGCGGCCGCAGAGACCATATCGGTGGCCCTTGAGAAGTCGCAGATTGGTGTGAGAAAGCAGCAGCATACCACCGTAGGCCAGCGAGAAGTCGGCGTTGACAATCTCGACCTCGCCATCGTCCTCCTTCTCAGGAACACCGTACTTGCGCTGGTCCTCTTCCAGATAGAATTGCTGGACGGCATCTCCCACCTGTTGGGCAGCGTCAGGGTGCAGCAGGCTCTTCAGGTAGGGCACAATGTTGGAAGAAATCCGGGTCACATAGCGGTAGTTGACATCGGTGGCAACCATCTCGCAAATGTAGTTCTTGGCGAGCTTATACATCTCGGATTGCAGCACCGCGGCGTTGTGCTTCTGGATCTCGGCATCAAGAACCTTGGCAACGTCCTCGACAGTGGTCCGGGCAATGATGTCCTTGTCGTTGCCCATGGCCTTCTCCATGGTAGCCAGGGCTCGCTCGGCAATCTCTCGCACCTCGGGGAGAGATGCACGGTCGCAGACACCCTTGACACCAGGCATCAGCTTGGGAAGGAAGGTTCGGGCTTCGATGGGGTCGTGGACAAGCTTGGTCAAGTTCTCGACGATGACGACAGTCTGGCGGAGGACCTCCTGAGACGTGGTGGGGGTGTTGAGCGACCTCTCAAGGAAGGGCGTCAGCAGAGCCAGCACGGGAGACGTGACAACAGCCACAAAGGTCGTCTGGGACAGGGCGTGGATGGCCTTCTGGAGGGTTTGAGGCGAAGGATGCTGCATGGTGTCGACCAGCAGGGGGATCCGGGGGGCAACGTCGTCGTTGGACAGGAGCGTCGTCAGAGAGTTCATCGTCTTGACGGCCTGCTTCTCGACCTCGGTCTTCAAGTCGTGCATGCCACCCTCGACAAGGGGGATCAGGCCGGCCAGCTTGGCGCCCATGGCCTCGCGCAGCACGTCCTGTGCCGCAGCCTCCTCCTTGGTGCTGCCGACGACGATCTGGGCCTTGTCGGCCATCTTCTGCAGCAGCTGGTAGGCGCCGACGGTGCCCTGCCACTTGCCCGTCTTCTTCTCGAGATACTGCGTCAGCACGGGCAGCAGACCGACGACGAGAGCCTCGGGCCTGAGGTTGGCGAAGAGGGCGTCGAGGCCATACTGGGCAGCCTCGCGGACGACGGAGCCCTTGTCGGCCAGGGCATCCAGGGCGCAGGGCACGGTGCCGGCATCCTGGACCAGCAGCACGACCTCGCTCAGGGCCTCGCGCGGCGGGAAGCGCTCAAAGATGGCGCCCAGCAGGTTCTGGCTGCTCTCGCGGCGCAGCCCGTTCTTCTTATCGGCGGCGGCCTTCTTGATCTCGGCGAGGATGCCGTACGTCGTCAGGCCGGCGGAGCCGACGGAGCTCAGCAGCAGCTCGCAGAGCCCGTAGCAGGCATCGATGGAGGCGGCGGACGTCTGGGCGGTAAAGATTGTGTTGAGGAAGGCCGCGACATCCTCCTGTGACGGCGGGGGAGGGGCCTCTTTCGACACCACCAGGGGCGGCGAAACCGGGTGAGGCATTGCGGATGGTGTTTCGTGGAGCGTCCTGCTGGAGACAAGGAAAAGGGGGGTATTATCAAAGCGAGAGAAGAGACAAAACAGAAAATCCCCAGAGCAGAAAGTCCTCAGCCGCAGGACGCAAGAAAACAAGGGCTGGTCTATTGCAAAGTCTGGGGAAGAAGAAAAGAGAGAGGGAAAGGCGATGCTAATCAGGAAGAAAAAGAGAGCAGAACGATGGGGGAATAGACAAGGCGCTGATTTGGGCCTGGTGCTTGGACTAAGCCACTTCCTCTGCGCTGTGGTTGGGCGCCTTGAACTTTTTTTTTTTTTTTTTTTTTTTTTTTTTTTTTCTCTCTCTTTTTTTGCTTGTTCAGAAAAATTCTCTTATCTTATCAGCCCCTTATCTGTCGAGACAACGGTGAACCGCTAAGCATGTGCGGCTGACGTTATCACTGCCCACCTTACAGTTACTATTACAGAGTACCCATTGACAACGGCTGCGCTTCCACGCGGGTCGTGGCAGGCATCGTCTTTGGACGAAGAGACGTCCTTCATAAATCACAGATAAATAGGGGCTCGATTCAAGTGTCATCGGAAAATCTAGCATCCATTGTTACGGATACTTGTATAGTCTTTCAAGTCTCAGAGTTGACAGCCAGGACCTTACTTACCCAGTTGATGCTTCATGGGGTACAAATGCCTTTAAGGCTTCAAGGTGCAGTTCATATATTCACATGCAAAGGTTGGTGATAGACAAACAAACAGTCAACGTCAAAGAATGACGCCACAACAGATCAAAGCGAAGAATAGAATAGATCTTGCCCCTTGTCTAAACGACCTTTGGTCCTCCGCCAGGCCCAGCATGCTGAAACTTTAAATTCGTGATTCGAGTCTACACTTCGTTTGCCCATCTCAGTGACGCCTCCACGCCTCTCAATAAGAAGAAGAAGGAGGAAGAAAGAGAAGTAAAAAAAAAAAAAGAAAGAAAAACCAGAGGTTTTGTGAATAGAGGAAAGAAATAAAGTAGAAAAGAGAAAACATCAAGAGAAGAGTAATACAAAACAGGCAAACATGCCACCCAAAACAGGGTATAAGATTAGAAACACATACATTAGCTATATTCCAACACGTTGCAAGACTCGTACACTGCTCCATGTAGTATGTTCGTTCCAACCATATGTGCTTCTCTTCGTCAATAAATCAAATGCAAATGTGCCAGAAATAACAAACAAGGGGGGGTTAGAGGAAAGGAAAGAAAAGAAAAGGAAAGAAGGCGTCAGCGGTAATTGGTTGCTGTAGAAGAAAAAAAATTGTGGAAAGGGGGAGGGTGAGACGGTGAGACGCAAGAGTCACAAGATGAGAAGGGAAAAGTGCGATATACAGAGGACGTAAACATCAAGCCTCGCCATGACTTGAGCCTCGGAGTGCCACGGGGCCTTGGAAGCCGCCTTGGGAAGAGGGTTTTACAGTGGACATCTCGTGACCTCGAGAGTCGGGCGCCGGTCGTTGGTGCCGGTGAAGACCCAATCGCTGGTCGCCGTTTTGGTAGCTCTTCTTGAACTGGTAGTAGGATGGCGTCCGTGGCCTGCAGAGGACGGCCAGAATGTTCCTCCAGATGCTTGCCTGGTCAAAGGGTCGATATCGCTCGCTCTTGGTGAACTTGTGCGAATTCATAAACTCCCTCGTCGTTTCGCCACGGGCCATCAGGAAGATGTGGTACCCCATGAGGGCAGCCGGGTAGAGAAAGCAAAAGATGCCTAGAATGACTAAGGCTAGAGAGACACGGAAGTGGTTGACGGACTTGCCAAAGGAAATGTTGTGTTGGTTCGCGTAGACAATGAGCTGCGCAAGGCTTACGCCAATCAGGTAGAGGGAGAGGATGGTGGCAGATGTGACAAAGGTGAAGAAGTATCGGTAGTTGCGCTTGCCGACGCAGTTATTCAGCCACACGCAATGGTGATCGTGCGTCTCGATGCAGTTATCGCAAAGACGGCAGTGGTGGGCACGAGGCGGCCGCCAGATGTTGCACGTCCGGCAGTGCTTGACGGGAAACTCCATGGCGGCAGCCGTCGGCTCCGCTGACTTGATCAGTGTCCAGTCGTTTGTAGGCGGGTCGACACGGAGAGGATCCTCGTGCGGCGCCAGAGGAGGGAACTGGTGAAGGTTTCGGGGCAGGATCTGGCAACATCGGTTAGTACTGCTGGTTCTTTTGCCCCTGTGGAGACGGGCCAGCTGAATCTGGTTTACTTACCCCGGGATCGGAAATGGAGGCGTGGAGAAAGGAGGAAAAGCAGATGTACGCGAGGTAGCCAAAGATGATGGGAATGGCGGGGGAAATGTGATGCCACAGAAATGGGGCCTCGAACACGAAGAAGAGAACGCAAGGCAGCACCACAAAAAGTCCCGTGGCAATGTTGATCGGCCTCTGTCTGGTGTTTTGCCATCGGCCTCCAAAAAGGAACATGGTGTTGCCCTCAAAGTACTCGTAGTTGCGATGCCTGCGCCTTTTCTGCCGCACGGCGGTGCTCTCCGTCTTGGGCCGGACCTGGGAGTCGACGGGGTTGAGACGTGGCGACGACGCCGCAGTGGAGGCGAGCTTCTCGACACCGGCCGCGTTTCGATTCTCAGCACTCTGGGCTTGATCTCGGTCACTCTTGCCGGGGAGGAACGTCGATCCAAACGACTTGGGCGTCTTGAGCATGGGGCTCGGAAAGCTCCTGAGATCCCTCAGGTTGCTCCCTCGGCTCAGGTCGAGATGCGGGGGGGTCTTGTCCGGGCCCGAGACCTTGCGCAGCGGTCGAACGCTCTCCGAGAGGCTGCCACCGGGATAGTGGCCGGTAGGGCTCGTCGTCGTCTCCGTCGCTTGGTCAAACGTGTCGTGCTCGGTGAAGTCGGTGCCGCGCGAGGGCAGATGCCGCTGGTCTTCGCTGTACATGACGTGCTGGAACTGGACCGGCGGTCCATGGTGGGCCACGGGCGAGGGTGCGAAGTCGTGGATGACGCTGCCGTCGACGTCGGTTGCGTTGTCTGGAAGGTCGCCAAACTGTGGCTGAGGCGCGGCGGGTGGCTGGGCTGTCGCAAGAGGACGTGCCGCTACGGCTCTCTGGGCCTGCAGCTTCTGCGAGCTCATGGGGTGGAAAAAGGCGTTTGACGTGAGCGACGGGACGTGGCTGCGCGACGTGACGCTGGACGTCGACAGACCCAGGGCCGAGCTGGTCGTGCTGGTGCCGCTGCCTCTCTTGCCGACGCCCAGGCTCTTGCGGGCGCCTCCCCATACCTTGGACGAGGCCCCCGTCTTGGCCGTCTCGGGCCGGATCGCCGACCCGGATTCCCTCGTGCGATGCGTCCGGGGCGCCGACGTCGATGCGTTGCCGTCAGCCTCGTCCTCGCTGGCGATGTCGGTCATGTGGGAGGAGACAACGCTGTCCGGGCGCCGGTCGTTGGGAGTCGAGGCGGTTGTGCGAGGCGGGTAGGCCTGGTTGTTGCTGCCGGACCGCGGCGAAACGGGCGAAGCGGGCGAATCTGGGCTCGGAGACGCCATCGTGATGGTCCCGTACGTGCGAGTTCCGCAACTCGTCCTATAACATAGCCCGTTGTTGCCTCGATTGTTTGCCTCTTGTGTTGCGTTTCTCTTTCTTGTCCCTTTCTTCCTTTTTGTGTCGTCCCCCAAATGGCGATGTTAAAGACTGCGAGGTCCGAGTGTTCCGTCAAACAGAGATTCACTGCGAAGAGTAAATAAGGCTAGAGCTGAGAAAGAGACCGCGGCGAACAAGCGTATGACAGATCGACTCGATGTTTGACAAAGATTTGGCGGCTGCCGGCAAGACGCTGCTGAAGGGGAGAAAAAAAGATGGAGATGGGCGAATGGATCGGTTCCGCTCGCTGGGGAAGATCGCAAAGCGGGAACTTTGGGTGCTGGAGTCTCGGCTGGCCGCTTTGTAAGAGGCGTCGCGTAACAAGAGTCGGCGGAGGGTCGGGTCGCGAGATGTCCAGCACGAGGCGTCGTGGTCAAAGGAGTGTGAATGTGACTGAATGAATGAGTGGCAGCGGGAAGCTAGAAAGTAGAAAAGAAAGCAAGCAAAAACCGAGCAAGGGGCAAGATGGAAAATCGGAGAGAGTGTGAACGAATCGAAGGACTGCAGCAAACAGGTTAGAGGGAGCGTCGGGAAGCGGGGAATCGCTTCAAGATGGTGCAAAGACGAGAAGGAAAACGGCGATTGACAGGCGCTGTTGTGGATGGAGGCAAGGCCGGAAGGACGCCCGCTCCGGCAAAAGCGGAGGAAGGAGGAGGAGAAGGAAAAGACGCGAGAGAGTCAAAGAGATAAAACACCAGCCCAGCCCGTTCCTTTTTTTTTTTTGCCTCCCCCGTCTTGCAGAGCGTCTGCCGTTCGTCCACTTTTCGATGCCCTGTTCCAGTTGCTGCTGTTCCTGTTCCTGTTCCTGTATTAACGAGGCTGCAGGCATGCCGCCCAGACCCTCCTTTTTGCCAGGGCAGCGCCACCAAAAGGGGCTGGCCATTGGTGCGTTTGTCTTGCTGCAATTTGCAATTTGGCCCGTGGACGCAGTAGCTGCTGTCCGGGCATGGCGTACTAGCTACCTGCAGTTACTGGGCGTTGCCTGTTGCTACTAAGGTAGGTAGTATTTAGCTGCCCGTGGTCTATTAGCTGACAGGTTCGGCGCGGCTGGTAGCCGGTACCTGGATGGGCGACTGCCGGTACCTGCGCACGGAGCAGTTGCAGCGCTGGAAGTGATTGTGTTGGTACAGTAGTCGACCTGCAGGCCCAGCTGCTCTGCGGCCTGCATGAGCGCATGAGCATGAGCTGAGTAGCAAGCAATCAACGGCCGGTGCGCCGATTCTGGATGTGCAACCGCCTGCTTGTAGAACCTGGAGTGCATGAAACAAGGAAACAATGAGAGGCTTCACTGGTGACAGACGACGAGGCGTGACCTACTTTACGTACCTACCTAGGGATTTGAGGCTCTTCTCACATGCTGAGATACGAGCACCGAGTTTTAGTTAATACAATACAGCAAAGAACGGTCAGCTTGGGATCCTGTGCCTTGCGTGCCTTGCCTGCCTTGCCTGCCTCGCCTGCCTTGCTTTCCGCCATGCGCATAAGAAACCCGCCACGCTCGTCATTGGCTCGTGGAAATTACATGTTCAGGCATTCTAGCGCGGGCGGGCTGATGTGATTGATGCTCCCAAACCCGGTCAAAACGTCGTGCTACCCTCCTCTGGTGAGCTCATGCTTACCTAAGGCAAGTCATCCCCCGCCGAAGCTCAACCAGACCCATGTGACATGTCACGTGCACCCATCCCACCTGCGGCATTGGCCAATGGCATCCTCGGAATCTCGGGTCGAAATCATCATACGACCCCCAGCTTTCTACCAGCAGCTTCCAAGCCGAAATCGACCGCTCCTCATATTAAAATCTTCCCAACCTCCGGACCTCCGACCCCCGACCTCAACCACAACCAGCGCAAAACAAAATGGCCTCCATGATCACCCGCCGCTTCTTCTCCACGACGGTCCGCCGCATGGAGAAGCTGCAGCAGACCACCAGCAAGCAGGAGCTGCAGTCCGAGTCCAAGCGCAACCCCGAGACTTTTGTGCGTCATAATTGAGGACACCCTCCTCCGGAAGCTTCTGCCTATGGTTTCTAAAGCTTTCGCTTGCCTTTGAGAGGGATCGTGATGTGGGCTAATGCGAAGGAAATTGTGTAGATTCTGGGCGGTGTCATGGTTCTTGCTCTGGGCGGTGCTGGCTTCTACTTTGGTATGCGAATCAAACCTACAACATCAACACGGATATCAACCACTTGATCCCACCTACAACAACCGATTTGCAATCATTCTCGAAACACGACAACTCCCAAATTACATGACGTTTACTTCTCAGAGGAGAATCCGCAAAAAGGACTAACACAGCAACCAGGCCGCTCCCCCACCGGCGCAACCTCCGAATCCCCCGTCAACGTCGCCGCCATGCCCTGGCAGGGCGACGCCGAGGGCAAGTACAAGTACCACCCCGGCGGCGACCCCAACGCCGCCCCCCGCGACGCCCCCAGCGCCCTCAACGTCGTCATCATCCCCAACGTCACCGCCCCCAAGGAGGCTCACGAGAAGTTCAACAAGTGGGGCAAGGAGGGCTACCCTTAAAAGCAAGCAAAGACTTGACAAATTTGAAATGGATGCGTCTTTTGAAAGACACAGAAAGGGGAGAGAGAGAGAGAGAGAGAGAGCATGCTTTGCTATTGGGCTGTACTTAAACTGAAAGCACAGGCGATGTGCCTGTTGTAGATATATATCGAGTGGCTGGGTGAGGACGGGAGATGCTATCGAGATGAACCATGTTTTTTTCTTCTTGAAAACGGGACAGTGACAATGAGAGAAAAGAAGGACAGGAGAAAGAGGACTTTTGCATGCTTTCTTTCGCCTTCTTCCTTTGCATGAAAGCACGGGATCATGAATCTCAAGCTTCAAGAGCAGCGAGGCTATCCAGTTTCCCAGGGTGAAAGCCACAATATCATGTACAAGAGCTTTACATTGCCCTGATGCAGGCCTCCTACCCACTACTTGAGAGTGAGCATCCTGTTGTCAAGTCTTTTCCAGAAACTATTTCTTTCAATGAGGATCAAAGCATCTATATCAACTGCAGGCCATTAGAATTGCCCATTAGAGTTCATCTCATCCCCTCAAAAGTAGGTAGGCATCAAAATTTCAACAAAAGCTATCCATCCATCAAGGCTAGAAGCTACATGAACCGTGTCAAGTACAACAGGCTTTGCAATTGCCGCCGACGTCCGATACTAATCGACAATAAGCATAATGCTGTGAAAAAGCTCCTACAGAAGCTCATCATTCACCGAGGACAAAAGCTAGGTACGATATCAAGTACAAGTCCTTTGAGATGCCCAATAAAGTCCTCCGTATTTCCGTAAGCAGAAAAGCTCCCATTCACCGTTGAGAAACAAGACCCATCAAGCAACTTCATTTTCCCAAATTTCTAGCCCTTTGCGGCGCCGAGGTCTCGCCATTCTCCCAGCAGAACCCATCAAGCCCAACCAAAAGACGCTACGCATCACCTTCTGATTCTGTTGTTTTACTCCTGAATGCTCCTTGAAAAATTCAAATTCACACACAAGCCTCAAACTCACGAAACCAGCATATCAATCTCCTCGCCCGTAAACCCAAACAGGTACAGCAGGTCCAGCATGCTCTGCCCATTCAGCCTCGCGTCGGCCTCCATCTGCACCGTCGGCTTCGCGTTCCACGCCACGCCCAGGCCGGCCTTTTCCATCATCAGCAGGTCGTTTGCGCCGTCGCCAACGGCAATGACCTGGGACAGGTCGATGCCCTCCTTGTGGGCAATCTCCACGAGGAGATCGCGCTTGCGCTCCTTGCCGACGATGATGCCCTTGACCTCGCCCGTGAGCTTGCCGTCCTCAATGACCACCTCGTTGGCGTGCGCGTAGTCGATGCCCAGCTCCTTGGCCAGCCAGCCCGTCAGCGGCAGGAACCCACCAGACAACACGGCCGTCTTGACGCCGAGCCGCTTCAACGCCTTGAGCAGCTCGGGCACGCCATTGGTGACGTTGAGAACCGGCCGGAGCGTTTCAAAGACGGTGGCCGGCAGGCCCTTGAGCAGCGCGACTCTCTCACGGAACGACGACTCAAAGTTGAGCTCGCCCATCATGGCCCGATGCGTAATGTTGGCCACGCGCTCTGCCAGATCCGGCGGCTCGCTGAGGTTCTCGGCCAGCAGGTCAATGACCTCCTGGGTGATGAGGGTGCTGTCCATGTCGAAGACGACCAACCTCGGGTGCTTCCTCCACAGGGTGTCCTTTTGCAGAGCCACGTCGACGTTCCATTCCTGCTCGAACCGGTAGATGAGCTCGTGTTTCCGCAAGTCGGCGAGGCTGAGGTAGCTGGGCGACGGGGCGGGCGTCAGCGTCAGCTCGACCACGCGCGGACTTTCCTGGTTGTCCAGACAGCGATGCGACGAGTGCGGCTCCTCGGCGTCGTCGGGCAGCGGAAACGTCGACATGAGGTGCAAGAAGGACGTGATGCACAGCGGCGACACGTACGAGCCGTACAGGTGGTCCAGCTGCTCCGACTCCTGCGTGGGCGGCTCCAGCGGGAACTCGTCCATGCTCGTCGTGGGCGCCATGTTGGGCGGCAGCGACTCGGTGCTGTCGGCCAGCCCGCCGCCGCCGTTCCTGGCCGGCGACCGCGACCGGCTCAGGCCCCCGGACGTGCTCCTGGCGGCCGCCGCCGCCGTCGCGCTCCGGTCGGCGCCCTTGTAGAACAGCGTCGCGACGAGGCGGTCCGACTTGCGGCCGGCGGGGGGCGCGCAGTTGGGGTGGGAGTAGCTGTGCGAGACGCCGCTGTCGACGACGACGGGCGGGTGCTCGGGCGACGGCACGCCGTTGAAGGGCAGCGCGGGCGACTTGGACGGCGAGGTGTCCTCGACCAGCGTGTCGATGCCGTGGTGGGCGTGCGCCTCGGGGATGCGGTGCTGCGGCGGGCGGTACTGCTGGTGGTCGCTGAGGTACGAGCTGCTGCGCATGCTGCTGGTGAGCTGCGGGCGCTGCGAGGGCGCCTTTGCCGGAGCCGGAGTCGCGTCTGCCATGGTGTTGTCGGCGTGCTTGGTGGGGGGGTTTTGGTGAGAGGGAGAGAAGAGAGGAGAGGAGAGAGGAGGAGGAGGAGGAGGAGTTGTCTGATGGCCGACTCGAGGAGTGTCGCCAGAAGAGTGCCGGAGCGAGGTCCGGAGACGGGAGGCAAGTTGAAGGCCAACGAAACAAGAGAAACAACCGCGAATTGTGTGACAGCCTCGCACCAAAAGGCTTCAACTCCAGCCAGCAGCAAGAAAGAAAGAAAGAAAAAGAGGCTAGAGCGAAACAGAAACAGACAAAAACGACAGGTGGAGAGGGTGCTCCGAGTCGCGCTAGATCAGCCTCGAACTGGGAGGTGTAACTTGAACCAATAAAATGGTGTGATTTGGGCGTTGGTGACGAGGGGGATTGGAGAAAGGTGTGGGAAAGAAAAAACAGAAAAAAAAGGCTGGCTGGTGATGGTGGGCGAAGTTGCACGAGAAGTTGGTGGAGCGTGATGATGGTATTAATGGGCATGACTTATGTAAACCTGGGGATCTGCATCGGATTTCTCACAATTGCGAGGGGCAATTGGAGATTTTGACGATGGAGACGTACATCCAAATTTTACTCGAGATTCTACCATTATGCAAACGAAACCGCAGAATCAAGCATTGCACTTGAAGCGATTCTCCTGCTTCGTCACTCCATTCCTCAATTGCCCCGCCTCTCCAGTAGTAGTACAGTAAGTAGTATGTAGGGGCGCACAGCTTCAACGCCAAAAGATCCACCTCAACTGGTGGTAGTACTACACGTATTACACGTACAAGCAGCAAAGACTAGATGAAGATCAACACGGAACTCGTGATGAGCTTGCCGCTCGCTATGCAATGTTGTATGTAAATCGCTCAACCGTGGCACATTGAGATTGAGTCTTGTTTGACTCGAGGTGTCTTTGCATGACTTTGCTGTGGTTCAGATGCATGCATACTATCGCTTGGCTAATAGTAGGACGAACCGCTGCGAATGGCTCCCCACCTAGCTGAGGTCGCTGTTTTACACGCGATATCTTGCGTGTAGATAGCCAGAACATGGATCCTTCAATGTCCCCTTTACTCCTCAGATGCATATACCAAGTACAGATGACTCCAAGCAGATCCAAAGCAGATCAAATCATCCATCTAGTCCAGCAAGCAATCATCACCATCATCACCATCCCCATCCTCATCCTCACATCACCATCATCACCACCATCCTCATACTAGTCACTCCGGCCTCAGCCCCCATCTCACCAGCACAGGCTTCCGCCTCCCCATCCACCTCTCCATCTCCTCCAGCCCGCGATGCAGCGCCCACAGCACCATCCCCAAGTCCTCCATGTCCTCCGGCAGCGCGGCCCTCGCGTCCTCCGGAAACGTCCGCACCGTCACCTGCAGCCGCGGGCCGCGCGCCCACATGGCCGCCCATTCCACCGCCGTCCGGGCCTCCCACAGCGCCGCCTGCGCCGTGAACGTGAGCTGCAGCGCGCGCGCGTCCGCCTGGTCCCAGCCCTGCTTCAGGAAGCTGTACGTGCCCGCCAGCATCTCCGCCGTGAGCACCGTGCGCCGCATGCTCTCGTGGTAGATCCACGACGCCCAGCTGTCCATCGTCTTGGAGAAGGACCGCATGCGCGGATACAGGGCCGCCAGCAGCGACTGCACAATGGCCTCGTCCCTCTCCGCGCGCATCCTCTCGCCGGCGTCATCCCGTGAGAAGAAGCGGATGCACTGGTACACCACGAGCGCCTGCAGCGCCGGCAACAGGTCCAGCGCTGTCCCCGCTGCCGTTGCCGCCGCAGACGCAGACTCAGACTCAGACGCACAAGTAACGGCGTGCCGGATGGAACCGATGAGCCGGACAACTCGCTTGGCAATCTCGCCCCTCACGAGCGCCGCATTGGCCGTGTTCCTCATGCAGTGCAGCGCGCTGGCGGCGAGGGCCTCCTGCAGCACCTCGGACGCCGCCACCTGCGTGTGGTGGACGAAGCAGTTCTGGCCCGTCATGGCCAGGACCTGCGGCTGCATCGCGAACCGGCCGGCCGCCCACTCCGTCCGCGCCTGGAAGATGGACCCCGTCGTCACGGGCATGCTGTCGGTGATGTCAAAGTAGACAAACTCCGGACTGGCGGCGTACTCGGATGCGGAGAGCCGGCCCAGTGACGGAGAGTCCATCGGCCCCGATCCCGATCCCGGACCCGGACCCAACGACAAGAAGGCCTGCTGGTCCTGGTTCTGGAGCATGTACTCGTCTAGCTGGGACAGCAGGCATGGTACCAGCGGCTGGGGCACCGCAGTCGACGAAGGATGCGGCGACGAATACGCCGATATTACGGCACTCGGCCCGCCGCCGTGGCTGCTGCTGCTCCCGCTGCTGCTATCACTGCTCCCACTGCTGGTGGTGTCGACGCCAGCCTGCCAGATGCGACTCCTGTCCTGCGTAAGTTGCGCTCCGACACTCACCGGCGGCGGGGAGGCCACGCCCAGATCCTGCTCCGAGGCGCCGACAGCCATCATCCAGGGATAGACGCATTCTTTCCTCGACTTGCGACAGCGGCCGCACGACGGCAGGTCGAGATCGCACCGCCGCTTGCCCGCCACACATGCGGAACACGACTTTTTACGGGTCGAGATCATGTTTGTGACCGTCTAAGTAGTAATGTATGTATATGGCCGATCTGCGGAAAACAGATTGGCGACCAAAGAAAAAAGAAATTGCAATAATGGGCGGCATGCGGAAGTGAGTTGGTGGTTTGAACCAAAAGGAGACAACGCGCCTTTGATTGTGAGAGGCTCCTCCGGGCCTTGTAAGATGCTCAGGCTGGGGGGGGAAACTTGAAGCTGTTCGGAGCCCCCCGTGGTTGCGGCCCCGTTTTAAATGCGGAATTCCGCACTTTGGGCGCCCGCGTTAATTACCTATGGAGTCGCCGTATGCGGAAGAGGAGCCTTGAAGCCTCACGGCGAGAAAGATGGTGAAGAGGAACATAAATCTCCTCGGCTCAGCTGTATGAGTACGTGAAGAGTTTGGTGAGGCGCGCTGTGCAAGATTCACGATGCGGTGTTCCGATGTCTGACAAGCCATCAACGACATGATGTAGGCTGCGTGTAGATGGATATTAGAAATCTCGTCGAAGAGGTAATGGGAAACGCTGTATAAAGACGGTAATCATAGCTCACTACCTAGTAGAAGGAGTAAAAGACAAGCAGATTCTTCTGTAAGAAAAAAAAATCCCCAAGTCAATCGAAAGACATCATTCAGTCTGCCGTACCAGTCAAAATGACAGTCACCTCGGCCCAAGACTCCAAGATCCCCTACAAGGTCATCTCCATCACCAACAGGACACACAGGACCGCCTACCCGGCCATCTCGCCCTCCCGCCCCGCCCTCTCGCAAACCGGCCGGACCGTGCTCATCACCGGCGGCAGCGGGGGCATCGGCTACGGCATCGCCCTCGCCTTTGCGACCGCCGGCGCGTCCAGGGTCATCATCGTCGGCAGGGACGAGGCCAAGCAGCGAGCCGCCGCCGAGAGCCTCGCCCGAGACGCCGGCCCGGATTCGCACACCAAGTTTGAGGGCAGGGCCGCATCGCCGGCAAGTCCTGGGGACATTGACGCCCTGTGGGATGCGCTGAGCGCCGAGGGCGTCCTTGTCGATGTGCTCGTGCTCAATGCCGCCGTGACGGGCAATGTTGTGCAGGACTCACTGTGGACGGCGGGATGGGAATTTACCTGGGAGAGGTTCATAGTCCATGTTCGCTCCGTCAACCATTACAGCGAACGCTTCTGGAAGCAAAATGAAGAGAAAAAGGTAAGTGTAACAGTTCCATGTATCCTCCCTCCCCGAGTGTCAGTCCGTCAGGTAATACGGCATCTACCTCAGGTAGATCTGCAGAATGGGTTCGACTGACAAATAGCGGTTGCGATGGCAGAGATACCTCGTCAATGTATCCACTTCCGCCATCCACGACTTTGAAGCGGGCAAGGCCACGAAAGCCTATGCATTGACCAAGAACTCGGGGATGCTCCTGATGCAGCAGCTTGCACGCGACACGCCCGTCGACAGGATGCAGATTGTCAGCTTCCACCCCGGTGCCATCTTGAGCCCTGGCGCGAAGACTGGCGGCCTGGATGAGAAGTCTCTCGACTGGGACGACAGTGCGTGCAGCCCACACTCTTGAAGATGATATTCTCTCCCTTGATAGTCAAGACTGGAGCTAACATGGTACAGTCAGCCTCCCCTCCTCGGTGGCCGTCTGGGCGGCTTCGGACGAGGCCGCATTTCTGCACGGTCGATTTATATGGTCGGCATGGGATGTCGAAGAGCTGCAGAAGGGGCCGCTCCGGGAGCGTATAGAGACGGATGACAAGTTTCTGCGAATTGGCGTTTACGGCCTGTGATGGCACATAGACACGCCGTCTGGCGGTCATCCACAACGCCTTGGGTGCCTAGGAGTAGAGATGCAGCAGAGAGTCCAGAAACTAGAGGCAGATCAATAGCCGGACTGCTCCGTATGTACTGTAGACAGAGATCTCCATTCCATCACAGGTGCCCTGCGTCACATCATGATGAATCACCCGCCAGCAGCCAAAAGCATCCATCCACTAACCTGGCACCCCTTCAACTGGCATCCCCGTCATGTGTAATCAACGAGCAATGCCAACCTTCCCTCTGCTTCTGCTTCTCATCTGCCCCCATCAGCACAACTGCTGCAAGCTGACGAAGCACACAAACACAACCCTCACCCGCACTATGATTACTCTCACTAGCCCGCACAACCCCCGGCTTGTCCCCAATCGCAGCCAGCAATGATCCCACCTCCATCCAATGAAGCCCCCCAGCGACGACCCGGCTCGGACCCTCGCGGCGGCACCACACCCACGGCCCACCATGAAATGGCCCTTTTATTCCAGCCATACGGCGCTCGGCTTCCGACTCCCGCAAAGCCACCGACAGCCCGACGGCGCACAAAATGGCTGCGATGCCGTCTTTCTACCTTTTTGATCCGGTTTTAGATCCCATCTCAGCCCGTTTAATACTCTGGAGATCCGCCATCACGCAATTCATCCCCAGAGTTTTTTTTTTTTTTCCCACGGCTCCTCGATCATCGTCCCCTGGTGGCCCTCTCAACTCTGTCGTGATGTCGTGACACCATGATTATAATCGGCGATGCTTCCAGATGGGCTTTTCTTTTTCTTTCGTCATCCGGGATGAGATCATGCCCGCGCCCTCCCTTCGCGATTCCCACCTTCGGCAGCCACTCAATTTCTAAGCCAACAAAGCCCCCGGAAAACCCTTCGCTGCCCCAGTCTTTCAAAACTGGGACCCCGTTCCAGGTACACGATACTCGAGCCGCTGCTGATTCGCCGCTTGCAAAGGCGAGTCGATGATACCATCGTCCAGCCTCGGGGGGGGCCCGCGGCCAGCCAATCACAGCCGCCAGCCCGACATCGCGGAAGCTTTGGCGTCGATGTCGTGATCGCTCCTAGACGCAACTCCAGACGCCCAAAAGCTTCCAGGCTCGTGCTTAATGCGTTTTGGCTCGCTCTGCTGCGTCGCCGTGAGCGATGTTCCGAGGCCAGAATGGCAAATTGGACGGGGGGGACGCCTGATTGCAATCATTGGGGCAATTTTTTTCTCTCTCACAGGCAGGAGAATTAGTCAGGGCGGGCGGGAAACAGGGCAAATATGTTTCCCCCAGATGGCCCTCCATATACAGACTGCCTTGCCCCCCCTTCGAAACTTCTCGTAGTTGGTTTACAAGCTCAGCTTTTCTTCTCTTTGCTGCCATAGACCTTGTGCTTGGACGTTCCTCCAGCTGCTCCTTGATTCAGTGACGCTTTCTCGGCTCGAAGAATCCAGTCTCCCAAGTCAAAACCACAGCCTCCTGTATCCTCTGAATCGCTTCAACACCCGATTCTCAGCCCAACTCGAAAGTAACTTTTGTTTGTTGCCCAACTCAGGGAAACCTCAAAGCCTCTCATCCATCCATCTCCCGTCATCATGTCCGTCATCATGGAGCAGTCGGCGGCCCAGTCGTCATCGTATGCCCACGACAAGGTCGACTCCAACGACATCGAGTCCGGCTATGCCTCTGGCCAGTCCGACTACTCCCCGTCACCACGCAACGAGAAGCCCGTTATTTCCCTCAGCAAGTCGCACATCGAGTACCTCAACGAGCAGATGGAGACGATGCACCCCATGGACATCCTCCGGTTCTGCAAGATCATGTTCCCCAACCTGTACCAGTCAACGGCGTTTGGCCTGACGGGCCTCGCCACCATGGACATGCTGTCCAAGATCCAGAAGGAGAACCCAGAGTCCCGCACCGTCGACCTCATCTTCCTCGACACCCTGTACCACTTCAAGGAGACGTACGAGCTCGTCGACCGCGTCAGGGAGAGATACCCCAACGTGCCCATCCACATCTACAAGCCCGACGGCATGGAGACGGCTCAGCAGCTCGAGGAGACGTACGGCGAAAAGTTCTATGAGACTGCCGGCGACATGTACGACTGGATCGTCAAGGTCGAGCCCCTGCAGCGAGCGTACGACGAGCTCAAGGTGGCGGCTGTGCTCAACGGCCGTCGGCGGTCCCAGGGCGCTGCCCGCGGCTCCATCCCCATCATCGAGCTCGACGAGGAGAGGGGCATCGTCAAGATCAACCCCATGGCCGCCTGGACGTTTGCCCAGGTCAAGCAGTACATCCAGGAGAACAACGTCCCCTACAACGCCCTGCTCGACAAGGGCTACAAGTCGGTCGGCGACTGGCACTCGACCAGCCCGGTCGGCGAGGGCGAGGATGAGCGTGCCGGTCGATGGAAGGGCCAGGGCAAGACGGAGTGCGGCATCCACAACAAGAAGTCCAAGTACTCCGAGTTCATTGCCAAAAAGGAGCAGACTGCGCCTGTGTCATGAGCGGCCCGTGTTGGCTCTCTCTCCCATCTGAGGCGCGCTGCCTCTGCCCGCAGGCTAGAAACACTTGAACTTTTTTTTTTCTTTTTCCGTTATGACATGATGACGTTTGGTGGCATTGGCGATTTGGAGTCTTTGAGGAGTTGCATCGATGGACCAGAATTTTTCAAGGGGAGTTTCACCCCATAGATACACATCATGGGCGGCGTTTGGCTTGGTTTTGTGTTGTTTCTTCTCTTTTCCGACTTTTTGATGGTTCTGATGCTGGGAATTGGTCGAGCGAGCAGGTTTGCAGCAAAAAAGGTGGTATCACATGCCCATGGCAGTAGATAGCGACAGCGAATAAAGCAAGACCAGATTATTGATACGTCCTGTCTGTCGTCTGCGTCCGTTGTGATGGCGAAGTGCAAGCTGATCCCTATCGTGAAGTCGGGATCGTCTGTTCAAGTTGGCTTCCTGGGTCAAGGTCCGTTGAGCCACTTGGTGCCCCGCGCCACCCCCGTTGCTAAGCGTCTGACAGGCATTCGCTGCACAAGACACCAGACTCAGATAGTGCCCTATCGCCTCATTTTTCAACGTCCAGGGTAGCGTCTATCGTACATCAAATGCTGCTTTTAGAGTACATGAATCGACTTCATTTCGCTTTTGAGTGATGCTGGCGCTGCATATGATACCCGACTCCTAGATTTGCATTCAGATTTTCTTTTTTACACTACTCACTGAATATTGGTTCTCATCTTTGACTTCAGAATTTTCCACCATCATGCAGTCTCTTCCCCAGCCTTCCTCTCTCTTCAAGGAGAAAAAGTCCAAAATCCTCCAACAACTCGCCGTTCCAGACACAGAATATTCCGACCTCTCACCCAAAGGCTCCGTGGATGAAGGCATCCGTTATCTCATCGATGAGATCAACACCGCCGAGGGATTCGTGACGACAAGCAGCTGCGCCGGGCGTGCGAGCGTCTTCCTTGAAGGCAGGAAAACAAGGGCAGCAGAGGGAGAGAATGGGGAGCATGAGCAGGTTGCGAGAGTAGGTGGCAAAGGGGCGGGAGGGACGTGGCTGTATGTCTCTCATGATGCTTGGAGTGGTGAGGACGCGGCACATTTGGACTGGATGAAGAGTCTAGGATTTTCGGATGTGGACGAAATTGAGCTTCTAGATGAGAGCCTTGGGGAGAGGAGGCTCATACACTTCAAGTTTGAGCCCATGGTGAGCATCCCATTTGTGCCCATGTAGACGAGGGCGAAAGAACTGACTGGAACAGATCCTTCATGTCCTAACTGCATCACCTGGTCACGCCCAACTTCTTCTGCGCTGCGCCTTACAAGCTGGCTTCCGCGAGTCCGGCGCCATCAACATAACTTCTCCCTCCAGCGAGCAAACCACACCCATGGTAGCCATCCGCTCAATGGGTCTAAGCCTCGAGTCCCTCGTCGGCTACCAGGACCTGGACGGACAGCGCCGACAAATAGTCCCTGCAGGATACTTCAAGATGCTTCTCCAGATATCGAATGAGCGCTTCGTCGAAAACACAAAACGCATTGAGAGGTTCCGGTCTGCATTCAAGGATGCCGTGCTGGAGCCACAAGCGTCGAGTGTCCCCAAGAAGCTGAACCCCGAGGGCAAGGAATGGGAAGATGCGGCTGCTAGACGAGAGAGACTGCGGGCAGAAGGCCTGAGGAGAAAGGCTGCGCTTCAGGCTGAGAAGCCCAGCCCAGCGGTCCAGGATATAGACGTTGAACTGCAGATAGATTCTCCCTTTTAGCGTAGTTCTTGCTCTTATTCTACCTCTGTTCATACATTGCAGCCTTTTATTTACCGCTGCCCATCTTTTGCCGTAGTGTACAGACGTACATCCATCCCCAGCTCGCTCGCTTGATATTCGGCCAGTGTTCAGATCACTGTCACCAGAAAGTCTATATACCCGTCACATCTCCCTCTTTCTTTTTCACCCTTCTTTGCTTTATCTTTCCCACCGACCCCTTCGACCCCATTTTCAATTATTTCTCAAAAAAAAGACAGCTCTATGCCGTGATCCTGTTGATCCACTCCCTCTCCATCTTCTTCACCTCCGCCTTGAACGCCTCGACCTCGTCATAGCACACCAGCGGTTTCCTGTCATTCTCCCTCAAGCACCGGATGACGCTGTTGCGCGCCGCGTCGACGCTCTCGGGCAGATCCCGCACCTTCTTCCGCTGCTCGAGCTTCTTGCGCAGCTCCTCAATCTCCTTGCCGACGGTGTACCGGCTGGGGCCCTTGTCCTCCTCGGAGGAAGAGGCGGCCTCGGCAATCTTTTCGTGTGCGAGCTTGAGAGCGTCCGACTCTTGCTTCTCAAGCCTCTTGAGCTCCTCAGCGACGCGAGCTTGGATGTGTTGCTCGACTAGCTTGGCGCGGGAAGCATCCGTCTAGGACCACCGGTGCGTTAGTTCTTGTATAGTTTTCCTCATGACTGGTATATAGAATTCGAAAATCGATGGCCAAGAAGGAATATTCATCATCGAGGGAGGCGTACTTCGGGGCTAGTTTGGAGCGTCTCAAGGACCGGGAGAGAGACGCTTGGCGGTCCCGAGCTGTTTTGCGATATCAAAATTTTGCCTCGTTAGCTGGCGCATTTCGTATGCATGATGGAGGAACCATTTTTTGCATTGTGATATTTCCAATCGACGGGTATGACGTACATCTTCCATGTGAGGCCTTGGGGCTTAGACTCTTGGGCACCCATGGCGACGGCTCAACGGCGATGCGGGCAGGACAGGCTGGGATGGAGTTGTGCTCGTGATAAGCACGTCTTTCTGCAAAATTCCGGGCACATTCGGCTGGCGTCACTGGGGAGCTTGCCGGGTCCGGAGGTTTCTGCCTGAGGAGCGAGTGTGGCTGGTGGCGCAGTCAAGTGTGGCTGGTGCTGTTGTCGCTTCTTTGCTTGCGCCAACCTGAAGGCCGGGCACAATGGTCAGGTCACATGACTTTGGCTGCTTGTCTCAAATTCGTGCTTAGCTTGCTAACTGAGTTACTACCTATTCAGTCTCATCTGATTGATAACATTTCTTCAAGCCAACAATGGCAAGGCACGGGATTCAGACCACACAATGGGTCAACCAATGATCACGTACCTCTTTCTAGAAGGCATTGGAAAAGGAGGGCGTGAAACAAAATTCAATTCAAAGTTCAACTCACAGTCGATCTTGCCAGCAGCAATTTCTGCAGTTGTTTCAAAGAGCCTGCCTCACTCTTATTTCAGTGGTAGAGCATAACCCTTCAGATAGCCGAGGCTGCTGCCCTGCATGTCCTTTTGCGCCCCCAAGATACCAAGACAAACAACAAAATCTTCAGCATCCCGCGCATCACGACGCAACCTTCAATGGTCGTGTCGTGCCACGGAATGCAAAGAATATTCCTCACACATCACGACATCACACAGCCAAGATGTTGGCGACGGCAGTCAACGCTGCATTGGGCATGTCACCGAAGCCTCGTGGGGCGCGATTGAGCCAGTTGTCCACCCCCCCGGCACGAGTAGATTGGATGAGTGGCCTTGGCTTCATCTTCTTGTGACAAGCTAAATGCGACGGTTCCCGATGGGCTGGAAAAAAGTCCTTCTCTCACCGAAGCATTCCTGCTGTTGGGTCCCGCCCACGTTTTCTGTCGCCCGTAAACCCTCTTGCTATTCCTCTATCGTACAAGTATTCCGGGGCCAGCGATGACATTCGCGTTGGCCGAGTGGAGAGACGTTGCTCGTGCGCAATCTCAATGGTAATCTCTGGCAATATATCAGTTAATATCCCCATCCCCAGCAGCAGTGCAGGCGGAACCCAGACAGATAATTGCTCTCTCCAGGTGTCTTTCAGGTTCAGGTCAAATATTAGCAAGGGGCGAGTTGGGAGTGAATCTTGGACAGAAAATCTCCTCATGGCCTCGCACATCATGCCATGTGCCGCGTCTGGTCGTGCGATGCGATGTGGTCAATGTCATTGTGGCATTTTGTGGTGGGGAGAGACTATGGGCGACGACATGGCAATCAGGCGTTGAGATCTTGAGCTGCATAGGCTTTGAATGAAACAACGTCGGTCCTAGTCTGCCGCGGTGGCTTCCGGAGATGCAACGTGCGCCCCGATCTGAGCCTCTGACTGGCTGCTGACGTCGTCGCGGTGTCGCAGTCGGCCGGAACGCAGAGCCAGTCAGCAGACAGCGTCATGATTTTGCCTCGCCGCGCTCGTGTTCTGTCTCCTCTGCGAGGGAAACCCAGAGTCAAAAGGCGAAAAGCTTCCTGTGCCTCCCTCTCACCACCCCTGAACTAGGGCCGACAGGCCTCTTGATGGCATGCAGGGCCCGCATGCGTGGCTGGTTTCAGAACCGAGAGGGCCAGCCAACAGCCAAGCAGCGCACGTCGTTGTCGGACCCCCCCAGCATCTGAAGCGCAGCTGTTGCAGCCAACCACGGCGCCCGGAACGGGATTTGGAGATGGTGGCTTGGGTGGCTTTCCCTATTGTGTTTTGGTCCGGCGGTTTTTTTGGGCTTCTTTGTGTCCGGCCATCCCTGCATAGCGCTCCCGAGCCCGAGTCGAGAGCGTGAGGGGCAGCCTATTAGAGGGCGAAAGGTGGGAGGGCGCCTAGAAGGTCTCGACGACGCGGCTGGGCGAGGCCGAGATTCTGCACGAGGTGCTGACGATGACGACGATGCGGTTTCTGGCCGGGCGTCTGCTGCGTGAATGGACTCGGATCCGGGACTCGTACTCGAGAGCGGCTGTGAAGTTCGCTGGAATGAGCGAGGTATTTGAGCAGTGTCGAGTCACGGGCGCATGCACTCTGGCGTCTGGGGAAGCGTGCATGCTACTGTGCAGATCCGAATCGAGGTTGATGGAGCCATTTTGCTGATGATGATTCATGTCTCTGATCCAGCCTCTCCGCGTCACTCAATCACTAAAGCTGCCTCGAGGCAATTTCGTCAGCATTAAGCGTAAACCAAAATAGAGCAGATCATACCATTGAAAGCTGATTGTGTCGATGATCAGTGCTGCTACTACTACATGTAGTATTTACCTTTCTCAGCTGCATGTGAGCGATAGTACGAGAGGGTTTGAGTCCATTGCGAACTCTCTCCTAGGCTCAAACGAGTTGGCAAGCCAATGAGGCGGGCATGTCGCGCTTCCCTCGCACCTGCAGCCATTCGGTACCTGCGTCTGGAAACAAAGTCGGGCGTTTTTAGTGGCCGCGTGCCACTGCCAGCCAGCCGAGCGGAGTTGGCGCGCTAAGGCCGTAGCGGCCAGCCACAGGGGGGGCCCTTCAGAGGGCTCCATAGGGCTCCATAGGGCCTCCAGGGCTCCGTAGCAGTGCCCTTGAGGACACCAAGGGCGCCGCAGAGGGAGCAGAGCAGCGAGCTCAGGGAGGCAGGGCCCTGGCCTGCTCCCTGTAATGCCGCCCCAGGGCTCGCTGCTGGGGGGGCTGCGGCAGGGGCTTGGTGGCTAGCCGCTTGGCTGCTCGCAGCTTCCAGCGCCCGGCAGCCAGTGATCGCCACCCACAACATGCCATCGCCGCCATCAGGGGGAATGTGGGCTGCCGACGGCGAACCATCTTTTCCTCTCCCTGCGCCCCTCGCTCGCCCTCTCGTTTCCATCGCCGTCCCTTTGCCTGGCTGTCTCTTTTCCTCTCCAGCTTGGTTGGCTCGTTCTGTCCTTTCCCTCAGCCCGTCTGCGTTTCATCGGGGCTGGCCGCTCGTTCGTCACTGTTTCTGCCCGACTAAGCAAAAGAAAACGAAAATCTCAGGAAACCCTGATACTGTACTTCAACTCTCTCCTTCGCATCACTCATTCATTTCTCAAAGCGGCTGGAGATCTTCACCTCGAAGCCTGACCAAAAAACCTTGCGACAATAGACGCCGCCGTCTCCTCGTTCCGTCATTCGTCAGAACCTTGATCGATATCGACTCCGTCACTCACTCACCGTCCCCTCAAAACAACCTCAGAGACGGAGCTTGCCTGCGGCCTACTATTTGTTTGTTTCCTTTGCCTGGACCCTCCTCTTCGGCAGGATCGGCTTGATCATTGCGACTCTGCGTCTCAATCTTCAACCACTATTTTTTTGCCGCCACAATTCGCCCAATTATCCGCCTCGCACATACCAGCGATCGATCGTTAAGCTGAAACTTGAAACGAAACGGCATAAGATAAACAACAAGCCAGAGGAAACACACAATACGCACACACGCACGCAGACGAGGAAACCACCCGCTCCCGGTCGCCTCCTGGATTCGTTTCTGTGCCTATTGTTCACTCTATTCGACTGCCCGGTCCTTGCCCAACGACTCCATCCCTCCCACTAGCCAGTGCTTCCCTCTCCACGGGTCCACCACATTACCGTGTCAGCACACCCCCAAACACGAAACGCCCGAATCTCGCAGGGAAACTTCTTCGTTGTTGTTGGAGCGATTTATTGGCCCGAAGCCGACTGGCCACTTGTGGAAGCCATTTCTATTCGCTGCTGTGCGTGGGTGACAGAGGCTGCCTGCACGCGGTAACGGGAGTCACTCGAGTCGAAACCCCTGCACGGCTCTCGACATTCTTTTCGCCTGCTCGGAGCGAACCAAGTTTCTTCACCTCAACCACGACTCTCCTTCTTTCCGACCTCCGTTGTTGCACGCACAGGATGCCATTCAACAACGAGGCGTGACACAGCGAATTGGTTCTCTTTCTTTTCTTGCCCATTCTCCCGGCCGTGACTCCATCCCCGCTGCTGAGTGGCGCTCGTTGGAACACGGTCGACACTCTCATTCTTCTGTTCTCGCGAACAAGCACATTTTTGGTTGGCAGCCCGTTTCACTCTTTACGTACGGCTTGTTCACATTCCCTCCCCAAACTGCGCATCCTACACTCTTTTTACCCTGCCTCCTCCGACGACGATACCCTCCTTCCTCCCAAGACCTCCAAGAACAAAAACAAAGAGCGAAAAAGAAAAGAAAAAGCAAAGACCAAGGCAGAATGGACGTCCATCCGCGCCGGTTCGCTGGTGGCATCGAGTCCTTCGTTCCCTCACGGGTGCTGCAGGTCAGGTCGTCGGAAAGCTCAGAGGTACCCTCTAATCCAACCATTGCACCCTATACCACCTCACTAAATGGTGTCAACCAAACGCAGAACAACTTGTTCAGAGACATTCTCTGGACCAGTCTGGGCGCCGTGGCCGTCATTGTACTACTCATCAGAATCGCAGAGCTACTATGGGCGAAGCTTCGCCAGGTGTCGGCCATGTCGGTGCCGCGGGACAAGCAGGGCTACTGGAAGCACTCGCAATGGAGCTGGATGCCGGGCATGAAGAAGCATCTCATCTACGCGCCGCTGTTTGGGAAGCGCCACAACCGCGAGTTTCGCTTCTCGTCCGCCGTCAACGTCGGCACCCTGCCCTCGAGGCTGCACGCCACCCTGCTGTTCCTGTACCTCGCTAGCAACGCAGCGTACATGTTCATCCTCGACTGGACGCAGGCCAACTACTACTCCTTCTGCGCCGAGCTGCGAGGCCGCTCCGGCACGCTGGCCCTCGTCAACATGGTGCCCCTGATCATCATGGCCGGGCGCAACAACCCGCTCATTGGCATGCTGCAGATCAGCTTCGACACGTACAACCTGCTGCACCGATGGATGGGCCGCATCGTCGCCATCGAGGTCATCATCCACACCATCGCCTGGGCCATTCCGAGCGTTGCCAACAGCGGCTGGGCGGGCGTCTGGAAGCTGCTGCTTCACAGCCCCTTTCTCGGCATCGGAGGCCTGGGCACGGTCAGCCTGACACTCATCTTCTTCCTGGCCGTCTCGCCCCTCCGCCACGCCTTTTACGAGACCTTCCTCAACCTGCACATCCTGCTGGCGGCCGTGGCATTCGCCTGCACTTGGGTCCACTGCGTGACGGCTAGCATCCCCGGTGGCCTGCCGCAGCTGTCATGGGTCATCGCCATCCTCTCGCTGTGGATTGCCGACCGCCTGGCCCGAATCGTCCGCCTTGCGTGGGTCAACTGGTCCGACAAGGGCTTTGCCGACGCCCTATGCGAGCCCATGCCCGGCGACGTCACCCGAGTCACCTTCCGCCTGCCGCGATACATCGACATCAAGCCGGGCACCCACGCCTACCTCCGCTTCTGGAACGTCAATGTGTGGGAGAGCCACCCCTTTTCCATTGCCTGGGTCGAGCACGAGGTCCAGCACTCCCTGCCCACCTCCGAGAAGGACCACCTCACCGCCATGGACCGCAGCAATGCCTACACCCTGGTGTCGTTCCTCATCGGCGCCCAGACGGGCATGACGAGGAAGCTCTTCAACACGGTCAAAGGCTCGGAGCAGGGCATCCGCATGAAGGCGGCGCTTGAGGGCCCGTATGCTGGCCACCACAGCCTCGACTCGTACGGCCACGCCGTGCTGTTCGCCGGCTCAACAGGCATCACACACCAGATCTCGTACATCCGACATCTGCTCAACGGCTACAACGAAGGCACCGTGGCGACGCGGCGAGTGACGCTTGTCTGGATTATCCGGGAGTATGAATCCCTCGAGTGGGTGCGCCCATTCATGGACCAGATCCTGCGCATCTCAAACCGCAAAGACATTCTCCGCATCCAGGTCTTTGTCACAAGACCGCAGAACCCGCGCGACATTGCGAGCTCCAGCTCAACGGTCAAGATGTTCCCTGGACGGCCGAACGTGCCGCTGCTGCTGGCCAAGGAGGTCCAGGAGCAGGTCGGGGCCATGGTGGTCAGCGTCTGCGGGCCAGGTGCCCTGGCAGACGACGTGCGAGGCGCCGTGCGAGCGGTGCAGGGCCACACGGTTGTCGACTTCATCGAGGAGAGCTTCACGTGGTGATGTGCATATATCGCAATCTACTATCTTTTATCTGGGTATTATGAAACGATGCTTTGAAGAGTTTGTTTTTATACTATACAGGTACCTAGATGGGAGGGGGATCCGAGGCGCTAGCCGGCGAAGCAATCTTTCCTGACAAGTTTTTTCGTCTTATACCATTCGACCTGTACATATTTCAAGAGACCGGACTCTGCGGACTCGGAGGCTATACCCAACATCTACGGAAGAGGGCATGTACCCAGACGTTGTATAGAATCTGCATACTCCTCGATACCTTCTTTTTCTTTTACACTCATTTCTTTTTGCGAGATGAATCGGCGCAAATTGGTTGTGTTCTATTCTTCTTTCTACTTTCATTTTCTTCCCTCTTTTTGAGAGGACATAGCATAGCATCTGGAGGGAAACAATTGGACTGGCTGTTCTTTTTTTCTGTTTTACTATTTAGTCCACTTGCTTGAGTGTTCCCTGTGTGTGTGTTTCCTCTGTATGTTCTTTTTCCGTGTGTCTCCTGGGAGTGTTTCTTGTGTTCATGATGTGGGATGCTTGTGTGTTGTCGTGCGACTCCACCGTATGACTTGCGTTTGTGATACTAGATTGATTGAAGATGGGTAGGCTCTGGGTATTTCATCGGTTTGTATACTAATCGTACGATGAGCGTAATATGGAATAGTGCCGCTATTTAGAGGCTTTGCTGTCCAATGCTTTTTCCTATCCATCCCTGAAGAGTTGTATATACAGATATATATCCTTACAAGAATAGAATAGACTCATAATAGAATCCATGAAATAATAGAAAGGAGAAGCGCCAAACACCCCTTGTCAATTCAAGCCTTTTGCTCATTCCCCATCCAATCCGCGCCAAGGGGGGGCAGAATTCAGAAACACACGATACACGCTTACGTCCCCATCACCAACCCCTCCACCGCAGCCATCATCCCTCCTCCTCCCCCGAGTTCATCCAGCCCCCTGAAACCTTCCTCGACGGCCCACGCCCTGCCCTTCTCCATAGGATGCAAGAACTCGCACGAGCGGCCCACGACGAGGAGTCCGGGGGGCCGGCTGCCCTCTGCCTCGATGGCCTCGGCGACATGGGCGAGGGTGGTGCGGATGACGCGCTGGTCGGGGCAGCTGGCGCGCTCGATGACGGCGCAGGGGGTGGAAAGCGGCCAGAGGGCTCTTGAGGAGGAGGAGGATGATGTCTTGTTTGGGTGCGATGATGTTGTGGAGGTGGATGTGGATGTGTTGGTAGGGTCTGAGGATTCGGTTTCTTCGTCCTCGATAGGGGTGGTGAGTTCGCGGACGAGACCGACGATACGGTGCAGCGCCATGAGGAAGACGACTGTCCGCGAGGGCACGTACTCGGGCGGCGCGGGAGCCTTGCCCTTCTTGCCGGTGCCGGTGCAGATGAGGACCTGGTCGGCCACGTCGCGCTGGGTGGCGGGGATGGCGGCGAACAGGGGGGCGCTGAGGGCGCTGGTGACGCCGGGGAGGACGGTGACGGCGCCGGGGCCGTCGAAGCCGTGCCGGCGGAAGTGGGCGAGCTCCTCGCCGCCGCGGCCGTAGATGAAGGGGTCGCCCTGCTTGAGGCGGAGCACCGTCTTGCCGGCGGAGGCGGCGGCGAGGGCGGCGGCCAGCAGCTCGTCCTGGGCCTGCTCGGCGTTGCCGGGGAACTTGCGGGCGATTTCGACGGGCGTGCGGCGCGGGATGAGGTCCAGGACGCCCGAGGGCACGAGCTTGTCCGCGAGGATGAGGTCGGCTGTCTGGATGGCGTTGTAGGTTGCGCGCGTGAGCAGGTCGGGGTGTCCCGGGCCGCTGCCGGCGAGGATGATTCTGCCCTTGGGACGAAAAAGGCCCGGGCTGCTGGAGTCTTTCATGTCGCCGTCTCGGGGGTTTTCTGCGGTTGTGCCTGCTGCGGCGTAGGCTTCTAGCAGGCGGTCGACATCGTGGTCGGCCACGGAGGCGAGCTTCTTGAGGGGCCAGTACTCGCAGACTTGGCTGAGCCAGCGCATCCGCCTGTTGCGCCGCACGTCTTCCTCCTCCGTGACGAGCTTGTTGAAGAGCGCGCTCTGGTCGACTGAGTCGTCGAGGTCGCCCAGCAGCGCCGTCTCTGACGAGCCGTTCCTGTCGTTGTCGTCGTCGTCGTGCTGCTGGATGCGTCGCCTGGCCTCGCCGAAGCGCTGGCAGGCCGCGCCCAGGTTGAGCGGCAGGGAGGAGGCGATCTCGCGACGGATGCGCGAGGCCAACTTACAGCCTCGGCCGTTTGTGGTGACGCCGATCTGGAGGGGGCCGTCGGAGTGGACGGAGAGGAGGGAGAAGGTGCAGAGATGGGGGGCGTCGACGACGTTGACGGGGATGCGGTTGCGCTTGCAGAGGGAGGAGATGTGAGGGCCTTGGGAAGATGTTAATATACAGGGAATATGTGGTTGATATACAAGAGGTGTGATATGGTTCACTCACCCAGCTCTTCCCGGGCTCCCGCGGCCGTCACAAAGACGGCATCAACGACGCCTCCCACCTCTTGTCTGCCCAGCCGAAACAGATGCTCGTCGGCAAAGGCCTCGCGCACCCACTTGACGCTGCCGTCGTCGATCCTGCGCTGCAGGCCATAGTGTAGCTCGGCCGTCTGCGGCGCAACGACGATGGGATGCGCCCCGGCGGCGAGAGACTGCGTGCATCGAGCTGCGGCCAGTGGGTTTGTGCCGACGACGAGATGGATGTTGTCTGTGCAGTTGAGGCCTGCCAGCATCGAGTTGCCGGTGCTGGCGGAGGGTGAGGACGCAGCCATGTTGGGGATATGGCGGGATGGCTGGAGGCCCGAGATCCGGATGCTGGCAAGAGATTGGAGATGTGAAATGCAGAGGTCGGATCTGTCTTCTCTTCTGCTTGACTTGTCAATTCATGGTTCCATGTACACTGGATGATATTCTCATAGTAAGTACATCAAGAAGAAAGGGAGCTTGTGTCCAAGATATCTCAATTCCAGTCGTCTCAATAAATAGCATCCATCCACCTCGACTCAATCTCACCCAGTCAGGGTCCCTCCCGACAGCCCGAAGCCCCAACGCCGAAGACCCGACAAGCTCTCTATTTTTTTTTGTCTTGCCATGTTCATTCTGTCATCAGGGACCAATGACGGCTTCAGAAATAGCTCCATAATCTCCAGTTTGCAGACCAAATTGCGCGCTTCTCCAATGGCTTGTTGTGTGATTACCCTCACCTCAGAAAGCTGGAGAATGATCAATCTGCCACCAAGCTGACGCCATTTTCCCCATGTGGGGCCGCTATCGGAATGATAAGCCTAGGGACGGAGTTGCGAAGGTTTTGGTGACTGTTTAGTGGTAACTGCTGCTGAAGCACGAGGTGAGACGAAGCATCTCCGAGGCAGTCATTTGTGAGGGCATTCTTATCAGAAAGGCATTTCATGTTTGATTGCCGGTTTCTGTATTCAGTCAGTGACATTTCCGACGTTTGTTTTCTGGAGGCGCTGCTTATCGGGTTGATGGGTGGTGAGCTTTGATATCAGACTTGAACATCTCCGAGGGAATGCAATGTTCCATACAGCCAAGCAGTCGAGGGACAAACAGAGCCTCCCCGGTCTTTAAGAAAGAGAAAAAAAAAAAGAAGGTGTGATCTGCTTATTCTGCCTCAATACGAAAGCCAGAATCTGGGCGGAGATGATAGTAAGAAAGCTGCGTGAGCCACCGGCGGTTAAGAGGCTAGAACGACGTATACCTGACTTGTTCATCAGAAGACAAGTATGCGATGCTAAAACAAAAATAAATCTAAAAGACACTGGACGATAAAGCGTCACCCTGCCCAAGAGTAGGTGTAGCGCATCAGCGTTCATATACATCCCATCAATCAATTGCTGGCAATTCAACAAATCGATACAGGTAGGTATGGTCAAGGTATGAGTGTCACTATGGTTGAACTTGTAAGCTTGTTATACGTAATTCCCAGTCGAGTTTTTCATCCAAGACGCTAAGGCGGGTTGGTGGAGTGGTCTAACACGTGCGACTCAAGAGAATATCTTGATCCTTCGAAAGGATTTCGCATCTCGCAAGAGGCGTGGGTTCGAATCCCACACCCGTCAGTCTTATTTTTGTATTTCTTTTTTGCCCCTTGACCACTTTCTTTCAACAAGAGATAGTCTGATTGAGTTGATAAACACCAAGTAGAAAGGGAGTGTTACTTCTTCTCTTTTATATTGCCATATGCTCTCACCTGTGGGAGGAAAATGGATGGGCTAAGCTTCTGTTTGTAGATGGACAACGAACCAATAGTATTACACCGTTCCTCGAGCGATGGAGAAGCTGTCTCCTAGTGGGAAGAGGAATCTACAGCGGCTACTGCTTCTTACCAAGAAATTGCAACAAACATATCTATTTTTCCGATCATGTCGTTAGTATAGGTATACAAGTATTAATGCACTTGAATTTGGTCTTGCCGTGTCTAATTCAAACATTCTGCACTGCCTGAGCTCGAGGCAACAGACGCTATGCCCGATGCGGTAGTCCTTGATTGTTCTTGGCCCTTGCATTAACACCTTAAGGTACCTACCAGGCCAAGGGTGGTTTTTGGTGACCTATACAGCATCTGTAAGCCCTTCTGTAAGGGCAAAAGTCAATGAATAAGGGAAAAAATCACTGATAAAGCGCTTACATTAGACGTTACGAGTCTGTCACGGTCACCAAAAACCCCCCTCCGGCTGCTAGGTAGGCACCTACGCCATAATACTGTAGGTACAAGTTGCAGCAGCTCCTGGCACCTCTGGCATTACTCAGCAATTTGATTCAGAGACGGCGCGCGCAAGCTGGCCACGCTCAGACTTCGACTCCTTCACAACCACCAACAGCGAGCAGCAACTCCTCAGCCACAGACAGCATTGCAATCCTGCCTGCATCTTACGAGCGCATCGTCACCATGAGCGGCCCCGTCCATGTCCAGTCCGACGGCGAGTGGCAGTCGCTGCTCTCCAAGAACTCGGTCGTCGTCGCAGATTGTATGGCACTTTGCCGGGTCGAGCCATGTTGCGACAAAGGTCGATGGATGCATCAACTGCTGACAAGCGATTCGTGACAGTCTACGCCGACTGGTGCGGCCCCTGCAAGATGATTGCGCCGCACTTTGAGCGCCTCGCCAAGGAGCACTCGCGCCCGAACAAGGTCGCCTTTGCAAAGGTCAACGTCGACAACCAAGCCAACATTGCCCGCACGAATGGCGTCACGGCCATGCCCACGTTCGTCATCTTCCACAACGGCTCGACCGTCCAGACCATCCGCGGCGCCAACCCGTCCGCCCTGACCGAGGCCGTCACAAAGGCCGTTGCCCTCGCCGACGGCGGCAAGGCCGAAGCCGTCTTCAAGACCCCCGGCAGGACGCTGGGCGGCGATGGCCCCGTCCCCGCTCAGCGTCACTGGAGCGTGACGGTGCTCCTCAACGTCGTCATGATGCTCGTCGGACTCTACTTCACGTCCTTATTTTCGGCACGTAACAAACAGGGAGCGTAGGATGGACGGGGGAAGGGGAGCAACATTGCTGACTGGTGAGCCAGATTGATGCGTACAAGGGCGCGGAGCTGTCCATGTTCAACCCGAAGAGACAGCAGCCATCGCGGGTGAAGCCGGCAGCGGCTGGAGGACCGGCGCCAGCGGGCAGTGTCCGACCGCAACAACAGAGGTCGGCCTTTAAGACACTAGCAGATTTGTGATTTTTTTTTTTTCTCCATTGATTTGAATGATGCGATGGAGGCGAATGGGTGGTGGAGAGTGGACGGAGTTTGTTCCTGTGCGTGAGCGATTCTACAACCGCGTCAGCTAAGCTGGCATGCAGTGGCGATACCTACAAGGCCGTTGCCTGATTATATGAAAGCTGGTATTATGACTGCCCCGTCAATTTTGACATAGGGAAAATAAAATAAAATAAAATCAAATAAAAAGAGACAGAGTCCGCATGCTGCACAACTCCATCGTCTTAAGTTGGTCCAATGGAGCTCGTCTTTGTAGTGCGTCTGTTAGCGCTGGCCTGACTCTGTCATGCAGGCTTATCGCCAATCGTGGCAAACACGTGACCGTGAAAGTCTGAAAAAAGTTGAGAACTGCCGTTATTCATGAAGAAGAACAGCATTTTCTCCCCTTGAAAAAATCCTGTGCCAAAATTCAAGATGCTGCCGTTGAATGGGATCAAGAATGCTTGCCCCAAGTGCAGCTACGCCTATCTCTTCACGGCGTCGAGGCAGTCCAGACATGCTTCACTTTCACCAGCATCACTGACAAGATCGACTGCCCCACGCATACAGATTCAGCGAGGCTCGTATCAGCTAAACAGACGATGCTTTTCCACCTCCAAAGCTGCTCTCCAAGAACCATCAGCCATCCCAGGAAGCCAATCTGCAGAGGATATCGAAAAGGTTGTCCGTGAAGCGAAGCAGCGCTTTCGAGACACCCTGCCCAAGGGCTATCTCAGCGTGGAGGAGTATGCGCTGTACGAACGGCTCTATGGACCACCACTCCGAGAGACGGCGCCTGAAGACGTCGGCATTCCGACTCATGCGGACATGGAAGGCCAAGTGACACGGCTGAGCGATGAAGGGACGCTGCTGAGAGAGTTGGAAGGCGGGGGATTCGAGGAAGTCATCTACAGATTACCTTTCGCGGATGGCGAGGCAGAGGAGCCTTCAATCTCGGAGCAACTGTCGGCTTCTGAAGCCGCGGTAGAAGCAGTTGAAGAGTCATTATCTTACATTGACGCCGTTGCCAGGAACCCAAGGGAACATGAGGCGCTGCAGAGGCTGATGCAGGACTTCAAGGCCGCACAGAAGAAGCAAATGGAGGAGGAGATTGTGGCAGCAAGGGCGGAAGCCGAAGCGGAGCAGGAGGCTTATGAGATGAAAGAAGAGGAGGGTGAGGTTCTCTTTGATGAGCAAGATCCGGCTTCGCCTGGGGTAGAGATGCAGGTGCTTTCAGGCGAGGCGCGACGATTCCACCCTTACACTCTGCAGGGCAGGTTCCACGGAAGCCCGGTCGAGATTTCACTACCTCAAACTTCATTCGTCACACCTATCCGGGACCTCTTGGATCGAACCCACCTCTCTCACGTCAAGGCCGCTGCCGAAGCCGCATTCGGCGGCCCAGGACTACCGACTTCGCCATCCACCCCTGAAGGGAAGAAGAACGGGCAGATGGGCGGCGTCGGCCTACCCCCTGATCAGCGACACATGACGGAGATTGAGGCCGATGCGTTTCTCGCCGGCTTTCTTCCTCCTGCTTATGCCTCTGTCACGTCTGTTTTGCGGGAAGTGCGGAGGCGGCTAGGCAGCGACTGGATCCAAGAGCGACTCAAAAGGAGCGAAAACGCAGGCTTGAGTGTTCTAGATGCAGGAGCTGGCGGAGCCGGCCTCATTGCCTGGGAGCAGATACTCAACGCAGAGTGGGATCTCCTACGAGAAAAGGGCGAGGTCAAGGGCACACAGCCTCCTGGAAGGAAGACGGTCATCACTGGATCAGATCGACTGCGTCACCGCTTGAAGAGCTTCCTCCACAACACCACGTTCCTGCCTCGACTGCCTGATTACGAACACTCAGGAGAGATGCAGGGCGAGCATCTTGATGCCGGTGACAAACCCCAACCGCGGAAGAGCTACGACCTCATCATCGCTTCCCACCTCTTCCTGAAGGAGAAGCAAGACCACTACCGCCAGGCTATCCTGAACAACCTGTGGACCCTCCTCAACAAAGACGGTGGCGTGCTCATTGTGATTGAAAAGGCCCACCCCCGCGGATTCGAAGCTGTCGCTCATGTCAGAGACACGCTGCTCAAGCAGTTCCTCCTGCCTCAGAACGGCGAGCCTGGCACCCCGGCGGAAGAACTGAACCCAGCATTCCACAGAGAGCGCGAAGCCGGCCACATCATTGCGCCTTGTACCAACCACGGAACATGTCCCATGTACAAAGAGGCCGGGAAGAGCAAGGGCCGAAAGGATTACTGCTACTTCAACCAGCGATTCACTCGGCCGACGTTTTACACCAAGATGTTGGGCAACAGCTCGAATACTCAGGGCGATGTCGAGTTCAGCTATGTGGCTATCCAGCGAGGCCACCTCAAGGCAGACCAGCGTCCAGGATGGAAGGCCACCGAGCAGGCCTTTGCAGGATACGAACACTCACAGGAGAGCCCGGACATGCAAACCCTGCCCCGAATGGTCCTGCCACCGCTAAAGCGCAAAGGACACGTCACGCTCGACGTCTGCACGCCCGAAGGCAAGATTGAGCGATGGACAGTGCCCAAGAGCTTCAGCAAGCTCGCCTACCACGACGCCCGCAAGTCGCACTGGGGCGATCTGTGGGCTCTCGGGGCCAAGACCAAGGTCGCTCGCAGCGTGCGCGTCGGCAGCGGCGTGGACGATGGCGGGAAGCGAGCAGAGGGCGGCAAGAAGCCTCGCAAGGTCGAGATTTCCATGGACGGGGGACGGCTTTCGGCCAACGAGAAGAATGCGCGAAAGGAGCGCCGGTCCAAGGGCAAGCGGGATAGGCAGACGGATCTGATCAAGGAGATTTTGGAGGCGGAGGACCTGGAGGAGAGGGAGATTGAGAGGGAGATGGACGGAGAGGTGGAGGAGGAGTTGAGGTTGGAGGAGGAGGAGGAGGAGAAGCGGAAGAGGAGGCGATGAGCGGGGGCATATGTGTGAGGATATATTGTATGACTATGGATGGAAATGTACATTAGGTCAAGGCACTGGCTCATTCAAGCGTTCTAGATTGAAAGAATGGTCTCTTTTTAGTTGTTGCATGCCGCATCATATCGATAGTATTCGTGAAAATCTAAGGGGATTTTATGCCGCAGTGTATGTATGTATGTAGAAGACTCCTTTTGTTTCTGTTGAGAACAGTTATGATAGGCGCGGATCTACTGCAGCTGAAATGAGGATCTTCAACATCCATTAAAATCAAGCATATCACCACCGACTTGCAACCCAACGCATAAACATGACAGTTATCCCTTTCTGCATCAGACACAATCAAGCCCATCATAATACCCATTCCGTCTGCAAGGGGGGGAGAAAAAAAAAGAGAGAAATGCAGCTTCACAACTCGCCCTACGAAAGTAGACGAAAATTACATCCAATATAGCCGCGTCCAACGCTCTTTAGGCTCAACTCTCCAACACAACAACGCAGATTGTTCAGTTTCGCCACCGGCAAATCTGTACAAATAGCCACGACACTTTGATATGAAATTTGGAAGCTCGCTTTCTGCATAACCCAAGGTGCAGGTAAGTGAAGGAGGCTCGACAGGTCTGATACCTTATGCAGTCAGTCATGTAAACCAGCTACCTTATGCAAGGGCTGTTAAGCGAAATCAAGGCGCTCAGATCTATCCTGTAACAAAAGACGATGCCGTCTGAGAGAAAAGCCACAGGGTATTTGCAGCTTATTGAAGCTTTTTTTTTTTTCTTTCTCTCCATCGTATGCCCGCCTTATGTGTCTAAGAAAAAGCCACAAGGTAGCAGCTCATCGAATTGTTTCTCTATTTTTTATGCCGACCTTATGCGCCCATTCAAGGGAGGTCTTGAACAAGCAGCGCTCTCAAGTGAGGGGTGGTTCTCTCCCTCCCTTTGACTAAGTCCTCAGCAGCCTTTTTCCCACGACACTCAAGTCCTTGCATCTCTTCACCGTTCTTATCGTCGTCTCCTGGGGGATGTTGAAGGAAATATCATCGCTGCCCTTCGCCGTGTAAAAATAATTCGTGACAATGCTTGTTGTCGGCCGTCCACGACTCGTCCGGAATAGCATCATCTTGACGCTCGCAATCCTATCAATATGGCACCTTGGACTCTTATCCCGAACGCCTACATCAGCATCAGCATTAGTATCAGCATCAGTATCAGCATCATCAGAATGGTCTCGTCTTGAGCGTCTCATGAACCGCGGCGCGCCACTCACCCCATATCCCGACTCAAACTCCAGCTTCGACTGGAGTGCCATCCCGTTCCGCTACCCCCCTCACAACACCACCCACCTGCCCCCTCGACACAAACAACCCCCCCTCCCCCGTATCCAGCACCGCTTCGGCCCCGAATCCCCGGCCGCCGCCAAAGAACGCATCAAGAGGCTCAAAGCAGTAAAGCAAGTCTTCCTCCGGGCATGGCAGGCCTATAAAGGTTATGCCTGGAAGCAAGACGCCCTGCTGCCCATCAGCGGCGGCGGGAGGGAGCAGTTCTCGGGCTGGGCGGCGACGCTCGTCGATGCGCTGGACACGCTTTGGATCATGGGCCTGCGGGAGGAGTTCGACGAGGCGGTGGCGGCGGTGGCGGAGATTGATTTCGGGTCGTCGACGAGCAGTCGGGTCAACATCTTTGAGACGAACATTCGCTATCTCGGGGGCTTGCTGGCGGCGTACGACTTGAGCGGCAGGGAGGTGTTGCTGAAGAAGGCCGTCGAGCTGGGGGACCTCATCTATGCCGGGTTCAACACGGAGAACGGCATGCCGGTCGACTTCCTCAACTTCTACTCGGCCAAGTCGGGAGAAGGGCTGGTCGTCGAGAGCTCCGTCGTGTCGGCATCGCCGGGCACGCTGTCCCTCGAGCTGGCGCACCTGTCCCAGGTCACGGGCGACGACAAGTACTACAGCGCCGTGTCGCAGGTCATGGACGTCTTCTACCAGGGGCAGAACAAGACGCGCCTGCCGGGCGTGTGGCCGATCGACGTCAACATGCGGGCCAAGGACGTCGTCAGCGGCAGCCGCTTCACGCTCGGGGGCTGTGCAGACTCGCTGTACGAGTATCTGCCCAAGATGCACCAGCTGCTGGGCGGCGGGGAGCCAAAGTACGAGACCATGTCGAGGACGTTCCTGCAGGCCGCGGACCGTCACTTTGTCTTTCGTCCCATGCTGCCGGGGGCTGAAGAAGACGTGCTCATGCCGGGAAATGTCAACGTCGACGAGGACAGCGGAGAGGCGGTGCTGGATCCCGAGACGGAACACCTGGCCTGTTTCGTAGGGGGCATGTTTGGCCTTGCAGGCAGGCTCTTTAGCCGGCCGGACGATGTCGAAACGGGCGTCAGGCTGACCAACGGCTGCGTCTACGCCTACAGGGCCTTTCCCACGGGCATGATGCCCGAGCGGCTCGACCTGGCGCCATGCAGAGACCGCTCCAGCCGCTGTCCCTGGGACGAAGAGCACTGGCTAGAGGAGCGTGCAAAGAGGCCTGAGTGGGAGCCCCATCTGCCCAGGGGCTTCACTAGTGCCAAGGACCCGCGATATCTCCTCAGGCCAGAGGCCATTGAGAGCGTCTTCTACTCGTACCGCATCACGGGGCGGCAGGAATTTCAAACGGCCGCGTGGGACATGTTTACCGCGGTCGAAAAGGGCACCAGGACGCAGTTTGCCAACGCTGCGGTGCTGGACGTTACGCGAGCGGCGGATGAGCTGCCCCAGGAGGACTACATGGAGGTGAGTTTTTTCCATTCTGTAGTTTTTTTCCTTTTTGCTTGCCTCAATCTTCTCTGTTGTGTGAACTGACAGTGATGTGGCCCCTTTTTCGGATATAATAGAGCTTCTGGCTTGCCGAGACTTTGAAATATTTTTATCTCATGTTTACGACGCCGGACATCATCAGCTTGGATGACTATGTGCTCAACACCGAGGCTCACCCCTTCAAGCTTGTGGGATGAAAAAAACCGGGATAAGGGGAGGGGAGAGGAGGGGGGCACGGGAGGATGTAACACTGAAGCTGCCCTGCTAGCTGTGCGAGATAGTAATAGCCTACTATGTATCACGATCCCAGCGCATGACTCAGGGGCTAGCAGTCCTGCAGCAGCTTCACGATTAGGTTTCCCAATCCATCAAAGTCTGATATCCACAGCGAGATGCATCCAAGAGTGCCAAGCGACGCAGCCGAGCGGACGTCTTCCGGCAAAACTTGGTCGTAGTAGTTGTGATATCGTAATGCAGTTGTTGTTGCTGTTGTTGTGGAGCAAGCATCCAAGGGCGAATCGTTCGCAAAGGACGATCAAAGGGGGGGTTCCCCATCGAAGCTGCGAGAAAATCAGCACGGCATAACTCGCTTGCTGTGGCTTTGGAAGCTGCAACAATCAAGATTTGATGCCTGGTCGATGTGCATACCATACCTAGTACCTGCCTACATTGTGTTAGACCGGGGCGGACAGCTGCAAGATGATATGTAATGATCCTTCGGGGATGCAGTTGTAGTGCCGCCAAGAGTGCCTCAACTGAGAGCTTGTTTGATCGAGGGACAAGTGAGCCATCGACCTCGACACCGTTATGGAGTGTCTCCTCCCTCCCTCACTCCCCCCCAAGATCGAGCCGTAAGCAGTTTGATTTCGCTGAAATCATCAAACGTCGGGCCAAGGCCGTTGGTACGGTATGTACACGGGTGGCCGATGGAGCAAGTGTGGGACACACATCTCCGGTCATACAGAGTGAGTCGGCGAAGTTCTCCTGGAATGCAGAAAGCCATGCCTCATCACCACCCCTCCGGTCGTTTAGAACCACAGGACTATTGAGTGTAGGGCGTATAAGCCGTCTTCTAGCGACAGTAGCCTTAGGGCACGGGCACTTCTCCGGACACCAATCGCGCCCCCCGACGGGAATGAGATGCGTAGCTAGACGGACTGGATCGAGCGTCTTCGCTCCATCAAACAAGGCCCCATCCCTTTCTCTAGGAGAGAGGGGCGAGAGAGGAGACGGCAGAAGATTGCGGAAATAACACGATCCAGGCCAAAGGCAGAAGCCAGGGCGTCATTAGCGGCTCGACCCAAGCTTCAACCCATGCCGTGCTATACATCACCACGTACTGTAGTTCACATGGTTTCTCCTCGGCGCCAGTGACGACAAGATGCATGTGGAGCACCTCCGAGTGCCTGTTGCTTGCAGACGATGAAGTCACCGCACCGTCCCCCTACCATGTTTGATACCAGAAGATGCCGAGCAGATGGGACCGCCTCCGAGTGGTAGGTTGCTCGCAAACCATGACGAATATTGATCAACCGCGCCGTCCCCAGCCACCTTGATACAGGCGATGCCGAGCAGATGAGCAAGGTCCGTTCATGGCATGCCTGTGACATTACACGGCTCACCTAAACACAGAGGCTGATGAGGAGCTTCGGGACCCCAACCCTTGCAGCGCTACTCTGGCAAAGCTTGACCGAAAGGGATAGATGGTCGTCGACCTCCGGCACTTCTGATTGGCCGCCGGCCACTTCTCCGAGAGCCAATTGCAAGCCAGTGACGATGGACGGCAACAGCCTTGAGCGACCTGATTCGGCGTCGGCAGCTCCTCCACCCACCCAAAGCAGGAAACGCTGATGGGGCCGCATTGCTCTAGGGAGACCCATCCTGCTCCGTATCAAGCTCCTTGGCCGTGAGCTCCGGCGAAGGTGAATCCGTAGGGTGATGGTATCAGGTATGCAAGACCATGCCCGCTTCGTGCTTTTTGTTTCCTTTTTTTTTTTTCTTTATTTTTTTTTTCTTTTTTTTTTTCTGGTGAGAATCTCTTGTTTCACCTGCCTCGGGCCCCGCAGGCTGCCTTTTGGAGGTCGACACGACATTTTGCTGCATGTTCGATGTCCGTCTTTGCTCCCGCGGTATGTAAGTCGTTGTCTTTGCTCAGAGCGAGAGAGAGAGGACCGACGACGATGGGGCGTCTCCAGCACGCCGGGACCGATGGCCTCTCAAATACTTCAAAGAAAAGCATAACGAGAGCGAGGCTGAGTGCGTAAACAGCCTGAGCACAAATGCTCGCGTCGACTCTCGCTATAAATACGTCCTATGTGTATACTTAGCATCGCCGGTATTTCCGCAACGTCGTCCGAAGGCAGATCGCACAGCACGTGTCTCCATCATCCTCGCCGGGGCCAATGACACATACATACCAGTACTAGAATGCATCGTACTTGTAGCACTGGCTTCGATTCGCCCTTCCATGGCATTCTTGCTTTCCGATCCGGGTGGCCAGGCGGGGAGCCGTTCGTTTTGGGGGTGGGCATGGCAAAGACCCCATCGGCCACCCAAGCAGCAGCCTCCTCGCCTCCTCCATGTGTCACGCCCTGTGTCTCTCAAACGGTGTCGCCCAAAGCCCGCAGTTCTTCTCTCGCCGCCCCCGGGGAGCCAATGGGCGCTCCGAGCTGTTGGCATGGTTCAGTCAGCCTGTCGAATGGCATAATACCGTCCGGTCAGTAGAGGGGGGGCCAAGTGACAGCGCGTGCCTGGTTGAATGGCTTGAGCGAGCGATGGGCAGCGCCTTTAGCCTGACAGAGCCTGGCCTTGTCCTGCAGCTCCCCAGCAACCGCAGCGCTGGAATTCTGCATCCATGGCCGAAGTCGAGGCGTGCCGCACTGGCTGACGTCAAAAGGCAGAGGCGCCTTTGCTTAGCCCGGCGAGACTGTGCTCGATGCGCTGCTTGACGGCGATGCTCACAGTATCTGAGTGTGCCGCGTTATTGGGGGACAAAGGTTTCAGCGGCCGGAGGCTTAGGTCCGGACCGTATGGAGAGCGCTCCTGCGCGCAAGCCACTCACAGCGGCCGCTGGCACACACTCGTGCGCCACAGCTACCGCCCGTTTGGGCAGTTCTGCTGCACATCAACTGAGGCGAAGGCAAGGACCAGAGTCGCTGCTGCCCTCTGGTTGCGCAGGCTGGCAGTGCAGACCAAACTCAAAAAGATACAGCCGCGAATTGGCCAATCAGCGCATGCACAAAGACCGGAGCGGATGGGCGATCTGGGGAGCTTCTGGACCGGTGACGTAGCGGCTTGTGGCTGGTGGGAACGGCGTTATGTGCTGCTGTGGCGCTCCGCTCTTTAACAGCCGTGATATCGCGAATCTTGTTTGCTGCACGGCTGACGGCTGACCAACACAAGTACTCGCCAGACAGAGATGATTGCTCAAGTATACCGGGACAGTTCAGCGAGACAAAGCCAAGATGCTGCAACGGAGCATCGCAGCGGCGCGCAGACGATGGTGAAAACCAGAGCTCGCCAGAGCATCTCCCGCTCGATCCATCTCCACCACGCCCAACCCCGAATACCTGGATCGCCACAACGGGCAGCCGGGTGGGAGAGGCCGAATTAAGTCGTTCCAGCTAAAGCAGATCGCAGAACCGGGGCCGGTTCCTGGGGCCAAAACAAGGGCGACTGCAAACGCCAGCACTAGGCAGAGCTGCACCCCCTCCATCTGCCGGCCGGGCCTCCAAGCCTCTTATTCCCCAGCAGTGACGGCAAGGGATGATGGCAGCACAATGTGCTCCCCCAGCCTGAGGCATGCCGAGCACGCGGCGAATTAGATAGTACATCAACTAGCCCAGACCGGCTCCGGAAAAAAATCAGGTTTGCGATCGTTCTCCAGTGAAGTATCTCCAGATCCCGTAGTGCCTGTATCAGACTATATATAAAGATTGCCACCGAGTGCCCGCGAGCCGGAGCTCTTCTCCCCCATCTGATGTCGCATCCATCATACACGAGACGATACACGTGTCTAGTGGTGAACCAAGAAGCCATTTCAAACTTCCTATAGCTTCCACCACCTACTCTACTTCTACCTAGTACATATTATATTACTCGATCCTCTCCAAACTGTCTTCACAATAAGTACGCCGACGTTTCTCTTCCAGCCTTTTGTGCTCTGTCCATGTTCCAGAGCATCTCATCTGTATCCGCCATATAAAAACGCCAGGCCCCATCCAGCCAAGACAATTGGTAACACATATCCGAGGCCGGAAACGGATTCCCTTCAACCAACACCACGACTTGTCGCTACACCAACTTATTTAAGACTGACTGTGCCGGCATTGGGACTCCCCTCCGGCGCAGAGGTACGACCTCCATCCACGAAATCTCCCCATAAACACGCAAAACATGGACTCCCAAACCGTCATGGCCACCCTCATCGACCCGCAGCTCCAGATGATGGGCCCTGAGTCGACCACTACAAGCATGCAGTATCCTCTGCCAACAACCTTGGACACATGGAGCACTCTGTTTGAGCCCTTGGACTTTGCACCGCCTACGCAGGACATGGGGATGATGGAAGCCGGGTTCCAGAGCGATGCGGCCTCTCCCATGTCTCCCTTCCGCAAGTCTGAGCACGACTTTGGCTCCTCCATGTCTCCCTTTGAGGGCACCCTCAGCCTGGACGAGTCGCCCGGCAACACCTCCATTTCCACAGGACTCTCCGAGTCCGGGGCCACCAGAGGCACAGATCAAAAGACATCAAAGACGACCACGCCCAAGAGGAGCCGCCGCCGCCACAGCGAGGCGGAAAAGAAGGACCTCATCAAGCAGCGCAACCGGGTGGCCGCCTCGAAATGCCGGCAGAAGAAGAAGGAAAAGGTTGACGAGCTCAAGGAGATCAAGTCGAGCCTCGAGCGGCGCAACAGCGAGCTCCAGCTCGAGTACCAGCGCCTCCGCCAGGAGCTCGGCCAGGTCAAGAGCCACCTGATACGCCACACCGACTGCAACGACCCCAACATTGACCGCTGGGTCGAGAACGAAGCCAAGAGCTACGTGCAGAAGCTGGTGCAGACTAGCGAGCAGCGGCGCCTGGGCAGCGTATGCAGCATGAGCAGCGCCGATGGCGTCGTCGACGGCCTGCACATGCGCACGCACTCTCTTCCTTCCACGGGGATGCCCTCTGAAGATCCATACATGGGACTGGGATGAGATCGTTCAACCCCCCGGTGTTCTCAAATATCCTCGGGGATCCAGCAGGGCACCGCTATCCTCACTCTCAACGATTGACTCGGATCATATCTCCTCGGCGCCGACGATACCCACTCGACTTGCTCGATATTGGAGGGGTTGTTTTTCCTTCGATTCTCGATCTCATATTTTTCTCATTATTCCGGACACTCATTGTGCCTCAAGTCCTAGAGGGACAAGGCAAAGAACACAAGTAGGAGAAGACTCGAAAAGGGGGGGTCGCGTACCATAAGCATATATGACGATAGCTGTTCTCACAGGAGGACCTAATACTTCTTCCCCCTCACACCACACACACACACATATACACACATACTCATTCACACTCACTTCTCTGGAAAGAGAAGAAGGAGGGAAAGAGCTTGCATGAAGGGTGAATACAGCCTGCTAACCCCTCCCCTTCCCAACTCTTACATAGTACTGAGAGCCGTAAAGATCTAACGTGAGCCACAGGTACGATTTTCTGGACTTCTCCTGACCTCAGCGTTTAATGTCTTAGTACGAAGCGAAGCGATACACGAATTTACGAACCAACACTCATACTCAACTCCGGGGCGACTTGCCCTGGAGAAAAACATAATAATCATCTGGGCTCTGACGCTCTTTCTGGGGGGACTCAAAACCAAGGCCAACAAGTCACGTTATGGCCTTGCCCTCTCATTCGATAATGCAGAAGCTGGCCTTCACCTTGTGCATTGACAGTGCACGCACATTTCATGGGCCAGAGGCAGGGTTACTCTGGCAAAAGGCGTCTAAACAAGGGGCTTGCTTATAGAATGGAGCTGGCTTTGTGCTTTTATCATGGCTGCGTCGACAGTCAAGCAGACGCTTCTTGGCCGCGAACTACATAATCGCGGTTTACTAGGAACAGTGGAGGGCGGCGATTGCGAGCGATTGGTGAGCATTGGGTGCAGAAGGCTCGTGAGGGGAGCAACAGAGGTGGATGTTCATGATGCGTAGGGCTGAGGCTGGGCATTCGCAAGACCAAGCGTCATTATACTTGGTGCCATGTCAGGGATCTGGGGGGAGATGAAAGATGACTTTCATGTGACTACAGTCACTCACCCCGTGAGACTATGAAACTGAGTAAATGGATGATCTCGTCAACTGGTCAATCCGTGTTACTGAGACTTTTCGGACAAGGCGCGCATCAGGTGCTTGTGGCTCTTACACGCGCTTCTTGATTCCAGCCAGTATATGATTTGGTGAATTACATCCTGACTCTCGGTACTCATCACTTTCTCCTCCTGTCTTGCCTAACACTGCAGAGTAGCTCTAGTAATGTCATGGTCGATGACCAGCTCCAGATTACCAATTCGGTGGAAGTCAGAATATGTTACCGTTGCGAACCCCATCTAGTGGGTTTGGAAATGAAGTCACGGTCATGTTTTGTTGAACGTGATAAGGATGAACGGGACCTGAAGAGGCGAGCATAAAACTAGGCATCCAGAAATCAATGATTTTGCACTCTTGCGATATCATCAGTCGTTCTTCGCAAAACTCAAACAGCAAGGGGGGGCAGGATTCAGAAAGTCGCAATGACTCCATCCACTGCATCCAGTGACCCAAGTAATACCTACCGGTACTGTATCAGATAGTTTATGTACAAGGAATTTGCCACACCCATCTATCAACTCTATAGAACCTTATATTTCTCCTTTCAATATATCTATTAGATATCCAGAAATCTATATCTACTAGATATATCTATTTCTATAGTGACATTATATCATTACTAGGTAGACGTGGTTTAAGCCTAATAGAACATGTACAATCTGATTAGATAAGAGTACCTAAGGCTTTATGCCGAGCGGTCACTCTAGCGAGACGCCATCACGTGTGAGCGCGAGCTTATTCCTCCCATCTCCATGAATACCTTGATCTACCTGGGCATCTAACCAAGGTGCCTTATGTGTCTCCTCCAATGTCCTGCCGTCCACGACATCCGTTCCAATGGCGGACCAGGCGAAGATCATTGACGAAAACCCCATCGGCAGCGGTCTTGACGCGTTTCGCGCCTCCTTCCGGTCGCTTTGCCAAAATCGAAGCCTAGATGGCCAGCCTGACGCGTTGGGCCATCTCATTGACGGACTCGAACAAGCAGATGCTCAAAAGCTCGCAATCAGCCTCGTCTCAGCATTGCTGACCCTCAGGGCTTCCAGCCTGCTTCCTTCGCGTGGGAGCGGCACCAACCTTTCTAACGATTTGCTGAGATTCATTGCTTGGGCTGCCTCCGCCGAGTGCAGCATCGACCGAATAAAGCCTCTCCTAACTGCAGCCCTTGACGGCAGTCCGTATGATCGTATCTGGAGCCAAGTTAGCATCGCCGTCACCGAACCACTCCGTCACCGCCGTCGCAACGACTGATCGCGTCCTCTGTCACGCAGACGCCATGGTCTCGCAACACAAGCGGCTCCGTCAACTCGTCCGAATCACGTTCGCACATGGATACTCTTCTCCGAGAAGAGCTTGGCGCTATGTACGTCGGTCTTCCTCGATTCCGCGACACTTTTTTCGGTGGTGTGGCAGACCTTCAGACAGTTTCTGAGGCTGTCTTCGAGGAGTGCGTCGGCGGTGACAGCCCTCTCTTCACTGTTTGTTCCGGATGGCGTGGATGGCCCAAGGACGCGAAGCAAGACGATGTCCTGAGCTGGATCACCCGATTGAGCGACGAGCTGGCGGCGCTCGCGAAGCCTCTAATGACCACCCCGATGCCGCGACGGCGACTCCTGGCACAGCCTAACAAGCCTCTCCAGGACTCTGTTGCGGAGCGGAAACTGGACATTGGGATTGTGGCCGATCCAGCGGCTGAAGAGGATTCCCCGTATCGTTGGTCGCAGATACTCGTGCCAGGTGAACTGAAGAGCAACCCGTCGGCCGACATCGTGTCAAACACATGGCGCGATCTAGCGAGGTATGTCAGGGAGGTTCTGGCGGCTCAGGATACACGTCGCTTTGTCCTAGGCTTCACGCTTTGCGGATCTCTCATGAGAATCTGGAACTTTGACCGTCTTGGCGGGATAGCGTCCGAAAAGTTCGACATTAATAAAGACGGCCTCCAATTTGTGTCCACGATCCTTGGATTTCTTTGGATGAATGAAGAGCAGCTGGGCTTTGACCCGACTATCACTACCGAGGCCGACCGACGGATTCTCCGGATTCAGCGAAACGGGGAGACGGAGCGACTTGTCCTCGACAAGCTGATGAAACGTGCACCTTGCATCTCTGGGCGGGCGACCATCTGCTGGAAGGCCTTCCGTGAAGATGACCCACAGAGGCTGCTTGTGGTCAAGGATTCGTGGCAGTATACCGAGCGCGAGGAGGAGGGCGAACTGCTCCAAGAGGCTACAGAGAAAGGGGTAGTGAATGTGGCTCGGTACTATCACCACGAGACCGTCCACGTCCGGTCCCAGATTGACGATGTCATGACCAACGTCCGAGGTGAACTGAACATCACAGAGGCAATCAACTTTCAAGCCAGGAGACCCTCCGAATCTGGTGCAGCAGGTGCGAAGAAAGGCAGAAGCAGAAGCAGAAGCACCACTGGTCTCAAGCGATCCTCGAGCCAGATCGGTGCGCCTCTACCGCCCAGCAAACGATCCTGCTCAACAACTTCCACTACGCTTGGCAGGGAGTCACTGCCAAACCGAGTGCATAGGCGTGTCATTGTTCGCGATTACGGGAAGCCTATCTACAAGGCAAGCTCGCAGTCAGCTCTCCTGGCGGCGCTCGCAGGCTGCATTGAGGGACACGAGTCTCTGCACAAGGCCGGATTCCTGCACAGAGACATATCTATAAACAACTTGATGATCAATGAGGATAAGGGCAACCCCTCATGGCCGTCGTTTCTGATTGACCTTGATCTTGCTATTAGAGAGCGGCGAGATGGTGCTTCTGGAGCCAAGGGCAAGACTGGCACGAGGGCTTTCATGGCTATCGGAGCGCTGTTTGGAGAACAGCATTCGTTCATGCACGATCTGGAGTCGTTCTTTTGGGTTCTGTTCTGGATATGCATACACTGCGACGGCCCAGACAAGACTCGAGTCGCGCCGGACTTTGACAAGTGGAATTACGCGGGGACCTGGGAGCTGGCAATATTGAAACTGGGAACAGTGACAGACGAGACGATTTTTCTTCAGACGATGAGCGATTACTTCACGCCGTACTATCAGCCACTGATTCCACTACTATCCGCGCTACGAACTGTCGTTTTCCCAGGTAACAAGAGATGGAAGCGAGAGGACGAGGGTCTCTACTCGAAGATGAGAACAATACTCCAGCAAGAAAGCTGGAGCTGACGGCAATGATTTAGGCGTGCGATTCCTCACCTGGTGTGCCTGCCAAGGTGGAATCGTAGTTCGATCAAGATGCCCCTGTGAAGGCGGGGTGCAGTCGACTGATTCGCATACGGCGGTCAGCGAGGAGTACTTTTTTTCGGAGGCTTTCCACGGCTGGGATGCTGCGCAGACGGCATAGAGACATCTTTCATGTCCCGGGCCGCCGAGCTGATGACGCCGACGCTCAGAGCACTCTCTGAGCCCTAGCTTGGAAGCGTTCCAATGATCACAGCCAAGGGTCTCTCGATCCACAAGGAAGCATAGCAGGAGAGCGATAAGTCGCCCAGTTCTATGCCTCGCTTTCTGACGGCTCTCAGCCGGCACTTGAGAGCGCTATCCGCAGCTTTCACAACCATGCAGTCGTCTACGGAGGACACCCGTCGGCCAATGCCGTACTGGCGTCGAAGCGGTACCGCCCGCCCACTGATCCGCCCGGATGAGATGTCCGCTCCGCCGTTCTTTACTTGGCCAGCTGACTCCCGATGAGAATGCGTGAGACCAACCATTCGGAGCCAAGGGGTCCCTTCTACGCTATCTTGAAGACTTCACCAAAGACGGTGTAACATCAACCTGGGCAAAGTTTTCTGCCTCATACTTCTGAATTTGTTTCAGGCCAATCACAAGTCTCGGTTGCCGGTGAATGAGCAGACCCAAGGGTTCAAATACACATCGAGCACATTACTACTGGCAAATGATGTTAGAGAGCGGCTAATCCGGGGCCACAACTTGGCCATTCAACATCTCAAGATATAGATGTAGAGCAATGAGCTGGTCTCCATACACTCTTATCTACTAGAGTTAGAAGCATATACCATAGATATATTGATACCATTTGAAAGGGTCCTGAAGCTCTTCGGAGTTACAGCCGGTGTTGCTTTGCGAGACCAGTCATCATTGATATTCGGCTTCAGCCTTCGTAACGGCCATGTCTATCATACTCTGCGACATGCCGCTGTTGAATTTCATCGTCACAGACACCCATTGGTTCTCCCCGGCGGAAGTTACTTTGAGGGATCCAATGCCCCTAGGGTGCTGACGCTGTAGTCTTCTACTCGGAAGACGGCACCGTCATGCTCAACGGCGGCCATGCTAATGGGACAGGGTTGAGTTCAGGTCGAATAACATGTCGGTGCATGGTGTCGTAGAATTCACAAGTGCACGGTGCTGGGGGATTTTGCTAGGATGCACAGAAGGACGACATGTAGGGCTGGAACATTGAAGAGAGCGCGGTTGAGAAGGTGGTGCAGCAGGATGCTTGCTGACATCGACCCTGCCGTCGTCGCCCCCGACCATCTGCGTCGCGCTGACTTGGGACATTTACAAGGCCGAAGGGGAGCCATGGGTGCAAGATTTGCAAATATGTGGAAGAGTATGAGTGACCAAGATGTTTGGAACAAGTCAATCAAATGTTGTTGGCTCGATGCTATCACGGTGAAAGAAGTGAATTTGTTGACCAACTTGATGATACAGCTAACAAGAGGTGAAGTCCTCCCTGCAATTGAAGTACCTCGGTAGCGGCTAACATCTTCTTCCGGCATTGCAGCTGCCTACTTGCTATATATACAGTAATTAACGAGCGCTATATCACCTAAGGATCGATAGCTCAGTGGTAGAGCGAGAGATTGCAGATCTCTAGGTCACGCGTTCGATCCGCGTTCGGTCCTTTGTTTTTGCCTTTTTTTGCCCAGCAATTTTTGCCTGGATTTTTTTCGTCCCGTGTCTCATACAGCTGCCCTTTATAAAGACAAATAAAATTGCGCTCATTCAAGGATCGATAGCTCAGTGGTAGAGCGAGAGATTGCAGATCTCTAGGTCACGCGTTCGATCCGCGTTCGGTCCTTTCTTTTTCGACTTTTTTTACAATGTGACCTCAGCTTTATTGGCCTTTCCAGGGAGCTGTGATGCTTGCTTTTTGCGCAGGATGCGTGGTTTCAAAGGGTGGCGTCTAGGAGATGGACTAGGCAGTGTGGCCTGAATTGCACCTTTGCTCCTCTTGAATATCCATCACAGACCCAACAATCTATTCACTAGCAAAAGGCAAGAATCATGGCTCTGGCCTCGGTGTATCTCGCATTCCTCTTTCTTTTTCTCAGCCACGATCATTCCTTGTATGTTGGTCTACCTGCCTCCAAATCATGTTCTGAAGACGATGCCCTAGTATTATCTTACATCGGACCATCATGTTTCCTTCACCCTGGCCTTGCGTTTATTCTTCTGCACTATAGATGGACAGATGTTCCATGACAGCTATCATGATACCAAAATCTCAATGCCAGATCACTGTTGCTGCCTCACATGGTTTGAAATTCAAAGGTTTCACTTGCATCGCAGCCCAACTACTACTGGGTACCTACCCTGGAACTGCCGACTCTCTTCTTATCGATAAGATAACGCTGGCCCGATTAAAAAGTTTCCCGTGCAGTGATAGCATCGCGACGATCCTTGATTGACCCGAAATCCTGCCCTCGACCTCGACAAAACTCTCCTCTCGTTCCAGCACCTGCGCCGAAAGCCGAAATGCCTGCACGAACTGCTGGGAAGCAGAAGCCGCCGCACAAACCGAACAAGACAGAACTCAAGAAGCAGAAGAGGAAGCGCGACCATGAGGACCTGCAGAAGCTCGAGCAGGCCATTGCCGAGCTGGTGAGTGAAACAGACCGCAAGCTTGTTCATGCTTGACCTTGATGGCTGACGATGATTTCTTCCTAGGACCCCAAGTCTGGCAAATTAAAGACGTTTGCCGACTTGTCTTCAGCCATTTCCCCTGCGACGGCATCCGGCCTTCATGCGTCCCACTTCACAAACATGACCGAGATCCAGGAACAGGCGATTCCGCTGGCATTGAAGGGCAAGGACATCCTCGGCGCGGCCAAGACGGGCAGCGGAAAGACATTGGCCTTCTTGGTCCCGGTGTTGGAGAAGCTCTATCGCGCACAATGGACAGAGTTCGACGGCCTGGGCGCTCTGATCCTGTCCCCGACTCGCGAGCTGGCGGTTCAGATTTTCGAAGTGCTGCGCAAGATTGGGCGACACCACGCCTTTTCAGCAGGCCTGGTGATTGGTGGCAAGAGCTTGAAAGAGGAGGCCGAGCGGTTGATTCGAATGAATATTCTTGTCTGCACGCCGGGGCGAATGCTGCAGCACCTGGACCAGACGGCCGGATTCGACGCGAACAACCTGCAGATCCTGGTGTTGGACGAGGCGGACCGAATCATGGACATGGGCTTTCAGTCTGCGGTTGATGCGCTGGTTGAGCATCTGCCCAAGACGCGCCAGACGCTCATGTTCAGTGCGACGCAAAGCAAGAAGGTCTCCGATCTTGCCCGACTGAGCCTCAAGGACCCCGAATACGTCTCTGTGCACCAAGACGCCTCTACAGCTACGCCTACGACCCTCCAGCAACACTACATTGTCACACCGCTCCCCGAGAAACTCGACACATTATATGGCTTCATCAAGGCCAACGTCAAGAGCAAGATTATCGTCTTCCTCAGCTCCGGCAAGCAAGTCCGGTTCGTCTACGAAAGCTTTCGACACCTTCAGCCTGGTATCCCGCTACTGCATCTGCACGGTCGCCAGAAGCAAGTGGCGCGACTGGAAATCACAAACAGATTCACCGCCGCAAAGACATCATGTCTGTTCGCAACCGACGTGGTTGCGCGAGGCATAGATTTCCCCGCGGTTGACTGGGTCATACAGGTCGATTGCCCCGAAGATGCTGACACCTACATCCACCGAGTGGGACGAACAGCCAGGTTCCAGAGCAATGGTCGCGCCGTTCTTTTCCTCGACCCCAGCGAAGAAGAGGGGATGATCAAGCGGCTAGAGCACAAGAAGATTCCCATACAGAAAGTGCACGTCAAGGAGAAGAAGAAGAAGAGCATCAAGAACAACCTGCAAGACATGTGCTTCAAGTTCCCCGACCTCAAGTATCTGGGCCAAAAGGCATTCATCAGTTACACAAGATCCATCCACCTGCAGAAGGACAAGGAAGTGTTCAAATTTGACGCACACGACTGGGACGCATACGCAGCGAGCCTGGGTCTGCCCGGAACCCCACAGATCAAATTCCAAAAGGGCGAGGACATCAAGAGGATAAAGAATGCGCCCCGCCACGGCATGTCGAGCGACTCAGAGTCAGACATGGACCTGGATGGAGCGTACGACAAGAAGAAGAAGGACAAGAAGAAGGCAGAGGTGCGGACAAAGTACGACAAGATGTTTGAGCGAACAAACCAGGACGTCTTGTCAAGCCACTACTCCAAGCTCGTTATAAACGGAGACGACGCAGCCAAGGGAGACGAAGAAGAAGACGACGATTTCCTGGCCGTCAAGAGGCGCCTCAACGACGAGGACCTCGACCAAATCGCCGGCAAGGCGCCCGCCAACAACGCCAAGATCATACCCCTGGGCGGCAACGACCTGTACGTCGTCGACTCGAAGCGCCGCGAAAAGGCGCTGCAGTCCAAGAAAAAGATGGCCAAGTTCCTCGGCAACGGCTCCAAGCTCGTCTTTGACGACGACGGCAACGCGCACGAGGTCTACGAGCTGCAGAACGAGGAAGACTTCAAGCAGCAAGGCCCTGCGGAGGAGCAGCGGAAAAAGTTCCTCGATACCGAAGCGGTCCGGGTCAAGGAGGCCGATCTGGACGACAAGATGCTTGCGAAGCAGCGCAAGAGGGAGAAGAAGGAGAAGCGAAAGGCCAGGGAGGCGGCAGAGTTCGCTGCTGCTGCTGCTGCTGCTGGGGGAGGCGAGGCGCAGCTTCCTGGTGCCGATGGAGAGGATCCGCTGGCTTTGTTGCGCTCTTTGCCGATTGCTGGCGAAGACGAGCATGGTGGTTCCGATGCGGAGCCGCCGCGGAAGAAGCCCAAGAAGTGGTTCCAGGACGATTCAGAGGACGAGGAGGATACGAAGAAGAAGAAGAGCAAGGCCGGGAAGAAGAAGAAGGGGGGCAAGGTCATCGAAGTCGACCAGGAGCCCGAAACGCTGGAGGATCTGGAGGCTTTGGCTGCGGGCTTGCTAGATGGTTGAGGGGACCTGTGTTGGGGGTTTGGTTGACAATATTGGCATATATATATGTGTGTTGTGGGAGGTGTAATTTCAGAGCATTGTAATACTTTGCAGTTTAGAAATGCCCAGGGCTTGTATAAATCAGTCAAAAGCGCTGTCATCTTTGGCACTCCTGCTCAACGTCTCCGTTCCCATTCTTCTCTCAGAACGCCACCGGGATAGAAAACAGAGGTACAGTCAAAACCGACCAAGCAGCACATGCACAAAACCAACACCAGGATCCAAGGGCGAAACTGAAAAGATTCATTGATTCTCAGTTCAAGATATGTAAAACGTAAAGTCACATCTCCCACCACCTGCCCCCCCAGCCCGTGCTGAATGCACATGTGCAACGGGGAAAAGCGAAAGAAAAAGGGGGTATACCTTTGGTTCGTTGCGAGCTCCATCTGCCCTAATCCGTGATACAAATCCGACCTTGTTCTACGCGTGCGCCTGGCTCGTAAAAAGATGATGCTTTCCCAAACTAAAACGAACGAGTCCCAGACGAGCAAAGGAAGGAAAAGAAGGAGAGAGAAAAAAAAAAAAAAGAGTCAAAATTCAAGATGAGATCAAATCAAACCAAACGCTTCCCATGACGCCGCCGAATGCAGAAAGTTTTTCCTCCCCTCTCCAAGTTTTGCCTGCTTTCACTACTCGCCTAGCTCTGGTACTTTATGCCCAAAGAGGCGAATGCGGTAAAAACACGTGTGATTGGGAGCACCATAGTTGCTCACGGCGCGAACAATCACCTGGTCCGTCTCGGCGTTGAGGGCCATCAGTTCGTTGCTGAGACGGTGAACGTGGACGCCGTCGTGGAGTTCCGCGCCCTCGTACGTGAACTGCGTGACCTTGACAAACTGCGGAGGCAAGTCTGCAGGCGTATAGTTCCAGTCCGCCTCGTCTTCCACAAGGTGGGCAGCGGCAAAGTCCAGCAGACGCTCCCTGACAGCCCTGTCTTCGACTTTAATGTACACCTCAATCTGCCGCGGCCGTGCCCCTGGATTTGTCGTAGCACCAGGCAGGATATGCTCGATCACGATGTGCTGGGGGATGATTGAGTGGGCCATGATGACGCTCAGCTTCGCGCCATGCGGGTTGCCACGTTTGTTGACCTCGCGAGCGGCGCACCAACAGTCGCCATCGTCATGCCACGGGAGAAGAGCCTCGATGGGTGCGTACGGTTGGGCTCCCTTGAGACCCTTGTCGTTGAGATGTTTGGCATCGGGCTTGAACGTCGTCGAGGTCTGAGAGGGATCGATGATGGCGCCAGCGCCCACTCCGAAATAGTTGAGTTGGTTCTTGAGCTCTGAATCCCAGTGCGCGCGGATCCGGCCCTTGGCCATGGCCTCCAGGTTGGCATCGGCAATGGCTTTGCGCACCAGGCTGTCAACCAGCCTTGTAACCTCTGCCCGTGTCATGCTCGAAGTTTCGTCCTTTTCCTTCTTGGCTAGATCGACCGAGTCGCGAATGAGCTGTTCTAGCCTGGGCTGCAGCTCACTGATTTCGGCCATCATCTCCGCTCGATGAGTGGCAAACTCGTTCTGCAGATACTGCAAGAAGTAGTCCCGCGTCACGATTGTGCTGCCGCTCTTGTTGCTGCCCACGTGCTTCTTGATGAGCTGATCAAGGCGCTTGTCGATGTCCTTGTCCGAGAGCGAACCACTAATCTTCATCTTGTCCAGTATGGGGCGGAGAGTCTGCTCAACTTTGCGCTGGTTGTCCGTCGCCCAAGCCTCCCACATGTGCGGCAGCTTCTTGGCCAGCCCATCGTTCGCCTCGCTGATCTTGGAAGCAATTTCTGGACGCCCTGCCAGCCACGCTGCGATGTCTTTCCACTGCTTCTCCGCCGATGGTTCGTAACGCCCGCCCCTGCCCTTGTGTAGCATAGGGAAGCTGCCATCCTTCTCAATGAGATCGCGGATCGCATGCCAAAATTCCTGTGTGACGACGGGTTTCCCGTCCTTGAGAGTCATGTGTACCATCTTCGGAACGATTGCATTGAGTTTCTCAATCGATGACTCGTGGAGCTTGCCAGCGCCCTTCATCAGACGGAGATCCCGCAGTACTTGGTTGATCAGATCCTGAAACTCGGCATATTGGTCGCCTCGCAGCTCGTCCAGTCCGGGAAAATCATCCCATGCGCTTCGTGAGGACCAGGGAATGGATGGAACGAAGCGTCCAAGCTTTGAGGCGATGTCCCCAAAGCCCGGGAAACTTGGCACGGGAACCGAAGGAACGGAAACCGAAGGCGCGTCTTCGAAGCTGGGCAAATTGGCGATGGCAATGCTGGATAATACGACGGCGAGCAGAACGAATGAAAAGCCACTGATAGTGTAAAACAGAACCTCACCGATGCGTAGCAACCGGTCCCGGAAGGGATCCGTGAAAAGACCCGAGAAGAGGTTGACGACACTTTCCAGGGCGGCACTAAAGAACCAAGAGATAGCCCGTAAGTATGTGAGCGGGTTGAAGAGTTGTTGCCAGTTGATGGAGTCATCGGTGAGTGCCGAGTCGAGCTCCGAGTCCTCGTCCGAGTCCGGGGTCGAAAATGTGGGAGAGCCAAGCTCCCCATTTTGCCAGTCCCGTTGCTGAGACTGCCGCCGAGAGGTGCAGGGACAGAGAGAGGCCAGAACACGCCACCAGTTGTCTTGGCGTATCCGACTGTCGGGACCTTCGGTCTCTCGAATGTCGTCTTGCATAGCATCGTCCATCTCGCTATGATCGCTTGAGAACGGAGATGTCGTATGAGTGGGGGGTTTGATTAATGTCCGCCAGGGGACAGTAGCTGGAGCCGCATGGCCAACGAGTCCCTCATTCTGAGGAAGTAGTGTCCGTTGGCCCGCAAGTCGCGACTGGTTTGCTGAACTCAGAATGGTCGATGACGATTTGGGGACACGCAACCTTGCTGTAGACTGATGTTGTTCAGGAAGCCTACCGGTGCTGGCCCCCTGATTCAACTGCGTGTCGGAATCGGGTGGGCTGACGGGTGCATGGCCCCTGCCCCCTAGAAGGCTCTTGAAGGCACCCCAGGCTCTGGTTGGAGCTTCACTGAGCCGGCTCGGCGTACTCTGGTCATGTTGATCAGTCCCAACCTCAGGTTGGCTCGGTAGAAAGGAGGATGGGCGGGATGGCTTCGTCGCTCTGGTGAGAGGCACCTGTCTGAGGGCTGGCGGCGGCGTTGGTGACGACCTCAACGAGGCATTGCCGTAGTAATCACCCTCGGCATTGAAACTCCGCAAGTCAGAATCCTCACTTTCGCCGGGAGTGAGTTCTCGTTCCTCATCCTCGACGTCCTCGTCGTCCTCGGATTCCTCGAAGAACGAATGTTCAAAGGCCGCTCTGGCGGTGAATTGTGCAGCTGTGAGAGTAGTCAGCATCATCTGACATCACTGACACGATGAAAGGGAAGAGAATCAAGCTTTGTCGTCTCAGGACTCGTTTACCGGATATACTCACCGCTCGATTGTCGAGTTGGCTCAGCGTCGGAACCAGACTCGGCGGCGTCGTCGCTCATGCTGGCTTCTCTCCCCTGGTCATACCTATGAGTGATGGGAGGGTTCGGCTGTTGTCCATAACGCCTCAGCTCTTCAGCCTCCTTGGCCTCTTGGAGTTCCTGTCTGCGAAGGACGCCGTCCATGGCCTCCTGCAGAGTGATTGGCATGCCATCCAAGCTGGGGCGGCGGAGATTGGACGGTTCCTCCGCAGCTCCGTATGCATACTGCCGTCTCCCGGTGGGTGCGCCTTTTAAGGGGGGAAGATCGGGCTTCTTGAAGTCCTGCACCTGCGTGCGAGTGATGGGCCGCCCAGCAGCGCCGCGCTCTCTTGACCGGAGCCTGCCTCCCCTTCCTCCCCCATTCATCATGGTGAGAAAGAGTCAAGCAGTAGGCAGGAAGCTCGGAAAGTCGTAGTCGTGATTGTGGTCAATGATATTATGGGAGGTTTATGGAGAACAGACGAGATGAAGACGTTTGCAGATTTGGGATCCGTCAGGTATTGGAGGTTGAAGAGAGTCGAGGTGAGGGCGAATATATTCTCAACCAGGAGCGACCCCGGGACCAGATTCACAACGCAACGACGGCTGTGATCTATAACCGTTCCAGGCCCAGACTAGAGCTTCTTTGGCTGCTGGATCCGCGATTCTTTGTGTGCCAGCCAAGATGGATCCTTACTGGGCGAGCGTTGCAGTCAACAAAGAGCATCTTTGTTACGTTGGGATGAGACGCATGAGCCCAGGACCAGCAGTAAGGAGGCGTCGAGACGTCGCTTTCGTCAGTTGACCGAGCTGCGAAATCACCAGTTTCAGGAGCTTCGAGAAGTCTGGATGAAAGAGTTAAAGTATGTTTCAGCCGTGCAGCGATGGTTTTTTTTTCTTTTGTTGTTCGCTGGTTTTGTGTCTTTGGGAGTTTGGTTTGCGCGATGACAGCTTCACTGAGGCGCGAGTAGCGTGACGCGCCGAGGCTTAAGCGGCGCATTTTTTGGGGGTGAAGAATCAGGCACGATTGAGCAGAGTCACGTGCGCGTCAGATGCGTGAAGTTAAGGTAATACAAGGTACCTAGTAGTACTTGTTGGTCTCGACACAGCTTCAGGTTGAGCTTGGAGCTTGAGGCTTTCCTCTTCTTTGCGATGCGCACATCATAGTGTTTACAGTCGGAGCTGGACGAAGAATAGAATAGAATCAGAGCGGGAGTTTCAGATGCAGCCACGTTTTGTTGTGGTTGCGTGCAGGCTTTGTCACATACAGCCTGGTCCATCTGCGCACAGCCCTGTAATAAGGCCTGGCTACGAGACTCACAGGCACCGTACAAGTGGCTGTAGCGCAGCTGCTCAACAAAGAAATGTCGGGACTGAAAACGGAGTATTAACAAGACGTTTTGCATGATGATGCTTGAGCAAGATTAGATGGCTTGATTTTATCAAGTTCTCGTTGTGAGATGCAGGTAGAGCAGATAATGAATGATACATCGGCCACCAATTCAAGCAGTGCAAGGGCCAGCCAAAGGGTTGATGATGATGAGCGCCTCATCTTAATCGCACGCATCAGCCGTAATAGTATCTATGGAGTTCCCGAAGCGATCTGCAGCCAGCCGCCCACCGCCCTTTTTTCCCACCTGCTGATCAGAGTCCAAGTGCCGGGATGAAGCTGATATCAGAATAAACTTGAAACGCTCATCCGAAGCTTTGTATCACAGAGAGTAGGCTGATGATACCTATTACCTATGGATAATCACCACCCCGCCACGGCAATCTCCATCTTGCTGGCCAACCATTCGACAACCTTGGAAGCCAGCCCACGCCAGCATGTGGCTTTCTGCTCTAATAATACGAGTCCCTGCGGATCCCGTCCGTCCATTATTACCTAGGTAGGATTATCTCACCCTAGGTACCTACCTCAGGTTATCCAGACCTCTGCAAGAGGCACTGAGAAACATGGCGCTCCCGCCTGCATCTCACAGACTCATCATCATCCGCAGCCCGTCTCTGGCCCTCCCCCGGCTGCTGGCGTCATCACCACCACCACCAGCATCGCCAGCCGCAGCCCGGCGTCTATCATTACATCCACATCCACCTGCACCCTCATCTCCGTCTCCGGGACTTGCTGCAACGGCCGGAGCGCCAGATCGTCGCCGGCCCAAGTCGTGCTACCGCCAGCGCCGGCCCTTTTCCAGCCATTGCCAGGGCGATCGCACCACCACCGTATCCGCCCAGCCATTGCCAGGTATACCTGCTGTGCGAGTACATGTATCTGACTTAGTCGCCCCAGCCTGGACCTGGAGTGCTTGTACTCGTGCTCGTAGTAGCAATAAATTCCGCTCCCCCCTCCCGCATCCGCCTCGTCTTTCCCCCTCCAACCCAGCGATCCATCTGCATCATCTGCAATCCAGACGACGATACTCTACCACAATGCCTGTCGGAACTGTTCTCGTCACCGGGTATGGCCTCTCCATTTCTCTTCCATGCCCTGCTCTTCTTCCCTTGGCTGCTGCTCTTCGCTCAGCGCCAAAGCAGCTTTCATGCGCGCAATTGCCCCGCGCGGCGCAGCGCAGCCCTACGACTCTTTCGCGGGGGGAAGATGCGCCAGCTTGTGTTATGCATAGCCTGAGCGAAGAGATTCGCAGTTGTTGTTTGTGCGCTTAAAAACAACCGTCAAGGCCTCTGGACTAACAATCTCTTCTCTTCTGGCCCCGTTCCGCAGTGGCACGGGCTACATCGGCTCCTTCACGACTCTGTCCCTGCTGGATGCCGGCTACGATGTCGTCATTGTCGACAGCCTCTACAACTCGTCCAAGGTCGCGATTGACCGCATCGAGCTGCTCTCCGGCCGCCGTCCCGACTTTTACCAGATCGACATCACCGACGAGAAGGCGCTCGACGAAGTCTTTGCCAAGCACCCTGCCATTGACAGCGTCATCCACTTTGCTGCGCTCAAGGCGAGTCTGCCAACGAGCCCTTGGGAGGACCGAGAGGAGCTCAGACGAAGAAAGAACGAAAGAAAGAAGCGAGACTAACGTCAGCCCAATCTCTGTTTCCAGGCCGTTGGAGAGTCGTCCATCATCCCTCTCGAATACTACCGCGTCAACGTCGGCGGCAGCATTGCGCTCCTTCAGTCCATGACGCGCCACAATGTCACCAACATTGTCTTCTCCTCCTCTGCCACCGTCTACGGCGATGCCACTCGATTCCCCAACATGATTCCCATCCCCGAGCACTGCCCCATCGGCCCGACCAACACCTACGGCCGCACCAAGTCCATGATTGAGGACGTCATCACCGACCACGTTACCGCCCAGCGCAACAACCTGCAGAAGGAGGGCAAGCCTTTCGAGCAGTGGAACGGCGCTCTGCTGCGCTACTTTAACCCCTGCGGTGCGCACCCCAGCGGCATCATGGGCGAGGATCCCCAGGGCGTTCCTTTCAACCTGCTGCCCTTGCTGGGACAGGTTGCGACGGGCCAGCGCGAGAAGCTCTTGGTCTACGGCGATGGTATGTAGCGGATGCTCTTGTGCTCTTTTCTGTAGGCGCGGTGTTTTGTCCCCCAGACCTAATCAATTCGCAGACTACCCTTCCCGCGACGGAACCGCCATCCGCGACTACATCCACGTCGTGGATCTCGCCCGAGGCCACTTGATGGCCCTCAACTACCTCCGCTCCAACCAGCCCGGCGTCAAGGCCTGGAACCTGGGATCCGGCCGAGGCAGCACAGTCTTTGAGATCATCAAGGCCTTCAGCGACGTTGTCGGCCGGCCCCTGAAGTACGAGGTCGTTCCTCGGAGAGCGGGCGACGTTTTGGACCTGACTGCCAACCCTACGCTCGCCAACAAGGAGCTGGGATGGAAGACGGAGCACACCATGGAGCAGGCTTGCGAGGATCTCTGGCGGTGGGTCAAGAACAACCCTCAGGGATACCGACAGGAGCCGCCCGCCGAGCTGCTGGCCGCCATCAAGAAGGCGTAAATGGGTTCGGGCTTGGAAAAGGGGGTGGTTTGGCAGAGCAAGGAAAGAAAACAAAACAACAAAAAGCAAGGACTTTGGATGTGATGCTTAAAATAGACGCGACGACCCGTTTCAGGTACATTTCGCCATGAGGCGTCATTCCACAATTTGGGTACTGTTGGACAATGGATCCTTTTGTATCACCTACCTACGTACGATACGCGAGAGTAAGCATCAAGGACACGAGTCTATTCGATAGAAATGAATGATTCAAAAGATACATATCTCTCTCTCACTTACACACACACACACACTCTCTCGCTAATTGTATACAATCATGTGTATCTATTCATCTCTTCGTCAACATGATCGCTCAAACGCCTACTCAATCAATCTTGAGCAAAAGTTTGCCCGTCGTCTTTCTGCTCTCGAGATCAATGTGCGCCTGCGCAGCATCCTTGAGGGGGTAAATCTTGTGGATCTTGACCTCGACCTTCTTGGAGAGAACAAGGTCAAAGAGCTCGGACGTGTACCTTTCCAGGTCTGCCCTTTCAGCGACGTAGCCGTTGACGACGGGCCTCATGAGGCGGCCGTTTTTGGGGCCCAGCTGCAAGATGTTGAAAGGGGGCACGGCTCCCGACTTGAAGATGGACGCATTGGTTAGCTTACTATTCCTTTCATCATTTCATTCTTCCAACCTCCTTTATTCTCTCCCTTTTTTTTCTTTCTTCTTCTTTTTCATCCGTTTCACAAGGAAGGGTGATAAAAACTTACCGCGTTGCCAAAGGAAATGAGATGGCCCTTGAGCGCAAGCATCTGCAAATCCGCATCAAACGTCGCCTTGCCCACGCCATCAAAGATGACATCGATCCCATGGCCCCCCGTAATCTCATTCACCCTCGCCACGATGTCATCATTCGAATTCACCACGTAGTCGGCGCCGTACTTCTTCGCCAGCGCAAGCTTCTCCTCGGTGCTGGCCGTGGCGACAATCTTGGCGCCGACGCTGCGCAGCATCTGCACGAGCAGCGTGCCCACGCCTCCCGCGGCCGCATGCACGAGCGTCCACTGGCCGGGCTTGACCTCGCCGGCCTCGCGGATAAATGTCCACGCCGTGAGGCCCTGGAGGTATATCGCCGCGGCTTCCTCGCTGGAGAGACCCTCGGGAATGAGGACGACCTTGTCGGCTTCCACGGCGGTATACTCGGCGTATGTGGCGGATGCGCCGCCGGCCATGTAGACGACGCGGGCGCCGGGGGTGAATTTGGACTTGTATTCGTCGGCTAGGGAATCGTGCGCTGTGACGATTTCGCCAGAGGCCTCGCGGCCCATGGTTAGAGGGAAGAAGGGCGCCGGGTAGAGCCCCGTGCGGAAGTAGGTGTCGATGTAGTTGACGCCTGCGAAGTGGTTCTTGACGAGGACCTGGCCGGTGGTGGGCGTGGGGACGGGCACCTCGTTGAGCTGGAGGACTTCGGGGCCGCCGTTTTGGGAGATTTGGATGGCCTTCATTGTTGCTGGGATGGATGCCATTTTGATTTTTTTTTCTCTTCTTTCTTTTTTTCTATGTGTCTTCTTTTGCGCTGGAAGGGAATGTAGTCTATGAAAGTATTGGTGTTGGTGTTTGGAGGTGAGGCTGGTTTTGGAGGAGCGACTTTGACGATGGTGTAAGTGAGAATGGGTTTGTAAGCTGAGAGTGAACTGATGAGGGGCAGAGGGGCAGATGAGGAGGGGCAGCACCGAGGCTGTCGCGTTTAGAAACGCTTCGAATCGGGGATTTTGAGCGCAATGAGACTGGATGTATTTATTAATTGGAGTTTTGCGCTTTTACTGCTCAAAGCTTGGGTCAATATCACTCAAAAGTCGACATTAGTAATTCAACGCCCATCTTTTTCCCTGATGAACATACACGGGGCGTGAAGTGAGCAACTCAGGTTTACTCTTTGAAGAGGGCGTCTTCAATACTGCGGCATTCCACCTGTCTATGTTGACTGGCATCTTGAATTGGCATCACGAATGTGTATTTCTTAGTAATAGAGGAGAGAAACACGTATGGCAAATGCCTACAGTGATTTATTGTATCTGCACATGTCATGTATGGCTTCTTCAATCGAACTGCATTTAGTAACCTTACCCAGATAAACAAACATCTAGAATATTTAGAGGAAGCGAGATCTGTTTACTAGGTACCAGTCAAAGATTGAATCTACCTACCAACGACCATATATGATTAGTAGAACAGCCTTCAACGTCATTCATTCACTCAGAACTCACTTGACGCTGTTAAAAGGGGGGTAACTCGACGTGAACTGCTCTCTGCCTTCGCCTTCAAGTTTCTGTCAAACTCAATTGCCGACCAGCAGCCAGCAGCCCGCTCGCCAATATCTTTTCCTGGTATCGTGTCCAGATACGGGTAATTTGAATGGTAACCATCTGAGTCAAATTGGTCAAATGACGTCGTGAGGGGCACAAGTCAAATGCGTCCCCCACGATGCAGAAAATGGAGAGAGCCTTGATATCGCGATAAGAGTCAGAGCCCCGCCAAGGTCAGCCTTACAATCGCAGACCTCAGCTAATCCCTTGAAGAAGCGAATACATCAAATCACTCCAAGCATCTACCAGATATACACAAGCACAACATGCCGCCTAGAATACCTCTCAAGGGCTTTCTCGCCGCTGCTCGATCAGCGCTGACAGCTCCCCCAGCACAACGACCAAACCCCCTCACGCTCGTCGTTGGCAATGAGTCTGCAGGTAAAAAAAACTAACACACATCAAAAAGCCATCTACAATGCATATACAGCAGCAGCAGCAAGCTAACATCATAGCAAGACCTCGATTCTCTCTGCTCAGCCGTAGTCCTGGCATACATCCGCACCAACTCCCCCCCTCACACACTACACATTCCCCTCTCCAACATTCCCCGGTCAGAGCTCGTTCTACGCACCGAAATGACTGCCGTCCTTCAGCGAGCCGGACTCTCTCCCTCAGACATCCTCACGCTTTCCGAACTTCCTGATCTCAAGCCTGAGGAGACGCAGTGGCTCTTGGTGGACCATAATGCCTTGACGGGTCAGCTGCAGAAGTTTCAGTCCAGAGTCATTGGCTGCATCGATCACCACGTCGATGAGAATGTCACCAGCCGTGACGTCAAGCCGCGCATCATTGAGCCTTGCGGAAGCTGCATGAGTCTCGTCATTGATGAGTCTCGGGCTGCCTGGGACTCTTTTCCTCCATTGGACGTTGGACAAGAAAAAGAAGGTGTAGATGCAAAGGAGGCCGCTGCTGAGGAAGATGACAAATTAGCGACACTCGCCTTTGCGCCCATCTTGATCGACACAATCGACCTAAAGGAGGAGCACAAGGTCAAGGAAAAGGATATCCGTGCCGCAAAATACCTGCACTCGAAGATTCGCCAGCAGGGATTTCAGCAGACCAAGTTCTTCGAGGACATTGCTGCTGTAAAGGAGGACATTTCGCAGCTCAGCTTCTACGACATCTTCCGCAAGGACTACAAAGAATGGGAAGAAGCAGGTCTGAAGCTCGGCATAAGTTGCGTCGTGCAGGACTTTGACTACCTCCTCGAAAAAGCAAAACAGCCCGACGTCTTCATTGACGAACTGGCCAGGTGGGCAAAAGAAAGGAAGCTTGATGTCGCAGGCGTCATGACGACGTCGAATCCTGGCGGAGAGTTCCAGCGTCATCTCCTCGTGTGGGGAATCACGGAGAAGGGTGCAGAGGCGGCGAAGAGGTTTCCTGGGATCGCAGAGGGGTTGGGGCTTGAGCAGTGGAAGGATGGGTTGTTAGATGGGGATGATGGGAAGAGGAGGGCGTGGAGGCAGAGGGATTTGAAGTCGAGCAGGAAGCAGGTTGCGCCGTTGCTGAGGGAGGCTTTGAAGGGGGTTGAGGGCAATTCGCAGTCACAGCTATAGATTGTGTTGGTTTGCTGGACAAGAAATTAGAAGAGATTGTTTCGCCATATATAGCTCGTCTAGATATGCAGATGAATTCTATGATACATGAAATATGAGTGAGAGGCGCTAACAGAGCGAACGAAACAAACAAGTCCTCTTTACTTTTGGAGCCACCCTCTATCAATCGTGCTACTCAAGAGTCCTTTGAGTCATTCTCATAAACTCCAGTCTCTTAATTGTAACTGGACGGCATCTGTCCCGACAAGTTGCGCAGAGTCTGCGCGCTGTGCTCCCTCGCCTGCTCATTCACATAATGCTGCCGCATGGTCTCAACCTCCCTCAACACGCGCACAAACTCCCTGTGCGCCAATTGCCGCTGGCCAAACAAGTCCAGCGTGTCCTGGGGCGGAGGGTGATGCAAAAGGTTCTCGGCGGAAGGATCGGCAGCCAGGATACACGCCTTCAACGAGGTGTACAGTGATCCCACGGGCCAAATCTTGGGTTCTTCCTTGAGCATCTCGGGATACACCCAACGCAGGGCATCGGTGCACAGCTTTCGATCACCAGTGGCTGCCATGACGCGATAAGCGTACTCGTACAGCTCCGGCGATCGAGGCAGTAGAAAGCGGGCTGGCGAGCGGAAAGCGTCCCAGAACTTGTCCCAGTCTGACCGGTGCGCATATGCCGCCATGAGCCGAAGAATCTCGCTCGTCTTCAGCGCAGATGTTTGTTTGGTTGACAGCAGATATTCCACATTCTTCTGCGCCCGCTGCAGCTCGGGGCCATATGCCGGCGACGTGACAATGGTTTCGATGAGGGAGATGAGCCAATCCTTGGACGTGACGTGCACACCGCGCTCCTCGGCCATGAGGCTGAGCTGGTCTACCAGAGCAAGTCGTTCCGGCGCAGTGTCTTCCGCAGTCACCTCGGCTTGGAAAATGGCCGAGATGAGGCCCTGAAATGTCTCGCGGCTCACTGGAGTCCCGGCCACTTGAACGTCGTGGATATGCCGCCGCAGCGTACTCAGATCCAACTTTGGACTATGCGGCTGATCTTCTGTTACTAGAGCTCCGGAATCAACTGAAGTCACTCTAGACTCACTGCTCTGAGGAGGGGCTTGGAGGCGTCGTGCCATGGTTGAAAACTGCCGCTGCTGCTGGGAGGCCAGTTTGAGGGCTTGCCACTGCTGGGCAGAAGGGCTGTCGGGCATCTGGATCTTTGCCGAGACCATGGATTCCAGCTCTGAGGGATCCACCACCTTCCTTCCCTTCACCTTCTGCATCTCCTCCATGTTTCGCTTCAGAATGCCTCTCCAGAGGGTTTCCAGATCAAGCTCGTTTCGCCTCGATTCCGTCATGCATTGCACAACCACCGTCGTTCCCGTCAACGGCGTGCCAAATCCAGAGAACCGTCCACTCTCGTCATAACTGTGAGACTCTTGCGCTCCGTGGTCATGCGCGCTGAAGTTGACGCAGACCCAGCCCGTCGAGATACCATTGTCCGAGCCGGGCATAATCATTGTGTTGGTTCCCAGCATCTTGGCCTTCTTCCTCAGCCTGCGCAGCTTCGTCTTGAGCTCTCCGGGCCCAATGAGCCCATCCGCCCGAGCTCCAACTTGGTGGTTCTTGCGCAGCCATCGTACGAAGCGGCCTGCAGAAATGTGCAAGTGCCTCTCGCTTCGTGCCGTTCCGAAGATCATGATGAGGTTGGGCCCGAGTGCTGCCGGCGGGTCCAGTTCGCGGAGGTCCAGCATGGACAGCTCGTCTAGGCCCATGTCTTCGTATATGTACTTCATCATCGGCTCGAGGAGAGGGGGCGCATCTTCGGGCACTTTTGGCAGCGATGCAATGTGTTGTAGCGGCGCACGTCGGGGGGGTTCGACATCCAGGAACCACGGCGTATCTGCGTCCTCGTTGCTGTCGACGATATCCTCCTCGTCTCTCAGCTCTTGGATCCCCGCCTTTTCCTCCGCGCTCCTTTGCGCAGTCGTCCCAAACTGCTGGCTTGCCGCAACACCTCGAAAGCCAGAGCTTGCCACCGGTCTGATGCCCCGCGAGGCCGATTGTCCAATGCCGGCCAGTGGCCTGGACGCAACAGCCCGCAGAATCGCCTGCCGGCATCCGCAGCAGCCCAGCGTCGCAGCGACCGGGCGAGAAATCATCTCTGCGGCCTTTTGTCAGCGCTGTTTTGGCGGAAGATGAAGCTGTTTCGACCACGGGTGAAATCGCCAGTTGTGGCACAAGGCACGACTTTTTGCGCTGCAGAAAAGCTGCCGGGTGGCGTTGGTGGGGCCGACGCCATCATTTTGCTGGCCACACGTGACAGTTTGCCTAGACCGACCAATCATGAGGGGCCTGCATGCTAAAGAGAAAAAAAGATGGGAAAAAAGATTGGAAAAAAAATCCAGCAGTCCCGCATTTGGCGAAAGTTGCTTCTCGCACCACCAGTAACTCTCGATACTGGCGGAACTTTTTGTTCCTTCAACGCCAATCTTCTCTCTTCACTTCTTTTTTTTTTTATTTTCCTCAATTCTGCATTTCTGTTCTACCGCAACCCTTTTGCATTCTGTCCTCGTATATCTCGACCGTCTTCGCTGGCGGTGCGATTGATATCCGCACGTCAAGATGCTGCCGAGGCACGCGGGCCGCAGCGCCTCTCTTCACCATGCAGCTGCCCTCAAGACCATTCGAACCTCGCCCAGACTCTCCTCTCTCCAGTCCTGCATCTCTACACTAAGCTCACGCGGAGATGTGGCCAAGCATCTGCGGCCATGGCGCCGAGGACTCGATCTTGGCTTCGGCTCACACGAGCGAACGCTTGCCACAGCCGTAGACGACTTCAAAGTGGAGGGAATGCCGTATAATAACCTCTCAAGCTCATCAATACCGCCATTCGAGATTCACGCATTCAACCCAGCGTCACCATTGACCATTCCCGAGCCGGGAGCCCCAAAGCCCCAGACGAAGACGAACACCTACGGCATCCCCGGTGAACCAGAAGATATGCTCATGGTGTTTGACGCCTGCATCAGAGTAGGAAAGCTTGAAAGAGCAGCGCTGGTGCTGAAGCGTCTCAGCTCCGTGGGCACCACATCAGACGAAGAGCGAATCATTCTCAACAACAAGTACTTGCGAGCATCTCTCAACCAAATGCGCACCACGCCCGATCGAAAGCAAGCTGAGCAGCTCCACAAATGGTATGAGTTGCAGATAAGAAGCAAGAATTTGCCACATACGGCCGAGACAATCGCCTGCATGCTCAAGGCATCTCTGCTGTCTGAGCGGGGCGCCAGACTTGAACGTCTGGTGAAGCGATATATGGGCATGGCCCCGGACGAAGCTGGACTGCGCGTCCTCAGCATGGACGAGATCCTCAGCGACCAGGACCTTGCCGTCATCACCCGAATCTGCCCGACCTACAACTTTGCCCCTGACGAAGGTGATCTTGAAGACCTGGCTCTTGCACAGGAAAACTCTCAAGAGGCGGAAGCGTCGTCTAGCCTTGACACCGAGGCTGGCCAGTCATCAGCCTCTGGGAGTGTCCCGGAGCTCATCCCAACCCCGCAACGTGGCGAAGGTCTCAATACCCTGAAGAAGGGCCTTGGACTCTTGCTGGGGCTGCAGAATGTCGACATTTCCAAGCTTCCTTATTCCGATCGCGTGGATATTCAACTGCAGCTGGAGCGGGACACAATCAGCTCGGCAATCGAGAAATGGCGGCTGGACAACAAAACACTGCAGAAGCGAGGTGTCACTACAGCTCTGGCGCCATCCCACAAGGAAGGGTCTATGTCGCAGAACTTGGCATCCTGGATGAGCGCCATGGAGACCCGGATCTACCAAGAGCTCAGGCTTATTGAACAGTCAGAAGCAAAGAAGTCGAAATCGGACAAGGACCTGACACGGTGTATCTACGGTCCATTTATACAACAGGGTGACCCGGCGCGCCTGGCGGCTGTAACGATCTTATCAGTCATCAACCTCGGAACTGTTCTAGGTGTCGAGAAGGGCCTCCCCATCAGCAGACTCATTACACATATCGCCAAGGCTGTTCAGGAGGATATCGAGATGTACCAGAAGGAATTGGCCGAGAGGAGGGCTCGACGAGAGCGCAAACTGCGCTTCGTAGGCGGCAAGGACAAAGCAAGCAAAAAGGCCAGCAGCAAAGATGCTGGCAAAGAGGAGGAGCCGCCCGTTCTGGTCGACACGACGGAGCAACAATCGGCTATGGAAGAAAACAGCCGAAGCCCCTGGTCTTTACAAATCAAGGCCCAGGTTGGCTCAATTCTGCTGCAGATGTTGATGGAGTCTGCCAAGATCAACGTTGTGGTGGAGCGTTCAGAATCCAAAGAGTTGATCAGCCAATATCAGCCCGCCTTCAATCACCAATCGGTCCTCCGAAAGGGCAAGAAAGTGGGAGCCCTCTTTTTCAACACTCGCTTGGTCGAGCAGCTCAAGCGAGAGCCCGTGGGAGACTTCATCGCCAAACACATCCCAATGGTTGTTGAGCCCAAGCCCTGGCAGTCTTTTACCGAAGGTGGCTTCTTGGACAGCACGACCAGCTTTGTCCGAGTGAAGCCAGGAGATGTCGAGCAGAAGTTGTACAGCAACGCGGCGATCAAGCGAGGCGATATGACGCAGGTGTTCAAAGGTCTGGATGTTCTTGGCAAGACGCCATGGATCATCAACAAGGATACCCTGAATGTCATGATGGAGGCATGGAACAGTGGCGAAGAAATCGCCAACATACCACCGCTCAACCCGAATCTCACAATTCCCCCCGAGCCAGATTCTTCGGCAGATCCACTTGTCCGGAAAAACTGGATTCGAGCAGTTAAGGCGATTGAGAACGAGCGCTCCGGTCTACACTCGCAGCGATGCTTCATGAACCTGCAGCTAGAGATTGCACGAGCCTTCCGCAACCAGACCATCTATTTCCCGCACAACGTCGACTACCGAGGCAGAGCATATCCCATGCCGACATACCTCAACCACATGGGTGCCGACCACGCGCGAGCCATCTTGAAATTCGCGAGAGGCAAAGAGCTGGGGGTCAGGGGCCTGAGGTGGCTGAAGATCCACCTTGCCAACGTCTACGGCCTGGACAAGGCCAGTTTTGACGAGCGCGAGGCTTTTGCGGATGAGAATGTGGCCAACATTATCGACTCTGCCACCAACCCCTTGAACGGCAGCAGGTGGTGGCTCAAGGGTGAAGACCCTTGGCAGTGTCTCTCTGCTTGCTTTGAGCTCAAGGCCGCCCTTGAGCTTCCCGACCCCACAAAGTTTGTGTCGCATCTCCCGGTTCACCAGGATGGTACCTGCAACGGACTTCAGCATTATGCAGCCCTCGGTGGTGACACATGGGGAGCGAAGCAAGTCAACTTGGAACCTGGTGACAGGCCTGCCGACGTGTACTCAGCGGTCGCCGATCTCGTCAAACAGGCCATTGCCAAGGACAAGGAGAACGGGAATGCCTTTGCAGAAGCCCTCGACGGGAAGATTACCCGTAAGGTTGTGAAGCAGACTGTGATGACGAACGTGTACGGTGTCACATTCTCGGGAGCAAAGAAGCAAATCTGCAAACAGATTGATGCTTTGTATCCCGACTTGGGCGAAAAAGTCGGCATTTCCAACATGCTGCTGTCGACGTACATTGCCAAACAAGTCTTCCAAGCCCTTGCCACCATGTTCAAGGGTGCGCACGACATCCAGTACTGGCTTGGCGAGATTGGTGGACGAGTGTGCCGAGCCCTGACGCCGGCCCAGCTCCAGCAGATTGTGGATCAGTATGGCGAAGGCGATGATGGCACCTCTCGCACCAGCAAGGCCAGGAAGTCGGCGACGACGGCCAGGAAGAAGGTCGAGTTCGATGACCTCGTCCAGCAGTTCCGATCGTCTGTCGTTTGGACAACGCCCCTTCGGATGCCCGTCGTTCAGCCTTACCGCAAGACTACTGCTCGCGAGATCAAGACGTGCCTTCAAGCCGTCATCTACCCTATGAGCGACCAGACGGATCCGGTGAACAGGAGGAAGCAGCTTCAGGGTTTCCCTCCCAACTTCATCCACTCCCTGGACGCCAGCCACATGTTGCTGTCAGCGCTGGAGTGCCACGCTCGGGGGCTCGACTTTGCTGCTGTGCACGATTCGTTCTGGACACATGCGGGCGACCTCGATGTCATGAACGAGGTCCTGCGCGAGGCCTTTATCCGAATCCACGAAGAGGATGTTGTTGGCCGCCTGGGCGCCGAGTTTGCGGCGCGTCACCAAGGATCGATTTACCTTGCCAAGATTGACCCCGACACCCCGGTTGCCAAGAAGATCAAGGAGTTGCGCAAGGCCAGCAAGCTGTCACCCAAGGAGGAGCTCCTCCTTGAGCACAAGCGTAACCAGCTGAAGCTGTCTGGAAACCCCTGGGACCTCGAGGCCGCCAAGAAGATTGTCACCCCCGCTTCTGTGTACGAGGAGATGATGGCTGCCGAAGTGGACATGGACATCCATGAAGATGTTAAGGACATTGGCTTGGGCGCCATTCCGGAAGAGGCCGAGCTTGTCGACCAGGAGGATCTCGAGGCCCAGACCGACAACTCGGCCGTGTCGGCAGAGTTCACCGAGCGGCTCATGAAGGACATGCACTCGTCCTTCTTTGAGACCCAGGTGGTGGGCGAGAAGCCGGCTCCGTCGCAGAAGAAGAAGAAGACGCCGCTGCCTGTTTGGCTGCCGCTGACGATCCCGGAGGTCCCCAAGAAGGGCGATTTTGACGTGAAGCGCTTGAGGGAGAGCAAGTACTTTTTCTCATAGACATGTATGGATGGTGTGGTGTATATCTCGACTATATTCTTACTACTACGGCCGATTTCATGAAGGGACATTTGGAGAGTATTATGGGGTGGTTTGGCGTTGAAAATGGGTGCATTTATTTGGCGTTTGTGTGGTTAGCAAAATCTTGGCGGGGGCGCATTTTCAGCGGGTTTTTGATACATCTTGTATATTAGGATTTGGTGGCATCACACCGAATGAGTTTATCATGCCATGCCATGATAGATAAAATCAAATAGTCAAAAAGTCAAAGAACGAAGAAGAAAGAGTTAAAGAGAGAATATACTGACGGCTTTGATGAAATCGTGATTGGAGCAATCGTCTTATTCGTTCTATCTACAAAACAGTATTTACCGAACAGTTGCGTTCTTCAGAGACTTGACAGTGCAAACACCACCGCTCTCAGTCACCAGCCTGCCCACACCCGTCTTGCCCAGCTGCTCAACAGCGCTCGCGTCAAAGGCAGCCTCAAGGTTTTCCGTCGTGGTGAAGCCCGGCTGGAACGTCTCCCAGATCTTCTTCTTGGGGTTCAAGACGCCCTCAGGCTCGCCCTTCCAGCCCTCGAAGAAGACACGCTCGCCGGCCTTGGCACCCTCGGGGGGCGTCACCAGCTCGACGGGGCCCTTGTGGTCGTCGACCTCGCCCTCCTTGACCTTGGGCGAGGCGGCGAGGACCATGGCGCAGGACTTGATGCCGCGCATCTTGACGGGCTTGAGGTTGCACACGACGACGACCTTGCGACCCTGCATCTCCTCGAGAGGGACAAGGCCGTTGAGGCCAGAGCACACGGTGCGGCAGATCTGGCCCTCGTACTCGGTGGTGTCCTCGCCGGGGGCGTCGCCCATGGCAATGGTCGAGACGTAGAGCGAGTCGGCGTCGGGGTGGTTGACGGCCTTGAGGATGTGGCCGACGCGCAGGTCGATCAGGCAAGGGGACAGAGGGGCGGCGGGCGCGGGGGCCTTTTGCGGCTTGGGAGCCTTCTCCTTCTTCTCCTTCTTGGGCTTGTCGCCTCCGGCAGCGGCGGCGGCAGTGCCCTTGGCTTGGTCAACGACCTCCTTTGCCTTTTCCTTGACCTCCTTGGCCTTTTCCTTAGTGCGGTCGACGAGAGTGGCGTCGTTGTTGTTGTTGCCTCCGGCGGCGGCAGCGGCAGCGGCAGCCTTCTCCTTCTTGAGGCGCTCCTTTTCGGCCTTTGCGTCAACGGGGGGCTTGACGTACAGGACCTCCTCCTGGTCGACCTTGACCTTTTGCTCGTCCTTCAGATCGAGCCCAAAGACGGGCGCGTTCTGGACAAAGTCGACATGGCGGACGATGTGCGGCAGACCCTTTTCGCCAGTGCGCTCCTCGGGCGTCCACTTGGCGACGATGGGCGCGAGGGCCTCGTAGATGGCGACGTCGGCCTTGCTGGGCTTGCTGCCGAGGAGCGTCGTCCGGCTGGAGAGGTGGCCGTTGAGCGTCTCGAGGATCTCGGACTTGTTGTCGGCGGACTTGAGGCGCTCCGAGGTGGTGAGCCACTGCTGGATCTCGGCCTCTTCGGTAGGCGTGTACTTCTGGGAGCTGAGGGCTGCCATTCTTCTGACGGTGAGGAAGGTTACCGGGGAGGAGATGAAGCGGAGTGGGCGAGAAATTCTGCTCGAAAGTGAGCGGGGGATGAGGCGATGCAGAAACAGCTTTGCTGGTTTGGGGGGGATAGAAGCCGAGTTGATTGGCTTCTTCTCTGGCTTTTTACAGTATGTATGTATGTATGGTGTTTTGGGTGTGAGTCTTGAGATGGACAATTTTTGATAGCGGGGTCGGTCAATCGTGGTGGGATGGAGGGGCAAGAGGATGAAGTGTGGCACAGTGTGGCGCTGGCAGGCTTCTTGTGGCGCTTTCCAGCCACGCTCGATCGATCTCCGGGAAGCGGGAATCGTGGCTTGACGCGATGGAAGGAGAGAAAAGCCACTTTACGCGCAAACGCCAGAAATTGGTAGTGCAATGGCACGTGATCGCGTTGCCATTTCGCGTTTCGCTACGTCACGCCGCATCTCAGCTCTCTTCACGATTCCCTTGTCTCGACTCTGCGAATCTGGTGAATGCAGCGTGGATTGCGCTGCAATTGGCCTTTTGGACAGCTGGCACGCTTCACTTTTGGTTCATCTCGCCCATGGTTCCTGCATTAGCGCACGGGCATCTCGTTTCCCGACTTTTTCTTACGCGCCGAATTCTTGTGTAACCCTCACCACCCGCTGTCGTGAATCTTTGGCTGGCCGGCTGCATCGGCGAGGACTGGCCTCCGTTTACTGTACTCTGAATTCCGTTTGCACTTGATTTCTACCCCATCCAAGGTTCTTGATCAGTTACGCTTTCGCTTGAATCGTCATGGCGAACACCTCGGCCTCGGAGATTGACTCAATCATGTCGACTTCACGGACGCCGACTACGGCGCCCTCTTCTCCGCCAGTAGATCCGTTTGACGACCAGGAAGACGTCGGCCTCGTTGACGAAGACATCATCAAGGAAGAAGCAAGGGCGCGCTCTGCAAACAATGCCCTCGAAGAAAAGCGCCGTGCTTCCCTGCTCAAGCAGCGACGGAAGAAGAAGGCTGAGACGAAAGCCGAGCGAGAGGCTAAGGCCCGAGAGTTGGATGAGCTGCTGCAGAAAAGTGCAGCCTTTAGCGACATCTTAACCAAGAAGACACAGGTTCTTGGTCGAGTGGGGAGCAGCATCGATGGCCAGAAGCTGGGAGAGCATAACCTGCAGATGGCCACGCAGCCCAAGTGTATGGTTGGCGGCACGATGAGAGAGTATCAACTAGAAGGCTTGACCTGGATGTACGAGATCTGCTCGCAGGGCATGAGCGGCATCTTGGCCGATGAGATGGGTCTTGGTTGGTGATGCATCTCATCTCATGTTCTATCGACATGCTGACCCATGTTTCAGGTAAAACGATTCAGACCATCGCCCTCATAGCACTACTTCGGGAACAAGAGCAATACCTTGGACCTCATCTCATTGTTGCTCCCCTGAGTACACTTTCGAACTGGATTGACGAATTCCACAAATGGGTGCCTTCAATACCTATCGAGATGTACCACGGCAACAAGGCCCAACGAGAGGAGATTTTTCGCAAGAAAATCATGAACCACCTGAAATCTGGCCGGCCTACTGAAAAGTTTCCCGTTGTTTGCACGTCTTACGAGATGGTCTTGAATGACCACCATAACCTGTCGCGCATCAAGTGGGAGTTCATCATCATCGTGAGTATCATCAAATCCGTTTGCAGAACTAACTGCTAATCTCTTTGGCATAGGATGAGGGTCATCGCATGAAGAACGCTGATGCAAAGTTGTTTCAACAGCTGCGCCAGTTCTCATCCGCCACTCGTTTGCTCATCACAGGGACGCCGCTTCAGAACAACTTGAAAGAGCTCTGGTCTCTTCTTCACTTCCTGCTGCCGAATATCTTCACTGACTGGGAGGCTTTCGAGTCATGGTTTGATTTCTCGGAATTGGGCGATGAACAAGGGACTCAGCAGTTCATCGAGGACCAGATGAAGCAGGATCTGGTCAAGAAGATCCACCTCATACTTCAACCACTGTTGCTCCGGCGTATCAAGCAAGATGTCGCTGCATATCTCCCGAAAAAGCGAGAATATGTTCTCTTCGCTCCCATGACGAAAGAGCAAACAGACCTGTACAACGTCATCTCCAACAAGAACAGTGATACCAGATCATACCTCGAAGACAAGGCTGTCGAAATGATTCGATCGAAAACGACGTCTAGGGCCACCACTCGATCCTCTTCACGTGCAAGGTCAATTACCAAGAAAGATAAGGAGGAAAAGCCGGTGTCACTGCCTCTCCGGCAGAGTGCTAGAGGCAAGGATAGGTCAGCATCTCCGGCAAACGCTTTCAGCCTGATGATGGGCAAGCGGGGACCAGGACGGCCTCCTAAGAATGCCAAGTCCGAGTCATCGCCCACCCTTCAGACGCCGAAGCGGAAGAGCCCGCCAACATCCGTTGCGTCGGGCTCCAAGAGCTCAAAGTCTAGTCGGCAGTCAACTCCGTTGAGTACTCGAGGTCGTCGCCATGCCGGTCGTTCATATAAAGAAGCCGATTCTGACGAGGAGAAAATGTCTGATGATGAGTTTGAAGAAAAGCTGGCCAGGGAAATGGCCACTGAAGACAGTGACGACAAGCCTTCTGAGCCAATGTCTGCTGAAGACATGGAAATGGCACAGACCCTTGACATGGCTAGTATGTTTTCCATCGTAGTTTCAAGCACATCCATACCGCGCGGATGCTAACAAGTTTACAGAGAAGCAGATCTCGCGCAAGAAGCTGGGCAACCCTCTAGCTCAGCTTCGACTAGTTTGCAACAGTCCTCACAATTTCTACAACCCGTGGGCTGTAGCGACCGACATCCCAGTGGATGAAAGCATTGTCACAGCATCTGGCAAAATGCTTCTCCTCGATCGTCTGTTGAAGCACCTCTTCAAGAGCGACCACAAAGTGCTCATCTTCTCTCAATTTACTACGCAGCTTGATATTTTGGAAGATTATTGCAGAGAACTACGTGGCTGGAAAGTATGTCGCATCGATGGCAGCATCGCTCAGGCCGACAGGAGGGAGAGCATAAAGCTCTTCAACAGTGATCCAGAGTACAAAATATTCCTCTTGTCCACTCGCGCCGGTGGTCAAGGCATCAATCTGGCTTCTGCGGATACCGTTATTCTCTTCGACAGCGACTTCAACCCTCAGCAGGATTTGCAAGCTCAAGACCGCGCGCATCGTATTGGTCAAGAGCGTCCAGTGCTGGTGTATCGCCTTGCTACCAAGGGAACTGTGGAAGAGTCCCTCCTGCTCTCTGCGGATGCAAAGCGGCGACTGGAAAAGCTGGTGATTCGCAAGGGAGGCTTCAAGACGATGGGTCAGAAATTGAACGAAAAGGAAGAAGATCTGGATCCGGAAACACTGCGAGCGCTGTTGCTCAAGGATGGTCAAGTATACGAAGTGTCGGGAGGCGATGATATTCTGAGCAATCAGGATCTGGACACGATATGTGATAGGAGTGAAGAAGCGTTTGAAAAGGCGGCTAGAGGTGATGGAGACGCGGATGCATTCAGAGTGGTAGAGACGGGTTCAGATTCGATCAAGATGGCGGGAAAGGCTTGACGCATTTGCTGAAACGAATACATGGCTGGAATGGATTACAACGGCTATTGATGGGATACTCATGACAACGAAAGTGGTGATAGTCATTCAGTTGATGTCAATCTGGGTGTAAATCTAGAAGAGATGCAACTGCGCTGTTACTCCCCAGGTAGCAAGCTCACTAGCTAGATATGCTACCTTTGAAGTTATAGTCGATCGGCTCATGATACCATAATCGACTGGTCGATATCTCTTTCATTTGTTCATTTGGGGACAAGCGTTCAGTACTGTCATTCTGTCCATCCAACGTGTGTAGATTCAGCGCCAACAACTACAAGAGTCTCACGAGACGAACATTATCGAACATGGTGACGACACTTATCATTCTGTACCTATGTCCTGTATGTAATAGAGCCTTATTGTCAGGAAACTTGTGACATTCGGACCCGAATAAAGTCAACGTTATCTACCTAGGTACAATTATACACGAAGACAAGCTACCTTTATTGGCTAGGGTAATCTGATCTACAAGACCTTCAAGGCCAATACTGGACGTGCAAGCATTGACATCTGTTACTGTTCTGTTTTGAGCAATTTCATGACAAGTTCAGACCGCCTGAGGAATCTGCCGCTTCCGATAGGTTGGCACATTCTTCTTGTTGATCCCTGTATCATGGCAGCCGCATTACTTCGCCACCGCGCTAGAGTTCACCATGCAGCCGGTGAAATGATCCAAGGATCTTTTTTCACAGCATTCTTAAGCCTCCCTTGACGTATACTCACAGAAGCCGAATCCAGTTACTCTGGCATGCGCAGTGATTAATCAACCAGTCAGGTCTTGCCACGATGCTGATCTTTCAGCTGCCCGTTTTTCTTTGCTTTCACAGCAAAATTAACCCCCCTCAAGTCTTTGAGAGGGAGCAGCAGCCTGATTTCTTGGGCAGACATGACGGCCAGCAGTTCAGCTAGGCCATTGATGCAATATCCCCAAGTGTACAGTGACAGTTTGCGGTATGAGTAGCATAGAGTAGGAACAGAAACATATCTAGGTACTATTTTGGCATGAATTCCTACTAGAACGACATGAGATACCTAGGCAGTCGTTCCTGAAGAAGTACATACAGCGATACCTCAAGAGCCGAGCAATACAGAAGGAAATGCTATTAGAGCATGATGATGTCCGTTCCTTCAATCCTCCTTCATACTGTAGATGATAGTGATATCTACGCACTGCCAAGCCACCCGAGGTGTGAACAGCCATACGGTTCAGGGAAGGACGCCTTTGTGCAACAGAATCGAGAACTCCCCCGAATCATCGTGACAGAAAGATTAAAGAAATTTCTCATTTCTTCAAAGTACGTTTGGCTCTTCGAGGTCCAAGGAAACCTGGGCATCAACATGTGCTAAACTCCTTGCAAACATAGACTATGGTATAATAGAGCAACCCCAAGAGCTCGGCTCTCCAACGACTATTTCTTCGCAGCCGCAAGAACATACTCCTCATTCTGCTTATTATACTCCCTCACAAAATCCGTCACATTCGCCGGCGTATCAACCTTATTGTACTCGGTAGGAATAGGGTCGCCAATCCTCGAAAAGACCGGCAAAACGCCCGTCCAGACTTTCCCCTGGGCATCCGCGTCTTCCAAATCATGCCTATCATCATGCACGCCGCCATCGCGAAACTTTGCGCTGCCGGAGGAGATGCTCACTCTGAGGATGCTGGTGCTCTGCATCTCGGCGGGCGTCGGGGGCTGGCGGGAGGTGCGCCAGCGGTCGGGGACGACGCCGTTGGTGATGAGCTCCATGGCGTAGAGCTTCTCCGCGTCGTCGGTGACGAGCGTGGCGTGGCCGAAGAGGGTGGCGGAGCGGTAGTTGTAGGAGTGGTTGAAGGGGGATGTGGCGAGGATGAGGGCGTCGACGTGGGAGGCGGAGATGCAGACGGGGAGGCCTTGCTCTTGCTCTTGCTCCTTATCCTGAGGAGAAGAAGAGGAGGAGGATGATGAGGAGCGGGCGAGGTTCATCATGCGGGAGGAGACGTAGCCGTGGAGGTAGAGATCGAGAGGGTCGCCGAGGTCCGCGCTGGGACGGTCAAAGGAGCCCATGTGGCCGATCATGGGCAGGATGGTCGGGAAGGGGGAGTCATTGTCCGGGGTGTTGAAGGCGACGTTGAGCAGGGGAGAGGAGTTGATGAGGGAGTGGATTGCTTCGAGGGCGTAGCTTGCGCGGTCGGATTTGCGGCGGACGGTGTTTGTTTTCGTTTTGGGGTACTCGAGGGTGTGACGGCCCATTTTGGCGGTGTTGGAGGAGTTGATGAAGATGGGGATCAAGTCGGAGTAAGGTAAGTTGTGATGAGGGAAGTTGAATGAAGCTGGGCTTGAAGTGGATGAAGTGTTGTTGAGAGCTGTATAAGTCGAGTTGGGGAGCTTGCTTGAAGATGGGCTGTCTGTCTAATGGATGGGCAAATCAAGGATCATCGACGGGTCTTTATAAGTCTGAATGAAGAGTGCACTGGCTCTTGACGAGAGAGTCGACATGTGACTCTTTGTTGATGAACCGGAAACTTGACGACATGAATCCTATGGCCCGGCAGCGGCAACGAGGGGACCGGGCCGGCGGCCGGGACATCCACGCCCTTGAGATTACTATTGGAAGAGGGCAATTGGCCGGCGTTGCGCGGCTAGCGGAGGTGTCTCAAGCTGTTTGTACCTTATGTGTGTATGTCTCATGCACCTCCATGTGTGACATGTGGGCGGAATTGCCTTTCTGGAGGAAGTGCAGAGATGGAGTGTGGGGGAAGTGGCTGAAGACTAGCAGGATCACGACTTACACGATATGCTTCTCAGCCTGCCCGGGGATATATAGAAGTATACGTTACATGGACGTGGATGCGATTCCTTGGTGTACGTGGCTAGTAATCTGAACCTCATTTGTAATGTCTTTCATTGCTGGTATGCAACTGATTTCGTGGGACGGAAGAGGAGGTTGCAACGTCAGTGTTGGAGCCGGCTTGGGGCGGGTAAAAGAACGAGCGATGGCTTCCATTGGTAGGTAGGTAGTCAGGTAGCTTGGGGTTCTGCTGTTAGTAATAGTTGGAGTGAGTTGGGGAAGCGTTCGACTACGGCTAATGGTGGTTAGATGAGGGCTAATCCGATGTCTACTTTGAGTTGCTTTGGGGTTGTTGGGCTTTGATGCGGAGGAAAACTTGATTGAGTCATGTTGGAGTCCATATCCAGAATTGGACCTATATCTGGAGGAAGGGTGCAGACCTGGATTGTGGTGTGACAAGCTCACCTACATTAATTCATAAGGAAAGTATTTGATCAGATGAATGAAATAACAGACAGTTTTAGTGCTTTCGGACCTCTTTTTGAGTGTCATCGTAGAACTGACTTGATTAGATGAGATTGGTGTTGAGCATACCTTCATGTTATCTTACATGAGTCTGCGGCATGCTGGATTACTAGGGATTAATAAGTGGCCCACCACCAATCGTATACCACCAGCCACAATTATTCCCTGGCTACGTAAAGAAAGCGTCGAACAGAAGCAAGGCATGACAGAGACAAAGTCAACGATCAATGCCAATGCTGTAGCGAGATTGAACAAGAGACGAGGCAGGCTGATTGACTGCTGCTTGTGGCGGTGCAAACGGGGTTCCTGGCCTGTGGCTCAGCACAACTACCTACATGTAGACAAATTCAACGCCCTTCAGACGAACCGGTGCCTGCCAAGGCGGTCAGGGTCAGGGTTCATACAGGGGGCTTGACTCCTCCCCCCTGTCGCCAGAGACTTGCCCTCTTCCAACATCTGCCAGAATTCGAATCACGGTCAAGGCACATACGAGTACTGCTACTACAGAGTCCAGGCGTCTCTCTCTCGACACTGCAATTCGGCCCCGGGCGACGCACTGCTCTGCTCTGCTTGTCTTGCATGTTATTACTAGGTATTCGTCTTCACTGCAACACCCTTGCAATCAATCGTCCAAGCCTCGCGCGGCCTCGGTGCAGATCCCCGTGCATGGCGATGTGAGATTGGATCTCGAGCTGCCGCTCCACCAGCGCTGCGACCAGGGTGTCTTGCTTCGGTACAGTACAATGATTAGCTGTTGGAAGCGCGTGATCGATGACCGAGAGAGAGCCCTCAGTCGAAACACCAGCGACGGCAGCATCCAAACGAGATACGAGCCTCATAGCACAATAACAGACGGCCGCAAATTCTTCATCCGCTGACTCGCCCCGTCTCTCGCCTCGCAGCGCCGCCATGCGTGAAGCACCCCCGGTCGTTTCGTTTGCCCGTGCTAGAACAGGAGGCTTCGTGTGTAGCATCTTTTGCACACCATGCCCGTCTCCCGACATTGGAGGTTTCAAGTGAAACGACACCACCCCGGAGACTCCTCTTGCTAGCCCAATCCAGCCTCTGCCTCCTCCCAAAGGCCGTCTGGATCGAACGCTGCCGTGTGTCAAGTCCAAGGACTGTGTTTCTTGGCAGCTTGAGTTGTCGAGAGGCGGACTGACAAGAGAAAAATTGAAGCCTACTGTACTGAGGTCGCTTGTCTGCCCCCCCTTCCCTGCCGCCATGGGTGTCGCCCCGGAAGTTGACGATAGTCTATTGTGTGGCACCCATTCCTGAGCCTTCTCTTCTCTTCTCTTCTCTTTTTCCCTCTCTTTCGCAACTCACACTTTCTCTACTGCCTTGGAGATTGACCGCGTCTCGTGGGAGTTGTGAGGAGTTGTCGGTCTTTTCTTTCATAATGCTTCAGTTCGATTCTTGGTGCTGATACCTTTTTCTTCTCTTCTTGCTGTGATTTGGTCTTCCACCCGTCCTCTCGTTATTCTTTCTATCACGACATCTGTCTCGCCCATTGACTGGGTGTTTCGTTTTTTCATTCTGTTCAATCTCTAATAATCCAACTTACCATCTGGTGTCGCTGCCATGGCAGGCTCCAGCAGCGCCCCGGCTCTGGCCGCGACCATCGTTTTGTTCGTGATACCCGACCTCGACCTCGATTTGCGAGACATCCGGAAGAGATCGCCGTGTGCTGACTTGTAGGATCTGCAACTGTCCAGTGGTCTCGTTGTTCTGGCCGCTTCCACGGCCATTCTTCTTTTCTTTGTCAAAGCGAGTCGATCGCCTCTCCTGCGAAACGAGTTGAGGCTGGCCCTCTCCTTTTTCCTCGCGTCCTCGGCAATCTGGGCATTCATCGAGCTCGGCGCTTCGCTTGTTCACCAGCCGACCTCGACATGTCAGACGCTCATTCTGTTCGCCACTGTTTTCGACCAGGTCGCTCGAGTCTCGGTGGAGCAGTTCTTCCTCTGGGCGTTCAATGGCGGAATCAAGTCCTCGACCATGTCGCTGGCTCTGCAGGGCGCCCTTCTTGTGCGATTCGTCCTGGGTGCAATCTTCGTCGCGGTTCAACGACCCCAGTTCGACCCGGTGTGCGTCGCCAGCAACATGCTTCTCCCTGTCGGCGTCATCGTCATGACGGCTGACATGGGCATGTTTGGTGTCCTCGCGACCAAGGCTCTCCTGGCGAGGAGGGACCATTCTGGCCCGGCGCAGTCCAAGACGTTAATCTTTTTCACTGCTGCGTTTGGCATCTGGACAGGAGTCAGTACCTTTGCTGCCAAGGAGACAAGGAGAAGAAACAGAGCAAGCATAAAGGCTAACCTGCCCCTAGTTGAGCATTCCTCTTTTCTTGGGACTTGAGTCCACTGGCTACATCTTCCGAACAATCTTGCCTGCCATAGGCTTGCTGATTCTAATAGGTATGTCATAACGATGTGAGCCCCAGATGTCTCTGCTGATCAACGATAGGAATTGTGGCTCTCTCTACGACGGGGTTGGTTTCGCTGCCTACGACGTCTCTTCTGCACTTCCACAAGGGGGAATCGTCCGAGTCGGCAAACGTCGAGACGGAGACACGCAACCTTTCCGACCCTCTCCATTCACAAGGCATGACGTCGACCGCGCCTCCCGCTCTGCCTCTCATCAGACAGCCATCCTCCGGCAGGGGTATTGGAGGAGTTCCCATCGAGGGCGAACTGTTCCCCCCCATGCGAACCCAGCAGGCCTCTTTCAAGCCGCACTCTAAGAAGCAAATGACGGAGAAGGCCTACAATGGAGGAAAGATTATCATCTCGAAACCGGTCATGGCGGACTCCAGCGAAACAGACGCCTTCGACCACATCCAGACCATGGACCTGGCTGCCGCCGCAGCGAAAGAGCGAGAGCGCCGCGAGAAGTTTCTTCCCCTGATGAGCTTCGACGCGATGCTCAATGAGCCTCTGTTCCCAAAGTCAAGGGATCTCACGGCCAACTGGCAGACCTCCAACGGCAAATCTTGGTATGCCGACGAGGGAAGCAGCCCGGCAGCGCAAGAGCGTTCCTTCGCGACCACCTCAGCTGTGCAGCTCTCGCCCGGCATGGACGAGACACGCCGACGTTCCCCTCGACACCCCATTCAAGCTAGCGCTCCCTCTCCAGTGGAGGACCAGACTCGAACACCAAGGGCAGTATCGCCAAGATCAACAAAGGCGCTGCTTTCGAAAGCCCACATCCAGGAGCCAAAGTCGGCCGCAGCACCTCCGCCGCCAATCAAAGTGCTCCCAGCTGTTCCAGCAGTCCCCTCTTCCATCGACCAGTTCATGGTGGATCCTCGAATCGCATCCCTCCCTCGAAGCAAATCCGTCAAGAATGATATTCGGCCATCCCGACGTCGACCCCAGTCGCCTGTCGAGGCGGAAGAAGTCAAGGACACCAAGACGCCCCTCCAGCGAAGGGCGACCGTAGGGCTGCCGTTCAATCCAAGAGCCCGAGCGACCAGGATGTTCACCGGACAGCGGGGGACTGGCAAGGACCAGCCGATCATGTTCTTCAATCACGAGGAAAGCAGTCACCCTGTGTATGCCGCGCCCGAACCCGACGACAACAGCGATGCCCTGTCCCGGAAATCTGTCATCCATCGACCGAGGCCTATTCCTCGCAAGTCCACTGCTACTTTGGCCGAGTCCATCTCCTCCGAGACGGACTCCATGGCGTCCACGGCCGAGCTCCTGGGGACGGTCAGCAGCCCCATTGACGACATTTTCACCATTGTGTCGACACCCAAACTTCCCATGGTATCCCCTGTGACGGTCAAGACTCTCTCGCAGAGTACACTGGGCACGGTGGCGATCTCGCCTGGATCGTCCGCTTTACACAAGACCGTCAGAAGAACATCCTACGTTCCTGATCTGCCGGCTCTCCCCACGGAGTTCAAGGCTCAACAGTCAAAGATTGCGCATAATGTTGCTCCTGAGGTGACCGCTACAAGCATTTGGACGGTCGCTCCGAATGAGCACGCTCCCTTCTCTATGGCCAACAATGATGAGCCGCACTCGGCTCACAATAACCGGCGGTTTTCTGTCAACACTCAATCATCGTATGAGGGAACTATCGGCCGCAATTCGGTCGTATTTGCTTCAGATGACAAGACGACCGCATCAATGGCCCATCCCCTCACCGAGCGCCGCTCCAGGCACGAGAGCGCTGACTCTGAACTCTCTATGATGCTTAGAGCAGCACCACTACCGCCTGTCGCCGGCGAGGGAGGTGTCCCCGAAGTCCCCGCTGTGCCCGTCATGTTCAAGGATGGACGGACAACGCCATTATCGGAGGAGGAAGAGGATGCTCAAGAGGCGGCTAAAGAGTTGGCATCATGGCACCGACGCATTGGCGAAGAGCTTCCTGGGTTCTCCACCCAGCTGAACGATAGGAGACATCGGAAGCTCCCGGTGCCGAAGCCTCTGGCCCTTGGCAACTCGGCCAACGTTACTGTGGTGGTCCAAGCTGAGCCGTCACCCGAGGAGCCTGAGCAGGAGGCCCTCGACAGAATCCACGAGCAGCTGAAGAAGTTGGAGGACAAGGAGACGCGCGCAACCATTAGCGAGAAGCAGCGATTGGATCTCTTGGCAAACTTGGAGTCTGAAATGGGCGCTCAAGAGTCCCAGTGGCAGATGCTCAAGGTTGACCTTGCCGCAACCCCGTCGACTGTCATCTCCACGCCAGGCGGCGTCCCCTCTGTGCGCAGCAGCGTCGATATCAACAGCGCGCTTTCCAAGGCCAGACTCAGTGCAGGTGCCGGAGACTTGCTCACTGCTCTCCAGGATGAAGCCAACCGCCGCCTTTCGACTGCTTCAGAGCAAACGCCGAGGGATGAGGTCAACCGCCGATCGGCAAGAATGAGCATGATCTCCGTGAGCGCCCGAACACTCTCGCAGATTGGCAGCCCGACTCCACCAGACACTGATGAGTCGGGTGCGGAGGAAAGCGACAATGATAGCTTGTTGGAAGGCCCCGGGTCGGCCAAGGAGGCACTCGAGTCGTCGGTGCTGAATACGGCCACTGGCTTTCTGGCTCTGGACGAGATTCTGAGCAACTCAGTCGAAAGTCAGAACCAGCCAGACTCTCCAGCCGAGTGGGAAGAAGTCTCCCTGCCCACCCCCAAGGCCACGGGCCCCTTTGTACCTACGCAAGCAGAAGAGGAGCCCGAGGCTGCGATTGCCGATCCTTCTGAGCCCGAAAGTATTCGATTCAGCCTCGCAGACCTGGAGCAGTCCGTGCCCGCACCACCGCCTCCGCGACCGCGATCAGTCACTCGACGGCCTCCTCGCATGAGCAAGCGCATCAGCGCTCTCCCGGACATTGTCGAAAACCCCGAACCCCTCGCCGGCCGGACGGGATCTCTCGGTATCTTTCAGTTTGCCTGGGGTGAGAAGTCAGACTCCGCCACGATGCCTGTCCGCATGGTTGGTCTTGGCGGCACCATGTCCAGCGGCCGCGGCTGGCTGTCGAACCTTCCGCCTTTGCCTTCTCTTCCATCACAGGCGCTGCCCTCGCACAGCTTTTTTGAAGACGACGAAACCGATAACGGCCTTGACAACTACGAGGACGAGGACTACGACGATGGCTTTGACGATTCCACTCTTTGGGAAATTGCCGACTTGCTGGAGGCCGATCTGGAGGGCTCTCGCGACGATCTCTTCGTGGTTGACAACGAGGACGTAGAGGTTCCCGAAGTTTCCCCTGCCTCCCCAGCCCCTTTGAAGGAGGTTGTGGAGGAACAGGTACAGCTGCCAGTCCCAGCTCTCTGGACGGCCGTGAAGGCTTCTGAGTCGACAAGATCGTGGGGTCTGCCCCAGCCTACTGGGCGAGACCTGGAAGTGTTTTTCGCCGAAGCTTCTAGGCCGACTGCGCGTGCCGTTCCCCGGATGAAGGAGGAGGCACCTGCGTTGACAAGCAACTCCCTGTGGCAGGCGTCCATTGGTGCTTCTGTCGCTAGCAGGATGTGGTGTGAGCATAAGGCTCCTTGCGCAGAGGAGATCAAGACTGCCACAGTTCCTTCAACAGCGGTCTTCACGGCTCTGTGGTCTCCCGTCTCTGCCCCCCGCAGCACTCTAGGATTGTCGCAGCCTGATGTCCAGACATGGAACACTTACATCGCCCTGCCGACCCGCTCTATCCAACGCAAGGTTAATGTACAGATGAGCGAAGAGATTAAGAGCACTTCGCTGTGGCAACCCTCAACGGCCGTCGTCTCTCCGTCAACAGCCCTCTGGGCACCCAAGACGCTGGTTGTTGAGCCATCTTCTCAATGGATCTCCGCCCCTTGTGAAGAGGTCAACAGTCTGCTGTGGTCCTCGACTCCTGCAAAGGCTGTTTCTTTCGGCTTGCCACAGCCCGAGACCCATATCTGGGCTGCTTACCTTGTCTCAGAAGGTCGTAGCCACCGTGGTGCCTATGTTCCCACGACTGTCTCCATTACAAGCTCGTCTCTTTGGGCGCCTACGAGCAAGACTGAGTCGGAGGGCATGTGGATGCCCAAGTCAAAGCCTTCAGCTGCTCTGTCTGCTAAGCCAAAGCCCCAACCACTCCCTGTTTCTACTCAGGTGACGAAGGATCTGCTGTGGTCTTCTACTCCCATGAAGAAGTTCTCTTTCGGTCTGCCACAGCCTGAGGCCAGCGTCTGGACTGCCTACCTTGTTCCAGAAGATCGTAGCCACCGAAGTGCCTATGTCCCTACGATCGTTTCCATTACAAGCACGTCTCTATGGGCGCCTCCTGTTGAGACTCGGTCAGAGGGCATGTGGATGCCAAAGTCAAAGCCTTCAGCTGTTCTGTTCGCTGATGAAACTTCTCAATCTGTCCCCCAGTCTTCTCCCAAGGTCGTCAAGGACCTGCTGTGGTCCTCGTCACCCATGAAGCCAGTCTCTTTCGGCTTGCCGCAGCCCGAGGCCAGTGTCTGGACTACTTATCTTGTTTCTGAGGGTCGCAGCCACCGGGGTGCCTACAACCCTACGGTTGTTTCCATTACAAGCTCGTCTCTGTGGGTGCCTACGATCAAGACTGAGTCCGAGGGCCTGTGGATGGCCAGGTCGAAGCCTTCAGCCACACAGAATAAGCCACAGCCGAATGTCAAGGGAACCACGGGCTTGCTGTGGGCTTTGCCAGTCACCAGGAAGGCTTCCCCCTTTGGCCTGCCTCAGCCTGAAGCGAATGTCTGGGCTACCTATCTCGTCCCAGAGGGCCGCACCCACCGTGGTGCCTATGTCCCTGTGGTTGCGACTATCACTAGCACATCTTTGTGGTCGCCTACTAGTGAAACCCAGTCAGACGGCATGTGGATGCCCAAGTCAAAACCTTCGGCTGTTCAGAAGCTGCCAGAGGTTCAGGAGAAATCTCTACCAACTGTCAAGGACACCGCAGGCTTTCTGTGGACTTTTCCCGTTATTACCAAGGTTTCCGTCGGCCTGCCTCAGCCAGACGCCCAGACATGGGAATCATACATCCCTCGCATGACCAGCACTCCTCTGCGTAGGGCCATGATCTCGCAACCTGCTTCTCTGGAAAGTCAGGCTCTATGGTCTCTGCCGCCCAAGCGAGAGGCAGCCTCTGGCTTTCTTTGGTGCTCAACCAAGCCGCAACTGAAGAAGCCTCAGCCAGTTGTCAAGAGACTTGCAGGCTCGCTTTGGACTCTCCCAATCATTGCCAAGACTTCCGTTGGCCTGCCTCAACCAGACTCCGAGGCCTGGGAATCGTACATTCCTCGCGTGGCCAGCACTTCTCTGCGCAAGGTCCTAATCTCAGAGCCCGCCCCCATCGAAAGTCAGGCACTGTGGACTCTCGCACCGAAGAAGGCGGCCACTTCTGGCCTTCTTTGGTGCTCGACCGAGGTTCAAGCTGAGGAGAAGCGCGCAGTCCCGCAGAAGCCCATTCGCTCCCCCATGGCAGAGGCCGTCGAGATCCTTCTCCAACCCGCTCCCTCACGCGCCGCTCATGTGCGCAGCTCCACGGCCGTCCTGATCACCAAGGAGCAGTGGAACTCTGCCTTCAAGCAGATTTCGGAGCAGGGCAAGCCGGAAACTCAGGCGCCCGCCGCGGAGCCCAAGAACCGCCCGACCCGCTCCAGGTCGGTCAAGAGCCGTGCATTCTTCGACCCCGCCGTCATGGCTCTCATCGCCGAACTTCCCTCCCCGACCAGCTTCACCACTCCTTCTTCGCACCGTCCCAGCGTCGGACGATCCAAGAGCGTCTCCTTCTTGCCCTCCACCCGGAGACCATCTCACTCTGCTTCGTCCAGCTTCCCTGAGGCGGAGGTGCGCCCTTCTGAATTTATTTGAAGAATACTCTCTGTCTTTTGATGAGGCGAGCGAGGTTCTCACAAAGAAGGGCAATGCCAATATCCACCACCCCTCGAGATCTTCACCCCTGACGGACAAATACAATGACGTGCATTATGCACTTCAATTCCGGAGCAGCCACCCTGTCAGTCGCTGACGGGGATGCGATGTGCAGCTTTTCGTTGACATTGCACTACTCTCCACCTAGTTTCAGGGCTGAAATGATACGGACTATGTTTGTAGGTGCATGTCAAGAAAGGACGCAGCGGGGTTGATTTGACATTCTGACGGGGCTGTCCAATCTCGATACGTTGTCATCCATTGAGATGAGGCACAGACAATAGGAGTCGGGTGTTTCCCCTCTACGGATGAGATAGACAGAAACTGATGAAGTGTTAAAGAACAAAAGGGTTAGTACCTTCTTGTGTAGTAATGATTGTTTGGTGCGTAGCGACAATGGAAAGGGGGCCGAAAGAGGAGGCTATCGATACCTTTTGTTTTTCTCTCTCTTTGAGGATGATGTGGTTTTCTTCTCTGATATAAGTTTCTGTGTAATGGATATACATACAGAGTTCTTTATCACATTGTTCGTACTGTGGATGTATGTATATGTTTGAGTTGGCACAATAAAGCATGGTGCGAGTATAATAGAGCAGAAGAAGGGGGAGGATGTTGAGAGTTACCTAGGACAGCAGAAGCAGTGTTATGCGAGAAAATGTTACTATTGAAAATAATATCGATTGTATATCTAGGTATCAGCCATGTCTATGAGTATTCCCTAACCTAACCTAACCTAACCTATCCTTTCCCAGGTCAAACACCGCCTTAACCATCCTAAACTTCACCCCTAGAGCCTTCCTATAGCCCATAAACCTGCCATTCACAAGAGTACTATCTAAATAACGAAGAAGAGAGGAAGAAAAAAAAGGTGTGAAATGAAAGCCGGTTCGAGTCAACAGCGACGGGGGAACTTCAGTTTCATGAATACACAAGAGAAAAGTCGAAAGGGGGAGGAACAGTACAGTCAAGTCATATATGTAGACATTCCACGCAAGTCATGCATGTCACGCACAATACACAACAAAACACCCTGATCAGGAACAAAAAGACACTCCTGCACACTCGTCATGTCATGTCATGTCCATTGTTCAGAGCTCTGTCTCTCCCTTCCGTCTCACACACACACTCTCTCTATCCATGTATCGTTAAAAGCTAAGAAGTTTCTGAAAACGAGAAACAAGGGGCGGATTCAAAGGAGTTCAGAGGGAGGAAAGCCCCAAAACCAGCCAAACCGACCAAACCTCGGCGGAAAAGACAAGAAAAAAAAATTGAGAGGGAAAAATAGCAGAAGGCTGAAAAGTGCAAGAAGGGGGAAATGATTCGGAGAAAAACAAGTTCCAAACACCAGACCTATGCTTTCCTTTCGTTTGCCGACCACTGTGTATATCCTGTTTGTATTCCGATTTCCGAAGAAAAGAAAAGAGAGTTCCTCCCTCCTCATTCACCCCTCCCTTTATTGTTTTGTTTGCTGTTGTTGTTTTTGAACACCCCGAGCTCTGAATTCCTTTTTTGGCTGATTTTTCGTGTCTTTTTTTTTTCTCTTTTAATCGAGTTAAGGCTTGCATTGTCCTTGCTTTGCGAAAAGATTGCTGATTATGCCTTCCTCTCATGGAGGGATGAGCTTCTGCATCGGCTTGCTCCATCTCCCTGTTTTCGGAGCTCATTATATAGAGTCGTTAATTTTGGTGTTTTGTATAGAGGGGGGGCTCGAGTAAAAGAAATAGGTACGGTAGCCTGTTGAGCCACTGTAACCCTCTTCGACTCTCAACCCCCGACGTTCATTATCTTTTCGTAGCAAGTCGGCTCTCAGACGAGTTGGCCGACAAATCATAACAAAAAGTCATGAAGAACAAAGGAAATCCACATCACATCTCCTTAACAGCAGGGCTGTCACTTCGCTTCTAGTAAGTGAGCGAAGGTCACCGAGTCCTATTCGGACTGATATTATACGCGATTGACTTCAAGTTGCCGACGAAGTGGAGTTGAAGTATGCGTTTGAGAGGAAGCTCGGGCAATTCAGACTGAATCGCCCAGTATGTGCTCTTTGTGTTTTTCGGAAGAACATGGTCATGGAGCAAACCAAATCCTTTGATAAGGCATCGTTGATCGCCTACTCAAAGTCGAAAGAGGTTCGTCGAACTGGTAGGCGTGCTAGGCATTATCATGGAGCATTAATCGAATAAATGGTAATCCGCAACCGTCGCTATGCAAACAGAATAAACACGCAAGATCATTCGTCTTCTGTACAGGTATCCCCCAGGCGGCAATGCTGGAGGGGAGGTGGAGTGGTGGCAGAAGCAGACTGCGAAGCGGCCTGCCAAGGAGCATCGGACTAGCTGGCAATCATTGTTTGCATGCCTCTCGTCATTGGCGAGGGCGATGATGGGCCATCCGGAGACGATGCATTCAACAACGAGGAGAGATTACTGCGGTGTCGGGCGCTTCGGCGAGACTGGCTTGAGCCAGGGTCGTCAAACATGCGCGTGAAGGCAGGGCTCGAGTCTGTAGGGCGTTCGCGTCTTGGAGTTCCAGCCGGGCTCTGCGCTATTTGCTCCGCCCGGCGAACAACATCTGACAGCGAATCCCGCAGCTCCCCGGCCCTCTTCACCAGGACCCTCAAGCTATTCGTGTCGAAATGCATCTTGCTGTCCGGCCGCGATTGAGCATCATGGTTGGGAGTGGAACGATGCATGGCTTCCATCACCGAACGAGCGCCTTGGGCGGCTTCCTGCTGCTTATCAGCCCGCAGCTCGGGTGTCTGGGTCCGACTGGGCTGCTGTGAGGGCACGCTGCCGTCGACCAACGGCCAATTGCCACCGAAGATGTCGTCATCTGGGGAGAAGACAGATCGTCGCTTGGGAGAGTGTCGTTCACGGACCACGGCCGTCTTTGACATGGGCTCCTTGTAATCAAAGGACATGTCGAACTTGCCAAATGAAAGGTCTGCAAAGTCGTCATCGGAAAAGCCATCATAGTACTCCTCTGTGCTGTCGGAAGTAGTGGCGGCGTCGTTCTCCCCATCCATAGACTCTTCCTCGTCAGGCGAGGCGAGTGCGATTACGCCCTCAGCCTCCTTCCACAGGGTCTTCTGCGGGCCATCGAGCATGTCCATATCGCGCCCATGGCGACACAGTCGCTTGAGGTCGTTGACGAGTAGCGACAGCTCGCGAATCTGCCCTGAGTGCGCCTTGACGCTGGGCTGCGATGCGCGGATAGACTCAGGTACCGAGAACAGCTTGTCGTCGGCTGCGCCATCCTGATCGTTTGCGCCGCTACCGAACTCGAAGTCCTCGTCCCAGTCCTCGCTGGCCGTCTTGGTGCCCAATCCCCACGTGCCAAACTTGGCCCCGGTCGCAGGTTTGGCCTCATCCATGACGTGCGAGAGGGGAACGCTCTGGCTCCGAATGTGCGCGGGGACGTGATTGCGGATCGCGGAACGTCCGCCCCTGGCGTGAGGCTCCTGCTTCTCGTACGATGTCTTGGGGCGCAATGGAATGCCAGCTGGGCTGTTCTTTTCGTGAAACGAGGTCTCGCTCCAGTCGAACAGGTTGTTGAGGGGCCGATCCTCCTGGTCCATGTCCGACATGTGGTCGAGACTCAGATTCGCCAACGCACTCCTGACGTTGGGGTTGATGCTGCGAGAGTTGAGCGAGCTTCCTTTGGAGGGGGGCGACAGCGGGTTGCAGGGTGCATCGTCGTCAGCGGCCCAGTCCTGGTCAAAGTCGTCATCCAGGGAGATGCGCCCAAACTCCTTGCCGTAGAGCGAAACGCCGTTCTGAGACGACTCGGAGCTGATTCGCGGCAGGGTGAGGACATGGCGGCTAGAGTACCTCACTCTGGTAGTGCCAGACTCGACTTCCGTGGGCATTACCGTACTTTCGTCCTCCTCCATGATGTCTGTGTCACCGCCCCAGGTATGACCCAAGATTTCCTGTATTGAGAGGCGCTTGGTCCTACCATTATTTCCTGCGGTGCTCGGGGGCGAGTCGTCATAAATAGAATCCAAGGGCGTCTCGACGGCCCTCGTGCGACTGGAGGCTGCGGTGCGCAGAGAGTCAAACACCGTGTCACTCCTGTAGTCGGCGTCGTCCTCGTCCCCCGACGTGAAGCCGCGAGCGTCACAGTCAAAGCCCTCGTGCAGTGGCGACGCCCTGGTACTAAGCTGCGACATGGCTGCGGAGCTGGTCGAGCTCCCCGAGGGCTGGTGCTGCCGTGCTGGCTGAGAGGGCGCCCCGCTAGGCGATGCTAATGAGCGTGGGACCTCGCCTTGAAAACTCGAGCTTCTGGGAGCGGGGAGGAGTGGGGAGGATTGGCTTCTTTTATGCATTGTTAGCTGATGAGCCTGGGCTGCTGAATCCAGCGCCGGCCCCTGCCGTGCTAGAGAACTGGGCGGGATGGGCGGCGACTGCGCCGGGGCCTTGGAGTCGAGCTCCACGGCGACCTGCGAGCCGCTCTCGCTGGCGGCTGACACGTGCCGCCCGTCGTCCTTCACACCATCCGGCTCAGCACCGCGTTTGGGCCGTCGAAGGCTTCCCGACGTTTGCGAGCTCCAGCCGCCGGCGGGAGCAAAGGGCATGGACTGAGGTCGTGCTGCATTCTCGCGAGCCTTCAAGCCATCATCCACGTGAACGCATGTCTCAGCTCGGGCTCGGCCAAGTTCCTGTCGTCGATCCATCGGGGATGGCGCAATCGGAGGCGCTGAGGCTCCCGACACCATCCTGGGCTTGACAAGGTGCACCTTCTGGCGATCTTGGTCTCCAGGGGATATGCGCTTCCCAGAGGCGGTCCGAACACCAGGGGTGCCGTCTCCCAGCCGGCTTGCAATGCTACCACCACTGGCCGTATTCTTTGTCCGCGAGTGGAAAAAGGACACCCAGGAAGTACTGCGGGAGCTTCGAGGTTGCACAGCAAGAGCCGGTACCGGTACCGAGAGACTTTCTTGCCCCGTTGATTGGTCGAAGGAGAATGCAGGTGAGGTTGGCAGGCTCCCAATATCCGCGCTCTGGCGGAAGTGATGCAGCGTGGCAGATCTTTGGTGGCTCGTCGCTGGTCGGCGCAGGATAGATAGATGCGATCTTGATCGGACGTGTGCTTGCGCGGGGCTGTCGCTGGACTGGGCTGATGACGGAGAGCGCTTCACGAGCTTGTTGGGCGCCAGAGGGTTCGCGGCGGTATTGGGCCTGGACAGGATCGGTGCCGACGAGGTATATGACTGGGCAATGGAGGGCGAATCCGGCCCAACGCTGGATCTCGACCTGACGCTTCCCTGGCGCGATAACGGGCGGCGGCGAATCGAGAGCCTCCTAATCCACGATTCGCTCGACGAGGTGGAATCCCTAGGCCCCTCGGGCGTCGGCGATGCTGAATTCTCGCGCTGTCTCAATAGGGACCGCCTGTCCGGGATGGCCTTGGGTGACGTAACGGGTTGATGCGACGGCCTCTGGTAGCGCGATAGAGGAGGGCGAGAGACGATGATGGGGCTGGAAACTGCGTTCTGCTGCGGAAATTCGACTTCTATTGACGGCGCATCGCTTTCGGCCTCGTATCGTAGGGGAGACAGGACGCCTGCGGGAGCAGTAACCGGCAGATCGCGATCAAACGAGATTTCCTTTCTCAGCTGGCTGTATCGTTTCTTGGGCAGTGGGAGAGCTGGTTCGACAGGCTGGCCGAATACCAGGCCGCTGGCCGCTGCAGCAATGGCAGTGCCGGTCCCAATGAGCTGCAGTAGACACAGGTTAGACAAGATTCCTTTTCCAGACAACACTTTGCAACTCAGTCTGGAGCTTGATTTCTCCGGCAACCCAAACGCTCAAGCTGCCCACCAGTTCCGTTGTTGAAGAAAAAAGTCGAGCCGTGCAATGGCTGCCCGTCGATGTTTGGGAACGGCTCGCTGACGGTTGGGCCGATTCGACCTGATGGCGCTGGGTACATATATGTACGGCGCTTCAGCACCCTGAGGACAACGGGCATCAAAAACTTACACTGGGGACCGTCTGCATGATTACTGGCGAGGCGACCGCCCTCGAGTTGAACAGACGAGCCGGCAGAGCTGAGCAGAGCCGAGCAGCAGGCGCATCGTCAAGTCAATGGGACAGCCTCGGGCGCTGTTGGAGAGGGCGACTTGTCCCTGGGCGGAGCAGAAACCGTTCGAGTTGTTGATCTTCCGTTTGGAAACGCTCCGTGTGTGGCTGGAACTCGGTGACGCGCTGCCCAGAGAATGGAACCAAGGCGGTTGTTTTGGGACTGGACTTTGCGAGCCCACAGCCCGGGGGGTGGGAGGCGGAGGATAGATAACAGGCGGCCGACCAGGGCAGCGAGGAGGAGAAGGGAGAGAAGGGAGAAGGGGGTAACGAAATGAAAAGAGGTGCAGAAAGCGAAGACGAAGGGGACAGGAAATGAGGAAGCTATTTCCTGCGTATGGTCCCTGCTTGACGTCGCCCAGATGCCGCCGCCTCGAGGACTGGATGGAGCTTGCAGGTGAGGGCAGAGACCAGACGCAGCAACCAGGACAAGCGCTACGCGATCCCGGCCAGCCCAGTGACACAAGCCGTCAGTCCAGGGCAGGGGATATGCAAGTGACGCAGAGGGAGGGAGGACGGAGAGACAGAGACCTCAGTTGCGCGCACTGATGCTTGCTGGCTGGCTGGATGGATGGATGCAGTGCTACCACCAGACGACAGCTCAATGGAACTGGGCTGGGCTGTCTGGAGACTGCAATCTTAGCGGCTCGATCATGGGCTAATTAGCGGGCGGAGCCTGCTGATGCTCAGGGCGTCTGCGCGCCGTCGGGCCCTGGAGCTTAGGGAGGAGCTTGGCCTGGGGCCTGGGGGGGCTAGTGGGCGAAACACGCCGCTGGTGGGCGGCTGAGACCAGCTGGGCGCTGGGCCACACCCCCGCTGAAACGGGGACGAAAGGTACGAGGCACTGCCGGTAGATACTCGATGTACCTACCTACATACCTACCTACCTACTACCTAACATGGCGACCTGGACCGTCTCCCGTTTTGAACGGGGGTGGCCCTGGGACGCTTCCATTGGATGACGGCGACGGCGCTTGCAGAGGCCGTCGACGGGCAGCCCCCCAGGGCGTCACAGCCACTCCCGGCCCGCCTCATTTGCTGCTGCTAGAGCACTGTAATCACTACTATTATCTCCCAATGTGGCAGAAAAAGCCACCTGCTCGGTCTGCACCGAGCGAAACGGACAGGGCTAACGGACACCTCATTTCGGAGCCGGGTCTTTTTGAAGACGAAGCGCCTGCTGATCTCACAGGGCTGCTGGGGGACGAAGATACATGTACATGCTACTACTAAAGTACATACGAGAGGTGATGCTGTATTGAGGATCAACAACACACTGAGGTCGGGAATACTTTGATACATGCGCTCACCGCTGCTTCAGAGAACGACAACAACGTGAAGACCAAAACAACAACATCAACAAATCCTGCGGCTCTCCGTAATAAACGAACGAGACACGCAGCAGCGTCTTGTTTACACTCTGCTGGCGGGTTGATCTCAGCAAAAAGAATGTCGCATCCCGGCTGTGGGGGCGGGTCTGATGTACATGATACCGGAACATTCTTCGCATGCGCACGCAATTCGAGTGCAGCTGCCCCTGCCCGCCGCGTACCTTCGACCCCCGTACCTAAAAGCTCCCCGTAGAAAATAACACCACCAGCCGGTGCTAGCACTAGCCAAGCTGCACCCTACTATCACCTCTCACGCGGCGGCATCAATCGCAGTCCACCTCCAAAAACCCACCACGGCCAACACTGGGGCCAGTTCCCTCCGTTATATCCTTGGGCGTCGACAAATCGAGCATCACCAAGTGATCGATTCGCACCTCCAACGGCCTTGGACGCAAACTCTGTGTCCGGAAATGGACACACCCAGTGTCTAGGCTCTGCGTTTAGGCCTCCTGCTGCCGCCTGGTGCCGCAAACACTGGGAGATTCAGGACGCCAGCAGGTGTCTGTCAGACGAATCGCCGTTGAGACCAGCCCAGGCCAGAAACTCTGTTTTGTCCTGCCTCGACGCCGTGCCACCTTCTAAGATTAGCCCGTGGCAGCTTCAGACACCAGAGCCCAGAGCTTAGAGGCAAACAGGACAATGGAGAGTTTCCACGAGACCGAATGTGGGTGCGGTGAAGCTGTCACGAGCCCGCTTTGCTTGCATGTTTTTGAGTTTGGTCACAAATCCTTCCGAGGTTCGAGATCACAGAGTACATGTACTTCGTACAACAAGTACTGCTGCCCTCTTCAGGTTCTTCTCTGGATTCCCAACTCTCTCTCTCTCTCTCTGGATATGAACATGGCACCGGTCACTACTACTACTGCAACCGAGCGGCACTCTGCTTGTGTCTCACAAGCTCCCTCTCCCCTTGTGCCCACCCACGGCATCTCCAAATCTTGCGTTCTGTGGATGGCATCACCCAGCCCGACAGATCTGTGAGACAGCATCTCGCTTCGTGCCTGGCCCTCGCCAGACGAGCCGCGGCCACATGCTCTTCAAGAATGCCCGTGTGCCGCAACATTGAGCCAATACCACGCTGCTCAGGCACTAACATGTATTCTTTAGCTCCGATCTGTTACGCTTCTCAGATTGTCCAAGGCCGGCTGCATGCCGCGAGATCTACGACTTGTCTGTCACGAGTCTTCCTCCCTCCCTCCCTCTCTCCCTCCTCCTCTGGCTCGCTGTCCCGCCCTCCTGGTATGCGTTCCCAAGAGAACAGACCGGCCAAGACGAGATGCGAGGAATTCGGAGGGCTTCGCAAGCGCCAGGTTCGCTCTCTGCTCGATGCGACGCAAACACACGAAGCAATCGGTCGTCCAGTGCGCCTAATCATCTGCCATGGGCGCTTGATGCACCCTGTGCCCAACCCGACAGCCTTCGTCCAATAGAGGGGCCAGACACACGGAATTTTCCAACGCGGCAGGACTCCTCCGAATCTCATTCTTGGTTTTTTCGCGTCTTTCCTCCAGCCTTGCCTCCGGGACTATTGGAGGCATTCGACCCGATAATGCACGGCTTCTCGTCGGCGCCAACGGAGCGCTATTGCTGCGTCAATGGATCGCGATGCCATCGCTAGACCGCGTGCTAACCGCTGGGCGGGCATAAGGCCAGCCCAGCCCAGCTGGCACCCCTGCTCCGGCCAACTTTGTGAAGTCAGCTTGACGCAATCGCCTCATTTCTTCGATAGCGCCCAAGAGCGTCCGAGGTTGCGAGGCTCCGGCTATTGAGCTGCTGTGCTCTCGTGCCAATTGATGCGGCTACCGTCGTGGTGATCACGCCGATCGCAGACTGAGCTGATTCTAGAGCCATTGGCCGCGGCCTGTCGCGATGCTGCTTCACGTCGAGAGCCAGCAACCACCAACGCGAGCCCCCGAGATTTTTGACACAAATCTACGATCAATCTGGTGCCCATCTGATCTCATTGATCTCATTGAGCACTGCATACAGGTAAAGTAATACTTGTAACCTTCCAAGCGCTCAATGTGGAGGCAAACAAGGTCAATCGACTGGAGGGAGGCAGCAGGATTCGCGCCATGGGTGGACAGTTGCTGTCGTACTCAGGCCTTCAGCTGCTCGAGACCCAATTGGCGCCGTCACGGCTTCCGGACAGCTTCGAGAACCAGCCAATGAGCGCCAACAAGCCGCCTTGCATGCATTGCTTTGCTAGCCCGCCCCTCCATCGCGAACCTGAAACAGCATTGATTTTGAATGCTTGTAGCGACAGTCTGCTGGCATCTTCATCCAAGTTCCGATCAGGTTTGGATTCCCTCGGGTGACCGCCGATGTATGGACTTGGATTGAGTGTGTCTTGTGGTGAAGACCGGCTTGAAGGAGTCTCAGTTGCTTGTTGTCACTGCGAGACACTCTAAAGAACTCCCTCTGAGGCAAGGAACGACTCGCTTCGAGACACTCATTTCTTCAAGACGACACCGTTCATTCTACAAAGTATCGCGGGACCTACTGTAATGTCCACCTTGACAGTTCCATTTTACGAGTCTACATGGACGCACATCAGCAAAGACTCTAGGCCCTTACATGGGGCCCGGCTTTTGGAAACCCCAGAGAGGACGTCAATGCTTTCGCACGCCCCATTTCTAGAATTCTCTTTCAGGAGACGTCCATGATTTACACGCCAGGATACGGAGGGGTACCTAAGCCCCGTCTTGAACGGTTGGACTGTTGGTTGCATCTCACGGTAGTATCACGTCCAGTATCCTCTAATCAGCACGTCTATTTTTTGTAATACTGCGCGACTCTCTTTCATCGAACGACAAATTCCGCCCAGTAGGAGCAATTCAAACGGTCAAGCTCGCCATGGCCATGATTCTGGCGTTTCAGATCCCATACAGTATTGATACGACTCACCCTTTCGTGGGACATCCAGCTTGACCGACGACTTCCCTTGTGACCGGTACTTCTCGTATGCGCTCTCTCACCGCAGGTTCGCAATCTCGCTAGACGGGCTCACGAAAAGCCTCACTGCTGAGATCTTCGCTCCCTGCAATTGTGCGGAGACGTCCCCGCGGCTTCCATCTGCACACATGGAAGCACTGGCAAGTCATCATTCAAGTATCCTAGCAACCAAATCCCTGCCACCCGAATGCTGCACTGATGAAGTGCATTGTTGTTTTCTCTCTTGTCCAGTGATACGGCATGTCTGACATCTGGCACATGTGAGGCAAGGCAATTGCTTTCCCCTGCGTCTTGTCTGTCCCAATGCAGATCCACACGTCAAAACAGAGAGGCCTGCTTTGTGATATAGTATATAGTTCAACCTTCAAGAGAGCAAGCAAGGAGGTGCCGCAACACAGACCGCACTGTTCGCAATGAAACGATGCTGTCGCAAAGGAATAACACATGCGTCGTTTAGTGCTATATCAGCAGGCTTCTGCCAAAGACATCAACGCTGTTCAATAGGTAGGTATATGCTCTGTTGTACCGGCAACGACGGCAGCGATGACTGAGGTACTATCGCCAAAGGGAGAA